TATTAATAATTAATAATAATTATTATTGTTATTATTATTTATTATTATTATTATTTAATAATTTAATAATAATAGTAATTTAAGTAACATAATAATTTATGTCTGATAAATAAAACTTTGCTATGCTTTTTACTAAATCATTATTTATTACTTCAATTATTTATATGCTGATACTGTCTAAATTTCAAAAATTTGCATATTTTTTAATAATTTAAAAGTTATAATTGCTTGTGGTAATTAACTTACAGTATTCCAAAATAATGAATTGAACAACAAATTACATAAAATATTTTGTAAATATGTAAAATTATATTAATATTTGTTACAATTACCTACCGTGGCAAGACGAGTAAATCTAGCAGAGCTAGATGAGGTGGCACGAGTAGTTCTGGAAGTTCTTGATATACGTAAAGTCTGTTCCATGGTACCTGGTTGTATATGTGTTTCAGGTCGTAAAATGCCGCTTATAGGTCTTCCACTACTTGAAGTTGGTCTATAAAAAGTTCTCTTTTCTTATTTCATCAAATGAGGCGAAATTTTATTGAAACGGCTTATTTGGATTGGGATATTATCATTCTTCAAAATAGTATCATAAATCTTGACTTATTCGCTTCTATATATAAAATTTCTTAAGCTTTTATTTTGATAAGATAATTATAGACAAAAAACCTAATAGCTTGTCTGGATGTTTGGCCTGAAGTGATTGGCTTGGATAAAGAAGTGCCAGGTCTAGCTTTTGATGCCAATACAGTATCATCCAAAAATAATTCTGCAACGCCACGTTCGTCATTTTCCAATTCATCAACATAAAACTTTTCTGTTAAACAGGTTAATTTCAGACTCCAAGCTGCCTGAAAAATTATAATCCTCAAAAGTTTGATTTTGTAAATTGCTTTGTTTCTTTTCCCTTTAAAAAATATCTCTTAAAATTTTTTTAAATCAAAAATATTCTAATTTTTAAGCCCTAATCTTTAAAAAGAAAAAAGATTCAATGAAATTTGAAAATTGCTTTCAATAGCTGAGTAAGAGGAGAATTGGTAAGAACCAAAGAAACGATAAGAAATAACAGCTTATGTTAGTGATAAGATTAGATATGAGAAAATGATAATGATTGAAATGATATATACATACCTGATCACAGGGATTCTTCTCAAGTATTTCACTACAAATTTTAATTGCTTCTTCAATATTGTTATGCCTAAAGTGAAGCAAAGCTCTAAGGAGAGGGTCGAGTTCCATCACTGGTACCACTAACACCCACCTGATTACTCATAAACAACATTACTTCATCTAAAATAGTTTCCAATAGCAACCAGCTGTAGTGTAGTATTAAATTTGTTGCATCGATTTCCTCTTAAAGAAGCAGCTTAAAATTTTGAAGGTTGTCGCTAGACTTCTGAATTTAAATTTGAATTTTGTTGAAAAAAAATTTTACCAAAAATAACGAAATATTTTATCAACTTAGTACAGAGGGAAATAAGCGATTAAAATAAATGATAAACGGTGCATAGTTGCATGATTGCACTAATGATGATAAGAACTTCAGAGGACCATTATGGCCTGAATAAATTTATCAATTGATTTCATTTTTAAAATGATACTTCAAACTTTCATATATTCTGCTAACAGTTGAAGATCAGTTGGAAATCTATTTTAAAATATTTCAGAAAAAAATTTCAAAAATGATCTGATGATCAGAAATTACAATTGTAACTAATTAACTCATTAAATAAGACTAAAGTTCGAGGCTAAAAAGTCTTAAAATAAAAAGGTTTATTGTAAAGAAATTAGTTTTGTGTTTAATTTTGCAAATATTCGTTTGATTAATTAGCATACTAATTAATTTCATTAATAATGCAAAAGAATTATTAAAAGTTACTTATTTTAATAATTTGATTTTTTTTTAATTTGATATTTTTCAAAAAAAATTTGCCAATAATTTAATTTAATGATTCAAAAAATAATTTAACATAAGCAAAAGCTGGCATTGTTGAAATTATGAACATACTGGTTACTTCATGACAGCATTATTGATACTTTTGTTGCTAAAAATATCACCTTATCACCTCGTCATCTTGCTACTTGTCCTTGTTAAAAATATCACCTTATCACCTTGTTATCTTGTTACTTGTCCTTGCTAAAAATATCACCTTATCACTTTGTCATCTTATTACTTGTCCTTGTTAAAAATATCACCTTATCACTTTGTCATCTTGTTACTTGTCCTTGTTAAAAATATCACCTAATCACCTTGTTATCTTGTTACTTGTCCATCATGTTAATCATTCAATCAACGTTCCTTTATCTCATTCATTAAAATACAAATGAAAAATGATCATCAACTATCATTTAAATAGTGGCAAGTGATTCCATTCAGAATGATTTTCGTTTCAGATAGCTTAACTTGAATAAATTTAGTTAATTCAAAATTTCAGATACTCTCGAAATCGCTTTCATCCAATACAATCTTTAATTATCACTTGTATACTTTTGCACCATTGATGTTTTTGAAGATTTTTCTGTGATACTCATCGATAGCTTAAATTTTTGGTCATATTGATAATGATCGATTTGTCATTATTGATTTTTTAAAAAATTTTACTTATAATCATTGTAGTCGAAATTATCAGCTAAATTATCATTTATTATTAAGAAGCCTAATAAAAATTTCTAAAATTTCTTATGATAATATTTTCAATTTAATTCAAGTATATGTTAAGAAGATAACGAATTATTTATACAGTAATTTGTTTATTATCAAAAATAAGATGAAACTTTCGAATGATAAGAAAACTGGCAGATTATCAAGAAAAATAAAAAAAAAGATTATAAATTATTAAATCATTCTTTTTCGATCTTTCTTTGGACAAAAATTTGATGAGCTTCACGATGTTATTTTAAACAAAAGATGAATTAATTAGCACATACAAAAATTTCATAAGTGAAATGCAAATTTTTGAGCTGCCAAAATAGTTTGATTAAGAAATCCTTTCAAACTTTAAACAATAGTAGTAATTTAAATTTGAAAATAAAATTTTGTTAATTGCTAATTAAAATGTATTCCCTTTCACTTATCAATAAAATGCCTAAAGTGATATTTTACAGTTGATTAAAACACTAAGTGGTAGGTAAATGAAAACATTGAAATTTTTCGATATTTAAATTTGTCTAAGAAGACTTATTTAGAGTATATGCTAAGAATTATAATGATAGTGAATAAAAAAAGAAGTTAAGAAAACATTTTATTAGGTAGATAGCATAAATAAGAAAAAGAAACTACAGTGAAAGGCAAGACTGCATTTGGAAGGCCACAACTTGTTGTTCTGAAGGGAGCCATTTGATATATGTATTTTAAGCTTCTATGGCTCAAATCAAAATCATCTTTAATATGGAGCTACAGTGTAACAAGATAAATTATCGGATACATCGTATTTTACCACAAACGTCGTACATATTCACCGCGTACATCACGTGGAGTTCCAAAGGCTGACATTCCAGTCTACAACAGATTAATTTTTTTTCTACTGTTCAGAGTTATTTAAAAAATGGCTTTAAAATTAAATCCATAGGAAATTTAAAGTTGAAATATAACAATGATATCATATAAAGATCATATTAAAATATCACCTGATTAGCAAATTCGGTTTCTTGTCCTGACCAAAATGGCACCTCTGGCCGTCGAGCAAGATCTATCGGTAATTCATCGTGTGAATCATCCACAAATGGTGTATAAACCTAAATCAAATTCCTTAATAATTGTTAAATCAGGAAATACGATTCAAATACTTAAATATTCTTCATATACAACACTAAAAAAATATCCATGAAAAGATTCATGACAATTATTATTGAATCATTTGAAGTGTCAGAACCAAAAATAAATGTATAAAACGGTTTTGAATTGATAAATGAAAAGCGGAATGTGAAAGCATTTTATGATACATGTTTGCGTTTCCAAAACATAAACATTAATGGTTCATACCTGTCTTGGCATACCGAAACCTGTTTTACCGGATTGAGAATCGAGAAAATTGACACCCATTTGATACGGTATCATGCCTTGTGATCGTTGCTCTTGTGCTTGCATATTTGCCACAGTGTTATTTCGAAATGCGCCAAAACCTGACATTCCCGCCTGTGACGCACCTAAAAATTATATTCATGGGAAAGATAGAATATGATGGAATGAAGAATATCTGTCAAGTCAGAAGAGATCTCTCGAGAATGCATATGAAAAAAATGCAAGTTGTAAGATGGATTAGCAGTGATAAATCATAGTTATGATTTGAAAAAGCTATTAGATGCAAGAACGCTTACCTTCTTTCCATCCGCTGGTTTGTCGGGACATCGTCGATTCATCATTAGGCATTTCACCTCTTACTTCATCCTTATATTTAGTGATATTATGTCGAGGCATTCCAAATCCAGTCATACCGGATTGATTAGCAAAACGATTGGTACCCATTTGAAGGTGAATAAATCCTTGACTGTTTCGATCTTGATCATCAGTTCTCCTTACTAAAATTTACACCCTTCATCTAGAATGTTTTTGAATTAAAAAAATTTTAGAGAATTAATCCTATCGAGCAGTTACAGAAGAACTGAAGAGATACAAATTAGATTATTCATAATATCCCTAAAAAGTTTGAAATAATATCAAAAAATTGTTTGAGTAGAAGTATACTTAATGAAATTACTTTTAAGATAACTTAACTTAGGGTAATACTTTAAATGATTCAATTTATCATTGCAAACGAATAAAAACATCACTTTAAAAACATACCGTCGACGATTCGAGGCATACCCATACCAGTCATACCAGCCTGCGAAGCTAATTTATTTGTACCGGATTGTAATGGTACAATACCATCAGTTGCTCGTGCTTTATCCTCTGGTACTTCGCTTGCACCCCCGGTACCTTTAGCTCTGTAATTCACATCGCGTGGTGAACCAAATCCTGCAAATTTTCTTTCTTATCTTAGTTTTCTGAAATTTCATAAAAGTTGTAGTGAATTATAATTAACATTGTCATATTCAGAGAAGAAATCATTAATTAAGAGTAGAAGTTATTTGTTACCTTATATAACCTTATATATAAATTATAAATAAATAACAAAAATTGTACCAGTCAATCCTTTTTGTGATGCAAATTTGTTGGTACCAGACTGCAGCCAAGTTGATTGTTTCAGATTTTTTATCTTTTCAGCATCCGTAATTTCTTGCAAATTATCCGCTTTAACTTTATCAATTACATCACGGGGGGCACCAAAACCTGAAGTTTTTTATCAAGTTTAATAAAGTTCAATTTTTGTATATCTTTGAAGTCTCAATATATTATCCGACTTCAAATTTATAATTTTAACTAAATAAACTTCCTTTGTATATTAATTTGTAAGCATCGTATTTTAAAACAAATTTTTTAAATATGTAACCAATAAATATATTCCAATGATATTTCATCATCAAAATAACTGTTACAAATGTATGTTTAAATGTTAGTAAGTCTGATAACAGATGTAAAACTAGTAAACACGTTCAATAAATAAATGATAAAAGTTCGATGTCGTCATATCATATTAGTGGAAAGCTGGATAAGTGAGATTCTCGGTTTTTCAAAATATCATGATGGAAATAATTTGGAAAAAGAATACGATAGAAATTGAAATAAAAATTAATGATATATTAATTAATGATATCTTCACTCTTTTCAAAGTTCACATTATTGGAAAAATTAAGCTCGAGCTAATTTATAGGTAATTTTATTTTTCGAAAATATTATCTATCATTATCACTTCTCTAATCTACCTCACTTATTATCATAATATTTACAAAAGATACTTGTCAAAAGATTCATGAATTATTTCATGCAATCATTTTTTTGCAAAATATGACATCATCTCGATATTTTAAATTTTTTGATATAACTTATCATGATCATTTATCATCCTACAATCATAATGACTTTTAACAGGATAGCAATTAGATCATGACGATTGTTAAACCTTCCCAGTGTCTTTTGTGATAAGCTTATATCAGATGATAACTACTTGAAATTATCAATACAATTTTATGCAATCAATTATCGAATTACATGCTTATTAAATCCAAACTTATTTGACTAAAGTCAAATTACTTTCAGCTATAGCTAAAAAATAGATATCAAAAGATATTCTGAATTGAATAATAAATGGATGTATTTATTTTGTTATATCTTTTGGACATAAAATAACTTTATGAACAGCAAAAGTCATATCAACGTCAGTGATAATGATAAGTTGATTTTCTGCTTCAACATTCAACAATAACAACGAATGATAGAAAGATCAGAAGTTCCCCCGCGTTAGTGAGAAACAACAGTTGCTTTTAACCTCTCAAACACTCTCCTTTAAGCTAGCCTTTTTTTTTACGATTACAAATGTCCTCAGCTAAAAAAACCAAATTATCATATACTCAAAGAGTTTTGCCGAAAGTCACTTGACATTGCAATATTTCGAGTAATCCTATTATCGTTAAATCATTTAATTAGCATTTATTGATTGACAGCTTCTAAAGTAACAACATAATTTTAAGCCCGTATCTTCTATTCGACAAAAATATGAAGAAGGAAAAATACAAAAATCCTAGGGATTTTTTTGCTGCTAATTTCAGCACTCATAATATTTTTAAATTTGAACATGAACTTTTCTAGTCTAAATTTAATTGATAAATTTGGAATGATTTCGAAAATTACATATTTCGAAATATTCTTTAAACGGTTCAAAGAATACTTACTATTTTAATTGTTTTGGTTTAATAAATTAAAACAATAGCAAATAAATGAATGAAAAATTGAAAATTATAATTTCTCTAAATTTTATTTGGTTTCTGAAAACAGTATAAAAATGATACAAAATTTTCTTGAAAGCTACAATTTTTCAATCTTACTAACCAGTCATTCCACGTTGTGATGCATATTTGTTGGATCCAGCCTGGATGGGAATAATGCCTTCGGAGCGCATCAACTTGTCTTTATCATGCTTTGATGGTTTACCACCGGAGTAATTTGCCGCCCGTCGCTGAATACTCTTTGGTACCTCGGGTACATTATATTGACGACCCGGTGTTGGACTTTTAATACCAATTGGTGGTGGGGGTTTTCTCTCTACTTCCTCTGCTTTCTCGTTAATCGCCTCATCTTTTTTCTGAAATAGAAAATACCTGAATATGAATATAAATCTTTTTGTCTGGAATGGAACAAATACATTCATATTCTGAGTATGCGAATTTGTTTCGTTTATTTTCAAGAACTAGCGGTATTATTGATCGTTCAAAATTTAATAGGCATCAAAAACCAAGCACTTATATTCAAATTCATATTCATATTGAAATATACTACTATGGCACTAAAAGCAAATCTGAACGATGGAGTTATTTCAGAACTATAAGACTTAAGTTTTATTAGAAAAATCCATGGCAGTCATAAGCACTGTTTTAAAATTAAAGTAATTCGAAACGCATTTATAAAGTGTGCTATTAACTAAAATTAAAATAACTGATATAAAATATTATCACCGATTGAATGCTAAATATAAATATTTGACAGATAAATAAATAGGCACTGAAAATATTTGGCGATAATTAGACTTAAATTTGAAGATTCAATATTCAGGTAATAATGCTTATTTTAGTAATAATATCAATCTGGTAATAATATCTAGTTATGCAATCGACAGCATATAATTGTTACATGCCAATAATATCGCTGATGGTATTTTTACGGATACACTGGAAATGTAATCGAATTTATTAATTCGATAAATCGGAAAAAATGTAATAATTCCAGTAAACTTACTGCATCGTCTTCATCTTCACTCATTGGTGCATTTTCTTCCGTTTCCTCATCTTCACCATCCCGAGAATCCTCAGCTTCATCCACGATATCTTCCTCATCAGCCATGCTTATTGTTTTTTTTTGCTTGCTTCCGCTCTTCTAAGTTTCTGATAAACTGATCCTTTGGGTGGAAAGTTGTTATGCCACTGCTTGCTGCTTCTTACACCTGAAGGTTGTTCTGCTTTAGATCTGAAAATTTTCCGTGCAGCTGTGTATGTGTATGTTTATGTATTATATATTTATGTGTGTATGTATTGTGGCTGATTCGGTTGATTAAGATATATAGCCTAAAGTGTATCGTTTCTAGTTCAAAATGTTGAAAAGCACGACATGTCTGAAGAGAGAGAACTGTGATAAGCAACATTCTTATCCTTATCCCTATCGTTACCACCATCATCATCATCACCACAATCAGAGTAACATTAGCAATAGCAAAAGTTTAAACTTAAAACTAAACTTTATTTATATCTCTAACATACATGCTGCCCACAACATTCTTTCTTTCACATAAAACGTTATTTTCAAAACAAAATTTCAGAGCACATCACTATTTCTATTCATCTCCTCTACACATACACACACACACACACACACACACACACACACACACACACACACACATATAGATTGATAGAAGGATTGAATTTAGCAAATTTTGAAACAAATACAATATATCCTACTAAAATTACCTGTAATAATTTTTCAATGTACAAAACGAAAATCAAAATTTGAAGATAAATTGAAATTTGAATGAAGAAAATTCCTTACTTTAGAAAATGGTAAGTATACGGTAGAGATTCTAAAAATTTTAAGATTTTTTTTAGAAGTTTAACCAATAAGCTAAGGTGGAGCAGATATGTTGAAGTGAAGTAGAACAAAGAATTTTCAACTATAACATCATAGTTTAAGATCAATGAAAATTAAATAAATAGAATGATATCGAACTATCAAATGTTACTTTTGCATAATGATAGAAAGTTTTCACAAATAATTTGCAATTTATTCTTATAAGCTTGTTTTTATGAACGTTTGAATTTAATCGGAACTTAAAATTTCAGATTACATCTGTGTTAATTAAATTATTCCTCCTGAAATTATAAACCAATCTATTTGTTCTATTTTGGAACAGATAGTACAAGATGATCAAAGTTATAAAATAAAGTTATAACAAGTTTCTGATCTTACCCATTGCTCTGTGTCTATTTTAAAAGCCAAAAATGCTATACTTAAAAATTAACTTTAAGTACTTATAATATCAAAGTTAGCCGATTGATTCTAGTCTTTTAAAATATTATTAAATAAATATTCTAATATAACTGACAAAAAATTTAATTAGATGAAAATTCTGAAGAGAATGTAATTAAATAGGGAAAGAGATTAAGAAAGGAAATAAGCTAACTTGCCAGCTGTTCGCAATTTCTAAATGTGTTATGAAATAAAAAGACAAGACAAATTGTAGAAAGGAATTCGCTTATAATCTCTTTATTTCAAATACTTCGATTATAATTTTGCTCAATTATCAACCAACAGATTTTTTACCAAACTTATCACATTAGAAATTAATGAAATTTAATTTGTATAACTCAACTGAAAATAAAGGTATTAACAAATGAATCAAATTTTTTACATTGCTTTCTAAGAAATAAATTATTGGAAAATTGATTCAGCTTATTATTACTGATCATTATTATTGATTATCGATTATTATTATTGATCGATGGAACAGATATCAACAATAATCATTCACACAAATTATATAAACATGGAATTAAGCATTTCGCAAAATTAAGTACGAGCTAGGAAAAGTTTGATTCGTAATTTAAAAAGGAGAAAAAAAAAGACGAAGAAAAGAGGAAAATGATAGAACAGGTATAATTGATAAAAAGTTTCGAGGGATGAAAGATGATAATGGTAGAGAAGAATTCGTAGTGATCTTGGAATTATCATTAGTAGAAGAAATAATTCATATCAACAACTTTTCGTTTTCTATCGCTCTTCAATTTTTTCTTTATCATAATTTTTAAATTTTGATACAAAGAGAGATAATGATTATCTTGGATTCCAGAATCATCTACGATTTTGTTACACAAATGTAGACAACACACACATACATACACACACACACACACACACATACACACACATATATATACTATGATGGAATTTCTTTTCAAGTAAGCGAAAAAAAAGAATTTTTGAACAAATTGAATCATTTAAGAATCAATATCCGACAAAGTTGTAAGAGAAGAAATCGTTCGTTCTACTAATGAAACTATTTCTACACTTTCATAGATTTTACTAAGAGAGTATGTGTGTATGTATGTATGTATGTATGTATGTATGTATGTATGTGTGTATATGTTGTAATAAAATATCAATAATATCAGCAACTGTCTTAAAATATATATACTTCACAAAATCCGCTTAGATCGGTGGTAGTTAAAGCCAATGATCGATTTTGTCGCTCGCTAAATATGCAAATTATCGATAATTTACCATCAAACAAAATTATTTTAATAAATTTTAGACTATTCAAAATTATTATTTTTGAAGATTTAAAATAATAACAGTAACTTTGATTGTTACTATATCAATATTTTTCCTGAAATCTATTCCTTAACCTGTTAATTTTTAATTTTGGAACAGAAATTGAACTAAAATAATTTGTAATTTAATGACAAGTCATTTCTTATTATGATAAGCTAAAGCCTAAATTTGAGATTTGCGAATTCTAATCTAAGCGAAGATTCAGAATATGAAATTTGAGAAAGATGATCGGAGAAGATGGAAGTTAAAATATTGTTTTTGCTAAAACTATACCATTTCTCATATCTCAAATTAAATAATATTTCATAGATTAAAATTAATACGATAATGCATACATGCATTTAGGCCATGAAACGTGAAATTGAATAATAAAAGAATTTTTCTCACGCTGATTCTGAAGCTATAAAGTTTCTGAGATTCTATCCTTCTTCTGATTTATCACGAATCTTTCTCGTCCTTTTTATTAACAGAAAAGAAATTTAACTTATTAATTTCTTCCCTTCTCTCTCCCTTCTTTTTAAATTAAATTAAATTAAAAATATATGAAAGAATGTTTAAGTAATTTGTAGCAAAGATGAGTGATTCCTAACGCATTTCAGTATATATATATATACGTTGTAATGTTTCCCAATATTAGTGTAGTAGCTATTTCAAATTTTAACAAATCTTTCAAAACACAGCTGTAATATCGTTATTTCAAACGCTTCCTCATTCATCCAGATATCCACACATACACACACTATATATATACACACACATACACATACATATAAAAATTGCGAAGCAACATACGCACACACACATATACACACATACACATGCGTACATAAAAAAATTTCAAAACGACATACACACACCTACATACACACATATACACATACGCACATATAAAAAATTCAAAACGAATATACACATACACACATACACATACAGAAATATAAAAATTGCGAAACGAATACACACACATACATACACATACATATAGAAATTGCGAAACGAAGTACAGATATAAAAGTTTTAAGGAACAATTTTTTTCCCCTTGAATTTCAAAATCTAAAAGATTAGAAATCAATGACTAATTATGATTTAAACTAATTTAAAACTATGTGATATATCATGAAATATAGGAATAGTAATGAACTGTTATCAATGATATGCTATCAGAAAAATAGTAAATAAAAAGATTAGAACTGATTGAAATTATCTGAACTTAAAGTTTTCTAGAACTAAAAAAAAAAACAAATATTTAATATTGATTTAATTAGCAGTATTTTCACAAAATTTAATTGCATTTTGTTTGGTGACAGAAGACAAGAATGCACAATTGATTATAAATATAACAATGAAATTTTCTGTATGTTGACACCTCCTTAACAATTTTAATTAATTTCAATATGAAAAATAGTCAATTGTAATTTGAAATTTGACGCAGATTTATTCGTTTTAGAAGCAATCGGATAAATGTTTGCATCAGAACCCAATCATCGTGATACAATATTCGCGCGTGTGTTATTTTTAATGGTTACTATTGCATTGCATATGTTGCATGACAAGTTTTAGGTGTGGCGTTTTGTTCGATTAGCTGTAAGGTAAGGTTGCTATTATGTTTTCCGTTTGAGTTATATTTTCCGCTCGGTTAGCTTATTTGAAGGGTTTACTTCAAGTTAATTTAATTGATGAAAGGATAGTTGTCATAGGTTGATTCCGACCTTAACGGTTCTTTCTTATTCGCTACTTCAGGGCCAATGATACAGGATTATGAGGTCACGCGAAAATTATGGGATGGACGTATTCCGGTGCAATTTGTTCTTGATAAACTGGAATTCATCCAGTGCTCAGCCAAACCTTTCTGTGTTAGTTTCTATTATTTCCTTGAATTTTAAATTTTTTTGTAGAGTATAATTTTGCATGAGAAGTTTCGAAATATACGTACATGTCTTGCCTTTGATATTGTCTACTGTTTGTCGTAAAATGAAACATGTCCTGCTTCTGATATTGTCTACTATTATCGATTTTAAGATGTAATCGTACCCAATTATTGAGAATGATTTTATCCTGAAGTACATTGTGGTAGGACATCATTGATATTATATTTGTACTATAGGAGATCAAAAAATTACCGTCTTTATGACTAATAGAAAGTTATAGTTTTTATTTTTATTTCAGAACTGTAGAATTTTTCAACAGTTTTCAGATTATGGTTCCAGGCATGAGTTATTTCCCTCTTATTTTACCACGGGTGTTACAATACTTTGTAGCTGTTGTTGATCATTTTGATGCAGATTCAGTGTGGTTACGGTATAACACTAAACCACTAAAATGGTATTTGTCCATTTTCTCTTTGAATACTTTACGTTATTTGCTTATATAGTTTGAGATGCAATTCACTCGTTTCGACGAGGGAATACATGCTATATTCTTATTTGCTTTCCTGCTTGAGTGATTTCTTAAAGTTATTTAGAACGAAATATGAATTTCTGGGATTCTGAAGACTGGAGTTCAATTGATCGTTTTAGGCATTATCCAGTAGGTGTTTTGTTTGATTTATTGAAAGCAGATGATCTTTTGCCGTGGACTATTGTGCTAAAAACCAAGGTTCGTTGCCTTTTTTATATTTCTATGAGATCCATTTTATGGCAGCTGTGATCACTTCGTATTTTGATCTGTAACTGTTAAGTTCTCTGCGCAAAAAATGTGAAATCCATATAAATTAATGAAAGAAAATATATTGTTTGAATAATTAGTTCATCTCATGACTTACATCAGGACTCCCCTAAGGAAGTGATGCGATTCAAGGGCAACGACTTAGAGAGTTCATATATCCAATCAGTTAAGGAAGCAGATCAACTAAAGCACAAAGCTAGAGTGGTCAATTCAATGAAAGTTGATGAACATCGGCAATTGTGGAGCAGTATACTGCATGGTTAGTTGTCTTCGCTGTTTAAAACTTTTTTCATACTTTGGATTTCTTAAACGTTCAATGCATAATACTTATGAATATTTATGTTGCTTCATTACAGACAAATTTGATGAATTTTGGGCTATAAATAAGAAACTAATGGAAGTAAGTGAAAGTGAACCTATGCTACATGTTCCTATTCGCGTTTACCAGGTAGCATTGATTTTTTTTTCAAATGCTTCAAAGCAACTGTACTTTTCTAATTTGCTTCTAGCTTACCTGTCAGTGTACGTTTAATAGAAAACATTGGGATGAGCTGAAAATATGCTGCATTTTATTGAAGCACGAAATGGTGCAGAATATCTTAATAAAATTTGTCATTATATTCTAAGCTGTCAACATGACGATTTAGTTATATTGGCGCTCCTTAATTCCCTATGTCTAATGAAGTATTTTCTTTATATTTTTTGGATTTGATTTCGTCACAGATTTTTATCTTTTAAGGTCGACTGTTCTTTTCTACAACCGTTAATTACGCCTTATGACGAGTCAAATCGAGCACGTACGATTGCTGATGTACTCAAAGCTGTAAATATTGAAACTCAATCACCCGTGATCTCTCATGGCATTAAAATACCCCTGACAACCCCTCTTATTTGGATGGTACAAAATCTTTCATATCTTGATAATTTTGTTCATATTATTGTATTTCCAGCTTCAGTATAGCTACAGAATATTCAGTGTAATTACAGAATATTCTGTTATTAATATTTCTTTTTATAACTGTATAAAAACCAGTCATTGTATTATGTTGTAGTAAGTTTAAGACGAAGAAATTTCAGTAGTAAATGTTCTACCTTAGTCTATGGACCATTGCTTGAAACAGTTCGAAATGTCAAAAATTTAAATGATCAGGAGTGCTCGTTTACCCAGAAAAAGCGGATATCCCATATCTCTATGTGGATCTGCAAGGAATGATTTACTCATTAAGATCCGTATATTTGGTATGTGGTCAGAGTTGGAGTAGCCAGAGATATTACCTGACTCCTTGGTTGTGACTGAATCTCAATAGTAGAGGTAGGATCGCAACGAAATTCTGAGTTATTTCAGTGCTCTTTATGGATGAAATAGTTTTGAAGCGACATGAAAAAAAGAAGATAATGTTGTCTTCTATTGCCTTTGGAAATGCGTACTCTATAAAATGAAAACAAGCAGAACACCGGTATTAGATGGAAGATGCTTTGCTATAAAACAAATTAGTAGTGTTTAAAATTTAGAGCAAGGTGACATGGAGTATGCGATGTTCGTTTCATCTTCTGACTTATAAATTAAGATATTTTCAAAATTGATTAACATCAACCAAACTGATCTCTATAGCTAGGAATAACAATCGTAAATGAGTGAAGTAAGGGTATTAAGATGCAACAGACTTAATCGTATCATTTTTCAATTTCCTTAATAATGTTACGGAGAGAAAAATTGATCGGCAGAAAATCAATTCCGTATTTTCTGTTTTTTTTTCTCAAATTACTGGAACTCTTGAAAAATATAATTTTGTATTTTCCATTTTTTTTCTCAGAATATTAGAATTCTTAGAGATCTTATTTTCATCGTTTCTGATTGCTGATCATTTCCAGTCGCTGTTATCAAATGTATCACTTCTAATATCAGCAATTAATTGCTTCTAATATTGGAGAAATAGATTAAATAATTTTTTTTTGCAAATACCATCAGTTGAATTGATTGGATGTGCTTACTTCAGCAGCTGTTCTATTAGCTTGAACAACAAATATGTCTGATGGAGCTATTGTCCGAGGTAAGAATTTCCGCATTTTTTCATTCTTCTCGCTTTTTCAATCTTTTCTGGGGTGAAGTTTTTTAAAACAACTAATCTTCCTCCACAGAAACTTTTTACTAATTATATACTTTTCCTAAGCATCGAATTTGCTGATTGTTTGGCTTTTATTAATAACTGTTGAAAGATTCCAAAAAGTTTACTTTGAAATTGAACAAAAATTCAAATTAATTTCTTTAAATCTTTTTATTTTGTTGAAATTACATTTTTGAATTAATTTGAATTCATGCAAATGAGCTTTCCATGCTATTTAATATGAATTTTATGTTTAGCTTTACGACCGTATTCTGAGCATAATTTAATTCTTCGTGATTTTATGCTTGACAGCAAAATGTTGTTTATATGTTGAAATTGAAATTTATTTCTTTTTTCAAAAATAGAACATCCAAACACTCTTTTTTTCAATTGTAGTTCTTAAGAGAATAAATAATGAAATGTAAAATTTGATGAAAATTTTCAATTCATGACGTTAATATTTATGAAGAACTTTCACGTGTTTCTGGAAGTTTCACGTGGCATTAGCGTTCACGGAAATCTTCATGGCATAAATACATCGATGAAAAAAACGTATCATTATCGGCTAACTTCCAGAAATTCTGTGATTAGCATGTTTCAAATAAAACTTATGAATTCATTCATAATTAATAAAACGAAAAATCATTTTTCTTGTAAACAGATATTTTACTAAATGCTATGTTTACAACAAATAGAAAATGTATATATTTCATTCAATTCATAGTCTTGCGAATTAAATAGAAAGATCAGTCATCATAATTCTTTAATTTGGCAGGCAACAATAATGACAATTTCAATATTTAAGATGAATGATTGGTGTTAGTTCTGATTGAACTTATAGAAGTTGAAAAACACTTCAACGTCATATGCTTGCTTAGATGATGCAGATATCTTCCTCTCATTCTTTGAAATCCACATATATGTTTGAAACTTGAAGTATAATTTTTTATATACGCTTAAGTTCAAAAATTTAAACACTCCAAAATTCATAATAATATTATTATCATTTTGTCTCTATTCATACTTTTATTTTAAAACTGAAAATAATTAATTTTTGCCAATTCGAAACTTTCCTTCATAAAAGAAATTAGTGCAATTCATTATTCAATTATTGAAATTGGTATAATTTCATTATTTAATTATTACTCGAAATTATTGCTTGAATCTACAGAAAACACTACTTATTCCTATTAAAATAGATGAATACGTTGTTTACTTTTGATTTCCGATTCATTTCTCGTTTTCATGAACAGTTACTTTAGTATTCAGGTTTTATTTTTATGTACAATAAATTTTACCCAATTATTATATTTCAGGTATTGCATATTTATAACAATAAGCTGGAAATAATGCTCAAAAGTACTGTTGTACTTGTACTGATAAAATGCATCGGAAGTCAAGAAGTATTGGAAAATCAACGATGTAATCATCATCCTAATAGAGGTACTTGTGAAGATCGCGGATTCACAATAAAATGGTACTATGATCGATATGCACATCGTTGCAGAGAGTTTTATTATGGTGGTTGCGAAGGCAATGAAAATCATTTTGATTCATTTGAAGGTAATCTTTTGAAATTTATAATAGAGCATGATTCTATGGGACTAACAAGCATCGTATTAAATTAACATCGTATTAATAAAATAATTATTAATAATTAATATTAAATTAACATCGTATTATTAATTAACATCGTATTAACACTATTTACAAACATATAAATAGTTATAGGGCTTAAAAATTCGTGATAGTGCGGTACACTTTAAAGCACAAAATGCAGTACAAAGATAATATAGTAAATTTTTTTGAGATAATATGCACTAAGGCGCAAAAACACATCACCAAGATAACCTGAAAATTTTCTACACAACAAATTATATTGCACTGACCTGTAATATATTACACGATTAAAATTAGGCTATCGAAATGATGTTATTATTATTGAAATGAAATGTTTCATCAAGCAAAATTATTTCAACACATTAAATGAAATACAACAAAATTCACTTTATTTTATTTATTACTCTATCTATTTGAATTCAAAATTTCTTTAAATTCTAATGAAATCGACCGAAAATTTTTTGCATTATAGAAATTTTTCTTTTTTTTTGTACAACAACCTTTGAAATTTGCTAGTAACATATGTAATGATAAATGATATGGATTTATTTACTAGTTTTTCAGCTTTCTGTTTTTGTGCTATCAATCTTAATTGATATCTTCTCATTATAGAATGCAGCCAAGCGTGCAAATACGAACCGTTAGATGATTCTAGCAAAAGATGTGCATTACCACACGATCCCGGTACTTGTGATAATAATTTTGAACGTTGGCACTTTGATATGCGGAAACGGCAGTGTGTTTGCAGGTAAATACGAAATTATTACAAATTCATTATTTCTCTTTTTTACACTTCAAAATTTTCTTCTCTTCTATTCGTTACCCAAATAATCTTAGCAATTTAGATATTAACTTAACTTTCCTAATTTAAATTCCTTTATAAATTAATTATATAAATTGCAAGTTAATCAGTAAGTCGATATCGATTGATTTATGAATTCCGTAATAGAATGAAAATTAGAAAATTCAAATATTAAATATGCATTGCGTTAGCAATCTTCAAATATTGCAAAATATATGGAAAATTTTCAAAATTTCCTCAACTGCGTTTTTTTGCAAAATTCAAGGATTTCAAATTTTTTTAATGTTAGATATAAACTTAAAATTTCTATTAAATTTTAGCTGGTGGTCAGGATGTGGTGGAAATTCTAATATGTTTTATTCTTATGCACATTGTATGTCAATTTGTGGAATTTACGCTGACAATCACACTTCTGCTACCAAAATAATCTTTCGTCGATTCATTCCAGAATCAAAAAGCAATCAAATTCATTATGTAAATGATTTTACGAAAAGTTTGGCTTGATTATAAAAAAGAAAAAATTTGAAATTTCTTTCGCAGCTTGAAAATTTCTAATTAACAGTAACATTTGTTTCCGAAATGAGTGCTTGAATTTTCTATAAGCTTTTATTTATAAAGCAAAATAAAGTTTGGATGAAAAAATTGCGAAGAAAAAAATGAAATTCCATCGGAAACTTTTAAAATTTTTGTATTGTTTTAAATTTTTGAAGAATTGTAAACTATTTATTTTCTTCAGCTCAATAAAGCTGTGTCACTAAGAGAAGGACGACAGTACCGTAATTTATTTGCAACTCCTTCGAGGGACAATGGTCGCAAATTATTACCCAGAAAGGTTTCTTCATATTTTTTCAGGTGTTAAATTCATCTAAGAGCTTTGAATATGGAAAATCTAATCTCGTGAATTATCTCGATTTGTGCATCACTAGTAATTTGGAAGTGCTGGAATTTGAAAGTGAAGAGATGAGGAAGGATAGAAATGATTAGGCGATCACTTAATTAATCGATCAGAACAAATGATATGTTTCATCGACAAAAACCAACAGATATATCAAGCATTTTATTCAATTTAATAAATGCAGAAATTTAGCATAGCAATGATCTTTTAATAATTTCAGACATTGCGACTAGTTAATGTCCAAAATTATCAACATCGAGATCCGCAATTAGCCAAAAGGTATCAATATCTTCAATACAATCCATCCGGGTATTGGAGAGTGATTTCCAATCGTTTTATACAAGAACCAAGGCAGAAATATAGTATCCGCATGATGACCCGTAAACATGGACATGTGTCGGAACCGTCAGATCAGAGACGCTGGGAAAACATGCCGACCAATAAAGTGCAAGATTATGGACAAGCTGAACAGTCAAAAAGACAAACAAGCTATTCAAGATCTCAAGAAATACGAGGCAGCCAAGTTATATCGAAAAAAAGTCCAATCCGAATTAATCAAATAAACCATCTTGATACAACTGCAATTCCATCATTATCTGAAGACCTCCGTGCAAAACACATTGAAGCATATATTCAACAAACGCAAACTTCTGAACGTTCACATGCTGAAGCTTTACGTGAGCGTGATAGACTAATACAGCAACGTCGTCGTGACGAGTATGAACGAGCAATGAAATACGAACAAGAATTGCTACAATATCAGCAAACTATTCAGTCGATGCAGAATCGCGTGCCACAGGAACGAGCAGGTAATACAGATGTCTGGCGACAACAGCAACAAGTATCATCGCAAAGACAATATTTGGACTCAGTACAAGCTCAAGGCGCTACATTCCTCAATGCACCTTTGCCAGTAAATGTTAGGATGTCTGAAGAAGTTAGAAATACAAAGTTGAAACATCAGAGGCTTTCGGATTCCAAAAAATTGAAACAAATAGAAAAAAATCGAGAACTATTGAATACGACTCTCAAACCGCCTCAACTTAGGTGGAGGATGCAACAACAACAACAACAACAACAACATACAGAACCACATACAGAAGGCTTTCCATTAGAAATCGTTTTCACTGCTGATCAAGTCCCAGATCCACAGGATGTTTACGTTGCAGAGACAATAAGTGCCATACCGTTACCAAGTGAAGACTTTGATCAACAGAAACAGATGGTTACCATTGAAGATTACGACGAAGATGAGAATTATACACATGATGAAGAAACTGAAAATGGTACGTTTGCATATATTATCTTTATCCGTACATCTATCCGCACATATATTTGGCTTTATATTTTATCTTTAATTGTATAAATTAGGGCAAAAACAACTCAGTTTTTGCTTTTTAAAGTTAAAAATTCTAAAAATTGTCGAATCTTTTTTGATTTTAAAACTTTTGAAAGAGGAAGTTTGAATGAAACAACATTATGCATAAAAATTTTAGGCTTGGAAAATGTTTCCAGCAGAAAAATGTGTAGGAATGATACGCTTATAGCATATTAATGCAAAATGTTGCAGTGCAAATTCAAACAAATTTAAATTTCAGAAGATCAAGAATCATCCTTTCTGGAACACACTCCAGCAGAATTTTCAGAAGGACGATGGGCATTAACAATAGCTGTACAACAACCTACTTCTCCGTCATTTACTTCTCGTTCCATTGAAAATCCCGTCGATCTTATTGCTGATATTCCGAAAAGAGAAACAGTTATTGCTACAACGGCGGCAACGATGAAAAAACGAAAGGAATCAAAAACGGAAATAAGTATGATAGAGATTATACCATCAAAGCATGACAATGAAGATAATAATGTGAAAGTTTTGGATGGTAAAAGTGAGATTGAAGAAGATGACAATGAAATCATGTTTTGGCAAGAGCAAAGACAACGTAAAGTGGACATGCGATAGAATATGCATATTATATGAATGATTATTAGCATAGTTTTTTTGCATAATTTAAAATATTGTGACTGAACTGTCTTTCTTCTATAAAAGATTTCAATGAATTGTAACCATTAGAAATATTCTATAGGATATGATGATATTGATAAGTAGAATTCTGTAACAAAGTTAACAAGTAAAATCACTTTCTTGAACTAATTACGAGACCATCAGGCATGAAAGCTTACAAGTATGCATTTTTCAAAGATTAAATTTATTCAAATCACCAAATATTTATGTTTAAAGAATTAGTTGCTACAGGATAATTCAATGCATTATTTCCATTTTTTTAAAACTCATTCTTACCATTATTTGTTCTTTCTAACAATGCCTGTTAGATCATTCTGATCCAATAGCAATACTATTGAATTTATTATTTTGATTGTTTACGTTATTACTCTAATATACGTGATATCTATGAAGATATAATAGTTATTGACATAGATGAAATACAATATGATGAAGTACTACGTCTATATACATTTGAAAATTGCACGATTCACGTGAATCTCGTTAAATTAGATACTGATTAGTTCATTTTGCAAAATTTTTACGATATGGTTTCTGTTTTATCAATCAAAATCAAAGTATTATAATTGAGAAAAATGAAAAATGTCAATAGGAAATTAAATGATAGATAGTTGCATTTAGTATTTTAATGGAGGTAAATTGAATTAGAAATTTTAAATGAGATAAATTATTTAAGAAAAGAAATGCAATGCTCATTTCTTATATCATTTCACATATTGCTGTTGGCGTAAACGGCTGAACTGAGCGCAAAAAGGGTAATAAAATAGCGTCAAGCAATAAGAATGAATTACGTGAGTTCTTCGTCTATGTCAATTAACTAATTTAATTTGTTTCATCTAATTATCTTGTTTTCATTCTTCTTCTTTATCTGTTTTATCGTATTTCATATTCCAATAGTTTACAAGACTTCCGAAAATATAGATATTTTTCATCCTTAAAGAACAGTTTAAAGTCTGGTGACCGAGTAAGTAACTTTAACAGATGGATTTATGATTCCATTTTGATAACTACAAATTGATCGGGTCAAAATATTATTTGTTAAGAAGATTTCATAGTCAACTCTTCCACTATTACCTCCTATGGCATATCTCCTGCGAATTATCGATAATTAATCTATCTCAGATATATAAAATGTGCACATTAAACTTTTCGTCCTGAGAGATTAAAACTATTATTTATATTTTATAACAGTCATAGTTTACAGAGTATTGAAATGAATCAAGCAAAGGCGAATTTTGCTCAAAAATTAGTGCAGCAGCAAATCGATACGAAAAATTATAACTTGCAACAAGTTGCTAAATTATTGAAGCAAAGATTTGATAGTACATATGGTATCGGTTGGCAATGTATTGTTGGCAATAGTTTTGGTTGCTATATAACCCATTTGCCGAATTGTTTCTTGTATTTTTCTGTTGAACCATTTTCCGTAGTACTTTTTCGAACGAACTTAACTACTGTAATGGTTTGATATTCTCGCAAAGGAAAAATTCATTAAGTTTAAAATTGAACTATATCACTGTATGATTCTTTGATCTTTCTAATTATTCCAATCTGTCAATTTCATTTACAACTCAAATTCAATGCTAATTATCTTCCGATTCTGAATTGAAATCATAAAAAGTAACACTCTATCAATTCCATTCAAAATTGTGTCAACAGCAGCAAATTTATTCCAATCTTTCAACGAACTATTTCTCGCATGCAAATTATTTGTCGATATGCTAATTTCAATTCTAAATAAATCTTAAATAGTGATCCTAAAAAGATTCAACAAAGTTATAGTGCAATAATGTTTCAGGACTTTTTCTCTGACTTCTGCTATTTTTGACAGCTAAGTGTATCAAATGAACAGAAATTGCAGTAACCCATCATATCGCGGTCTAAAAATGATACAGAAATTATTATACAGTCAACATTCAAACAAATAACAACAAAAGCTAACACATAAATGTATTCATAACAATCGTAATCAAGCGGATGATGAATATCACTAACATTATTTGAATGTTTTCTTGATAAGAAGATATCACGGGGATATTAATTAGCAAAAACCTCAATATGATTCATTTCATATTAAACATATCTTCTATAATTTCATCGAATTTCTCTTGAAACACTTGAAAATATACTTGAAAGTATTTTTCGTATATATTTAATTTTTTTTGAAAAAAAATTTTTCAAGTGATTATTTCGAAAAGAAACCTACAATGCAGTACTCTCAGTCCATCAATGTCTACGTTCCATTTATCGCATCAATCCGAAACCACCGATAACTGTTACTTACAACTGACTCACCGATAATTGTTACTTACAACTGACTCTAATGTATCACATTAAGGATAGAAAAATGTCTAAACATATTGGAAATACAATTTCGGTGAATATACGGTATATTGAAAATGCAATTCCAGTGAATATACGGTATATTGGAAATGCAATTCCGATGAACATACGGTATATCGGAAATGCAATTCCGGTGAATATACGGTACATTGGAAATGCAATTCCGGTAGCTAAAAATTGCTCATTGATTTGTTTTTGCATGAATTCTTTATTTTGTAAAACATTCCATTTGGGAAAATTATATTAGCAAAAATTATGCTAATTTTTTTCTCTATTAATTTGAATTTATTCATTCCCAAAAACATTAAGTTATTTAATGCTTTCATAAATTTCATTTCACTTTTTTTGCATTCCCAATTATTTCCTTCAGTTTTATATTGCTTAATAAGATTGAAATCATTTGTTGGCGCAATTAGTGGTATCATTGAATTGAAGGCGCTATGCGTTCCTTTTGAGTTTCAGAAATATTTCAGTTGAAATGATTTAAATTGAAACAAATATTCGTCATACAAAGAAAAATAGTATCATAGAATAATGAAACAACATTATGCAAAATATTTGTCTCAATTAAGGTTAATATTGCTAGAATATATACCTCAAAATATTTTTTAACGATTCAAATTATATCATTATGATAACAAGATCTATATTATGTCATATTGATCAGATAATAGTAAATTGATTTTAAATGAATTAAAGCCCTAAATTATTTTCGAAACATCGTCAATCCTAAAATGGCTAGCAAATCTTCCGGTACACATCTGCAATCATCAGTTACGTTATCACCAAAGTTTTTGCATTTTCCTTTGCAAAGATTGAAATTATCAGCACATCTACTATGATTCGTATCATAGGAACAACCATGAGCCTGAAATTTCATAAGATCTTACAATATCACTTTTTTTTTATCCTAATTTCCGGAATCTGTTTTAATTTTCATATCGATTAATTATTTTTGAATGTTGTGATAAAATTTCAATTCTGAATGATGCATAAAAAGAACTTAGGATATCTCGGGAAAACAGATCTAGCTCATTAAATGAAATAAATTTCTTCCCCCAAACGGTAATTTGTAACTTAAATACTACTTTAATAATAAACTATGATAATTTTACCGCAAATCTGTTCTTGTCATTGAGAATATTCGCTCCGAGCAATTTTGGTGCTAAAGCGCTGCTACCTATTGTTGCTGCTTCTGCATTATCCAACAAAATAGCACGGTTCAATAAATCCATCGTAATCCCGTTAGTTTGAGGCATTATATTGTCACTACCGTATGGTACAAATATACGTGGTATTATTCCTGTAACAAAATAAATTATCTTAAACTAATTAAGCTTATCTAAGCTTAACAAAATTATCTTAACTAACTATCGTTTGGAAATTTATTAGAATTTTAAATTTAAACAGTTATTTAACTCTTTCTGAAATTCATCAAAAAAAACTATGAATGGAATCTAAGTACCGCTATAAGATCTTGTATTGTAGTTTGGTGATTGATAATCTGGATACATGTTCCACTGTCTAACCGATTGTTGACATGGTACTCTGCTCAGTATAATATTTGTACATCCTCCACCATATCCTAATCCTATCGTCAAAAATAAGATAAGAAATCATAACTTCCAAGTACTTAGATATTTGTATTTAGTGAATGAGATTATTTACAAAACGTATCAGTTGATTTAACTTATTTGTAATAAGTTTATATACGAAGCTCTGGCAATAATTTTGTTTTAATTTAAACTTCAAACTATCACAAATAATTTAATCGCTATTGTAATTTATGCAGTACCAATAAAATGTTTGCTAAAATTTGAAATTTATGATTTAAATTTTAAAAGAAAAGCAAAAATTAAGTAAATCAGTTCATATAACATAAAGAAATTTCATGAAAAACAAACCTTGATATGGATCTGAAATATAAAACGGATTATACATTTCATACGGAGGCCACATTTGTCCAACATTAACTGTCACTAATTTGATGATAGTAATAACAAGTAGCTTTCTCTTATTCATCTGAAGTTTCAGAATGAAAAATTTGAATATCTTGCAACATGTTGTGATTTCATTTGAATAAGTTTGAGAATTTAAGAGATGTGAAATGAAAAAGAAAGATGAGGTGAAAATTAATTTAACACAAACATATAATGGGAAATTCAAAATGCATTTATTCCACGGAAGAAACATTCAACAAAAGGCCTATTGAAAAAATTTAGGTCAAAAAGCTATTTCAGTTTGTGATAATTAAAATTTTTAAGATTTCAGTGTTATCGAAAATTTTTTGCTTGAATTTAAATTTCAAAAAATTTAAACTAATCATAAAGAATCTTCCAATTCTGTTAACATTCATATCATCGATATGAATTACACGTTAGACCAACTTTAAATAACAGATCACTATCTTTGACCTATCCAATTCGTTATACATTAATTCATAAACAGCTCATGTATTATGGAAGTATGAAATTCAAGGAAAAAGAAACGTAAACTTCCTTTAAATTATTCAGAAGTATAACAACTAAATTTCAGTTGCTCGATATTAAAATCAGTCTGAGAAGAATTAATTGAATTTCAATAATTCATATTAAAATCAGTCACAGAAGAATAATTGAATTTCAATAGCTCGATATTGAAATCAGTCTAGTGGGAGAAGTTTTAGCAATTAAACAATAATGATTGGTTGAAAAAAAAAGAGTGTAAAGAGGTTGTCAGCTTGTTTGCCTTCATAGGTTCATTCTATATTGGTTCAAGGTTGAACATATCCTATTATTCTTCCGTATTTAAAAACTTGTCGTTGACCTTGTCGTAATAAAATGCAAATGTAAAAGATGCATCTTATAAATTTCATATAATTTTGATTCACTTTTAAAATTTATCTCAACATATACCATTTGATATAATTTTAATTATATCTTATTATAATTATATTATATAATACATATTTATTATATATATTATATAATATGTATCTTAATTATATTATAATACATATTAATATTTATTCCTTTAACATTTAAATATTCAAATTATAGACAGATAATGACAAGCAAATAGAATGAAGAAAAATGAAAAAGAAGAAAATTCTTCTTTCATTCTGAAATATTAGTTACAATTGTTTTACGATCCATATTAGAAAAAATGAAATGATGTATAGCATAAGGAAAATTAATATACCATATCTTCTATTTAGGATTGATTTGGAAATGGATCATTTCAGTATCAATCATCAAATTATCTGGCTGAATCTAAGATCGAACTACTTTATTATCTCGCCGATCTTCCTCCCGCAAATCACTTCACTAAGTTTATCTTTACAGTATGCTAAATTAGTACATTAGATCATCGATGAATGAAATTTATATTTCTGTTATGAAATTTGAATTTATTTATATGAAAACATTATTGGATAAAATAATCAATCATACAACATCAGCTTGCAATGGATCAGTTTCGTTGAATAGAAAATAACGAATTCGAAAGAGTACAGAGAGATTTTGTCTGGAAAATATGGTCAGATGATTAGCTTCTTCAACATATAATGGTGCAACAGCACGAGGAAATCGTTCTATCAATATTTCACTATGACTTTTTGGTATAATATTATCCATACAACCGTGACAAGCCAATACAGGAACATTAACTTGTGGTGCTCTGTCGTAACTTTAAATAATAAAACAAATTAGATTGAAGTAAAATAAATAGAGAAAATAAATTAGAGAAAACAAAATTTAATATTTCTTAAATAATTCAAAATTAAATTCAATAAAAAAATGATCTCTCAAAAAGTTTTGAAACGAAAATTAGATTTGAGAAAAATAAAATTATCTAAAAATTTTCCAATAAGCTTAAGTAAGCCTAAAATGAGGAAAATTAATATACCGTATCATCTATTTAGGATTGATTTGGCAATGGATCATTTCAGTATTTCATGTAATTCTTAAGAATTTTGAAGATATTCAACAATTCAAATTTGAATATTTCAACTTGAAAGCCAAAAAAGAAACACCTTAAAAATTGATCCATGCAGCAAGTTCGATCAGTTTTTACGTATAATCTTAGGGCAGATGCGAGTGGTGCAAGGAGTACTATTCCACAAAGATTTGGCGGATGCTTAGAAGCCATATAAACTGTTGATACTGTACCGATACTGTAACCAAGTAATGCAATCTGGAAGCTATTTAATTTATTTATCTATTATTTGTGAATACAGCTCATTTGACCTATTATCACCTTCAGGCACTTGGAAACTTATTGGAAATTAAAAATCCAGTGTAATTGACGATAATAATAAGTCAGATGTTTATTGATTCATTCAGATTTTCCAAGTTTGTCATTGAGAAATCTTAAAAATAAATCTGTTCTCAATTAGTTTTTCTTATTCAACTTTACTTCATTTGTGCTATATCTCTGTTTTACTATATCCATTTCAACGAATGATTACGATAATATGACAGATTGAGACAAGGAGGCGATAACCAAGAAATCGTTATTTAGCAAAAGCTGCAAATTCTTAGCTTACTCGAACACGTGGTCCTTGAGATTCAGAAATATGTTTATAAGCAGCTTCAATATCAGCATAAATATTTTTTTCCGATGGACTACCAGTACTAATACCATATCCAGAATAATCATACGCATATAAATCAGCTTTCAACATCTCAGAGATATACCTAAAAACATGATATTCAAAATTCTTTCTAATTTCATTGAATAAAAGAATTGTTGGGATGTTGAGCAAGATGCGCACAAAGAAGCTGCATGTTGTGCAGTCAACATTCAAATAGAATTCAATTCTGACAGCTATTTAATTATTCGTTTTTTCCTATCTGATAGTTTGACTTCTACAGGCTTTGCAAATTCTTTGATCAAAGCTGCAAATCCACCATTTTATATAGTTATGATATTTCAGAGTAGGAAGTGAAATGTTAGATTTTCCTTCTGTGAATGGATAATTTAAATTTCGACAAATTTTAGTAATGCTAGTGAATATTACAGATTATGTTAACTTCCTATTAATAGACATTTACCTAAAATTTAATCCATATGGCTGAAAATAACATCCCAAATCAGAGCTGTTTGGTTGCGAAAACAATACAACCTGAAAGGCCTATGTTTGAGAAAAATACATAATTTAAAATAAATATTGCAGAAGTTTCACTGCAAATAATTAAGAGAAAAAAGCTTGAAAAAGCAAAGGCTATTAATTTCACATAAAAGGAAGAAATCGATCACTGATTTAATCTTTATTTCGAACATTCAGAGAGGTGGTGGCAAGAATGATTTGAACTAAAAAGAGAATGCAAAAAGAAACAGTACAATATCTCTAGTATTTTATAAAGGAACGGTTTCTTACTACCAGAACTATCTTAAATTACTAGAATTTAAGAAATTTTAAAATCTATCGAGATTTAAAACCTACCAAATCTTTACATTTATCACTTGATAAATTATTGTCGATCTTCAAAATCGGCAGATATGAGCCGCGCCTTGTTTTAATTATTGACGTATCAACAACATCTTCCGTTGAAATTGGTAATCCTTCAATGAGCTGTTGTACTTCGAATTTCAACGATGTAAATTGAGATGCCTGGAATTTCAAATTATATTTAATGAATTCTTGAAAATTTCTTCTATAAAATAAGTATTATCTATTCTTACTTAGTTATCATGGATTATCTTAGCTTTGTATACATTTTTCAATGTAAGCAATTTTTTGCATACCTTTTTTGCGTTATTGGTTTTCACAACATTGTCGTGCATATCTTTTCCGCAAACAACGTATGTTTTTCCTTTCTTTAGTGGATGAAATGCTAATTTTCGAATAATCATTCCCGGTACTGGTGGACAACAAAACACATAGCATAACATACCAGCAAACTAGAAATGGAAATAGTTTTATTGAAATTAATAAATTATAACCATCTATGATCTTAAATGAGCAACCAAACTGCAAATGGTTCTGCAAGAAGAATTATTATAAATTAAACCTTCAGAAGTAGCATGCAAAATTGGCAGCAACGACATTTCTCTTTCTTTGGTGTTTCTTGAATCTTTTCAGGTCTTATATCATTAAATTCAAGACGATTCCTTGGATATGATTTCCTGTTTCCCGTGTATTCCTCTTTTTTTCCATCACTTCTTTTTAAATTCTTGAAATTTATTAATTAACCGGAACTTATTACTATTACATCAATTTTTCGGAATTAAAAAAAAGCGCAATTTAAGCTCATATATGTATGCTTAAGCTTAGGCTTTTCTTTCAATGGAAAATGAAAAATTTGATAGATCTGATATGTTTGTGTGTCACTTATCGATTTTTTCTACATTTAACTTAACGAAAATTAATTAAGTAAAAAACCAACGAAATTTTAGACAACGTACACTTGAAAGATTCGACGTATGCCGGCTTGCAGGTAATTCATTCAATGTTTTCTTGTATTTACTTCTCTGTAAAAAAGAATTTCGCAAAACATGTTTTTGCAACGAAATTTCAAATGAGTGCTAGTTGACATCATATGTGTATCATTTTAGGCTTAATTTATTTTATAATCTTGTTGGAAAAATTGTAGCATCATTTCGTTGAAGATAAAAATTAACTGTAAATTTCTTCCTTTTCTATTAATTTTTTCCTTTTCAAAATTTATTGTGAAATAGTGAACTCAGTCAAAACACTGAAGTGAAATTCACCAAGTTATCATCAGAACTTGAAGGTTGCTTATAATTTGCAACAGTTCCTGTCGTGCTTATTAGCTCCAAATCTGAATTTTCTTCAGTAGCACCACTAACAACAATCATCACTTTCCTTACACTACCACTTTTCATCGATCCGTTGAACAATACAAAAAAACGACCGATTAAGCAATAATCTCTCCAGCTTACAATGATTTTTGCTAACATTTCGAGTCTTTTATTCCAACAGTTTAATTTTACACGAACTTTTTTATATGAACTGAATTTCTACACTGCGATCTTCCCTTCATAGAAGATGAAGTATGAAAACTTTTCAATTTTCTATTGGAAGAAATCAGTGAAAGCAAAATTAAACAGTGCTATATCTTCTATTTTACAATTCATTTTTACATCTTGCTTTGATCTCTTTCCAATGACATGCTTATACGCTTCAATGAATACTCTATAAGGTGAAACTGATCACGAAAACAAATTTATTGAAAAACACATAGTTGAAATGATGTTCGCATTATATAGTTCCGGCAAATACTGAGAGAATATAATCCATATTGATTGGTCCATTAATACATTGATAAAGACGTCACTAATATCTGCATTGCATTTGCATAATGCATACATCAGTCCCGTTGCAAATAAGTATGAATCTAACGCTGTTGAATTTCTGTACGACTTGAATTTTTCATATAATAACTACCGCATCCTCACTGGATATAATTATATTTTGTCCACTTCGGATTATCTTACATTTCCACTTTTCATTTAGCTGAAATTTTTTGATTTTTTGTATTAAAAATCTTGTAGCTTTCATTTAGATATTAGTTTCAAAAATGTATAAGAAGACGGAGATATATAATGTGTAGATGAACAAATGATAGCGACAACAATCCATTTCAATCCATTCACAAGTTACGTAGTTCCTGAAATCAATATTCAAAAAGTGCTGAATTTTAACCGGAAATTTTTTATTTAACAAAGTTTATTAGTATAGAATTTTTGCACGAAATATAAGATTTAGGGCGGCCGCAGAAATGAACCATTTTATTATCAGGTCGGACCAACAATACTACTTAAATATCTCAATACTTGCATCGCATAACTGTAGAGATCATACTTTTAGAAATGTCTCTTTTTCATATCTTTGCTCTTCTCAAACAAACTAATTAATACCTTATCTACGATTAGAGAATTCTGACAAACATCTACGAAAAATTTCTCAATGTTTTTGCTGCTTGCAAACAAATGATTCCCATGCAGCATCACGATATCGCCGGATTTGAGTAGTGATGTCAACTGAACTAGTAATTGCTCGTCCCATCACCACTATATCGTTTCCATCTACACCTATTGCATGTTCTATTGAACGCCAGTTTTGACCAATTCCATCGCTCATTGCATCAACATGAACTCCTGTAATAGCATCCATTCCTTCAAATAAACCAAATTTTCCGTCAATAAGATTCGACAAAAAAAAGAATTTCAAAACCAAAAGCCAATATCCGTATAGTTTTCTTACATACTCAAAAACAATTTGAACAGACTCGTCTGATAACTAAATATTCAACAAGTCGAGGATCAAGCATAAACAGGTTTTAATAGCTTAATCTAAAAGGCTGCAGTAAAAATAATTGCTTATTATTACCTGCAGTCCAGTAAAGAAAACTTGGTATATCAGCACAACGTTTCTGACAAATGAATCCAATTACGATATCACGATTGTTTTTTGCCAACTGCAGTGCAGCTGAAAGACAGATAAACTCAGAAACGCAAATTGGATTTCTAAACTCATTTCAACCAAAATCGCGATTTATTATCTATTAAAAACAACAGCAATTTTTGCAGCTACAACAAGCTCTATCGTTTCAGATATATCACCTTTTTATTTATTACGTTTTTCACCTTTGTGAAACGTACCGTAATTCTTTCCATCAAAAAGTACTACCGTGTTTTAGAGTATTCCCAACACTTAACAAAATAGATATATTTTGCTGAGACGAGGACAAAGAAAATAAAGATGATAACCTAAATTTCATAACCAGAGTTATTATATCATTTGCCTACCATTCAAATATTCTTTCGAATTAGTGAAAGCTTCAGAACTCATTTCCACAACCAACAAACAACCAGTAAGTTTTGACTCCGGTTGATCAGCGATCTGAAAAAAATCATTCCATAGTACCGGGTTTCTTCTTCCTCATGGGGAAATATTTATTAAGTTTACACAATCTACCATACTGAAATCTTAACAAGTAATGCGATTTATAAAATTTAACTTGAGTATGTAATAAAGAAACACCTATTAAGTAAATATGCAGATCCTAAATTGTCAAAATAATTTCATTATGAAACTACTCATATTGAATATGATGATGCCATTAAAAAAATAAAAAAATGTATTGCGTTTGTCTTTCCGAATCTATGGCAAAATGGGAAACTAGTTTTGCATTAATAGCTTTTTCAAAAATTTTTTTTCAAAACTTTCTCAAACCTGAAATCTGGAATGAAACTCGAAGGAAAAATCATATGATTGTTGCCTTTGAGTAAAATGCACTAAATACAAACCTTTCTTATGACATTCAAAACGGACTGTCCAGAAAGAGCATGTACAGAGACAACTTGTGCCCAGGACGCTATTTTAAACGGTCCTTTTGTAAGCTGCAAATTCGTTATATGACCAATGTCGGCTAACTTTCTGAAGGATAAGAAAAATGCAACTTCGATTAAATTAATCAACATCGATTAAATGCAACTCATGTGTATCCTACCTCATGTGTATTTTTAATTTTTACATCATAAATCTTGAAATCTTCACAAATACAGTAGTATGTTGCAGTATTTGTGGCGTTTTCATGTCGTTTAATAAACATGCATTTATCATCAATAATTTGATAATAAAAATTAAAAACAATGACATATCTGTCTTCAAAAATGATGAAATCAAGATTATCAGCCAACGATGTAAGCTTTTGCACAAAGGCATCACTGAAATCTTCAATCACATCAGCATGCAGCTTTACAGCGCAGACATAATCGCCAGTCTTTTCAATAATTTGTATGATCTCCTCAGATTTAGTGATGTCAACTGCTATACACAAACATGTTTTTTTCTGAAGTAAAAAATTAACTTTGAAACACATATGTATTTCCTGAAAATATGAATTCTGAAAGATAGAAGGACAGCTTTCTCCACTTTCTTTGTTACTGTTTTGAGTAAAAGGAAAATATCGACTTCCTCAAAATGCTGAGTTCTGATTAATGTAGAAGTTTGCCGTAGATTTACTTACTCCAAAATATTTCAAAACTGAACTTTACTTTTCACTAGTAATAAAAACCAAAGAAAGCACGGCACTTCTTGAAATATCAAGTGCAACCTTCTCAATAAGTAACAAGTGAACTTTCCATATTGTTTGTCAAAGTTAAAAATTTCAATAAATTAACTAAATAAAAAAGAGTACTAACTTTGATTATAATTTCTAGTAGTTTTTTATTTAAAGGATTTTGTGTAGAGTTTTTCCGTAATGTTAACGACCAGTCACCGTTACATTGAACTTTTTCAGTGATCGATGGTGGAGGAAGTGTTAATTGATAGAGGATGTCTTCTTTCTTTTTTATAGTAATGGTGCCATCATCGATCAGAAAATCAAGCACTTTGTTCATTCCCAGTAAACTGCAACATGGAAAATTAATTTTGAAAAGTTACACAGTAAAAATATCATCTTTAAAGGACACCCTTTTAAATCAAAAAAGAAAGAAAAGAAGCGGAAAGAAAGTGAAATTGAATGAGATCGCAAATTCCCGTCGAGTGAATGTCGAAACGTCAAAGGTTAAAAATCATTTTCATCTCTAATCACAATATTGACTGACTGAACGAAATGTCAAATTAACTGCACTACTTAAAAACTCCAAATAGTACAAAAATTAACCTATGTAAAGTAATTCCTTCGCCCTGAACCCTTTGTGAACCGCCTTGTTCACGATCCAACACACATATTACATCCTTACAAACCAGACCTTCGTTACGCAATACAATAACCGTTTCCAAGATACTTCTACCTCAAACAAATAAAGATATGCTCGCATAATTTGAAAAACATCCTTCTCCACTTCGTCATATTTCTGGTGAAGTTACCAAATTTTTTGAGAAAATGAACAAGAAATACAACCTAAAGTCACGACATCTTCAATAATCAGAGCTCGTTTTCCGGTTTCATAGTTGCCTTCGATAATTTTTCCTGTGCCATATGATTTTATTTCTTTACGCCTCAACAACATTGGCTTCTCTAACTGACCAGCAATAATCTAGTGAAGACATAACAGCGTATATTCAGTAAATTATTCAAATGAAGGAAATTTATTACTTATCATATTAACAGCAACTACACCCCTATGAGCTTGATAAAAGCTGAAAAACATACTGTCGAAAGTGGTAGTGCTGCATATGGTACACCAACAATATAATCACACTTCAAATTCAGCGCTTCAATCAAACTGCACATATAGCTCGCTGTTAACTTCTAGAATTCAAGCAATTTGACTCATTTTTACAATTCTTGATCTTTTAAATTAACAAATAACTGGTGTCTCACTTCGAAGAGCAACGCAGAGCATTCAACTCTTAGCTAACTTAACTTGTGAATGTTTTGCTGACTTGGCTTAGAAATATCTACTAATATATAACGTCGTAAGTGACCTATAAATCTCCCGTATCCTGTGACGTAATGCAAGAAACTTTACATGACGATGTGCATTAATGGAAAATTGTTTCCCAATAATGGATTTCATAATTAAAAATTTTTTTAAAAATAAAAATTCATAATTAAAAATTTTTTGGCGTAGTATAGTAAGTTCACCTCGTAGAATGGAGGGATGATGAGTAAACCTGCATGATGATAGTACAAGATACTGAATAGAAGGAAAAAACTATGAAAAAAAACTCACGAGCACTTTGGGTGATGTGAAGAGTAGACGTAAATCCACGTAAATTGGAGAAATCTGACCACTTCTCAGTGTAAATTTGCCCAGCTTGAACACCCCCACACCCTCCAGCTCCTTGAATAGTAACCGCTCGTTGATGATATCGCCAGCTCTAGACATTTTCTTTTCGGTCAGCGCTCACAACAAATCCTATTTCGGAAAAATCCTACCAATACCGCCAAAAATCAAAATAGTCAGATGGAATAAAAAGATATTCCTGCAAGAATTCTTATGTACATAGGTATAGAAGTTAGACCGTGTACATAAATTTAAGTTTAGCAAAATATCACACATATAAACTAAGGCACACATGAGATAATAAACGAAATATTGATATTTCAATGGTCAGTATTCGGCGATAACTGAGATTAAAGCAAAGAGTGAATCCATGAATCCATTGAGGATTCGCTATGCTCTAAGCAGCATCAGTTAAGAGCAAAAAAGTTAATCAAATGTAAACAAACTATCAACAGTTAACCAAGCGATTACCTATTGCTTAATAACCTTCCTGTGAGAAAAGTTTATATAGAGGTTAGATTAAATGAACTAAGATACCCACATAATAATACTCACATAATACTTCTTTCTCTTTCACATCATTTGAATCTTTGAAATCATAACTTATAGGATATTGATTCAAAAAAGTGATAAAGATATGTAACGCGTATATAATAAAGAACAGAGAACGATTGAATTTTACTGTTAATCTAGGAGAGAGTGAAGGGCAGCTCATTAAAAAAAATCATTCACACAGTCAATTGATGACATTCCTGTCATCAATTGACTGTGTGAAAAAAACCTGCTTAAAAAAGCGCGTATACAATAAAGAACAGAGAACGACTAACTTAATAGCACGAGGTAGAAAATCAATTCATCTAGGAGAGAATGAGGGGGCAGCTCATTTAAAAAATTCACACAGTCAATTGATGACATTACTGTCATCAATTGACTGTGTGAATTTTTTAAATGACTGTGCAAATGATTTTTTTTTTACTTGATACCAATACTCGATAAATTAGAGGACGATAATTTGTTACGAAAAGGTTCTTGGCGGCATTTGCATACATACTTCGTCCTCTTCTCAAAATGAAATAAAGGGCTAAAACATTGGGATGTACATTTCATTGTTCAATGAATTCTTGCTAACTGGTGGGTTGATTTTGGAAGATTTGTTCGGGCATAAGTAGGGTAGTTTAGCCAACCTCATGAAGTGAAGTGAGGTTACCTGTTGCTTCACTATAGCTTGAAACTGCTTTCAATTCGCAGTTCAAATCTGTTCAGCTAACCATTGCAATTCATAATGAGTTTTGATGAAATAAATGAAATTCACGTTGGTTCACATTGAAGTGAATTACGTTAGAATATTTAAATCAATGTCTAAAAAAGGTATAGAATGAAAAATAAGATTATTACTAATAGCAATGGAAGTGGCATATCGCTATGGTGAACAAATTGAAACTACTGTTGAAACAATGCGACGCCGATGCCTTGCGGTTTTTATGCCTTTTTTGAAATTAATTTATTAATTACACTAGTTTTAAATGCATATATCTGGCCTATCAGCGACAGTTAAAGGTTTAAACAGGGAATATTTAAGGGAGAAACTATTTCAATTCGATAATTTTCACCTGAACATGACGTTCATCGACGTTTATTTCTACAGCCATTGCACTGCAGAATTATAGTCGTAATCAACTTGCCAGAAATCCAATTTCCAATATCACAGAAATTTTGACACTAAACGTAGTAACACTTCCAGATTTACGATGGTACAATAACTCTGGGACAGAAAGGAGTGCGAGCTGCAGAAAAGTTACGCGAATACGCCGAACCGATTATTTATGACATTTCTGAGAGCGTCTGTCCAGAAAATTTTCTGTTTCTTCTTTTTTGAAATATTTAATTAATACAGCATAAATGAGCAACTCATCGCCTACAAAATTAAAATTTAAATTTCAATACTTTTATGGAATTTGGAAAAAACCACTTTAAACCTCACTTCAAATTATGATATACCACTTAATTTAACTATACAAACTCTGTAAGGATTTTCGAAATGTCTTGAGTTGATCTTCAGAGAATTCAGTACTTCCAAAGCTTTCCATAAAAAATTTACTAGTCACAAGATTTCTTCAGGTGCAAACTGCAATACAGGACTTGAGTCCACTGGATGCAGGTGATAGAGAATTTCGCAATAATTTATTGGAATTATACTTGAGCTGCTCTGTCCTTTCAATTGGAATCAGTGCAGGTATTTAATTTTAGGAGAAATATTCTACGGATGATAAATTTAACGAGGCTTTTTGCCCAAAATACTTAGGATTTGGCCCGACTGTGCATCATAATTTTAGGAGAAATTTCTGGTACGCTTTTGCTAGGGATGCTCTACAGAAAAATATTTGATTGGTGGTGGGAACTGTTGCTGGTAATCTTATTGCCATATTATGTTTATCTTACATTTAGAAAAAATGCAGGTAATTTTTCGAAATTTAAACTTTGAGATTTTAAGAAGATAAATGTTAAATAAATAAATCCATTTTTACAAAAGAGATAAAAGTGTCTAAGTTCAAATAATGCATAGATAGCGTTGAATGATGAGAAAAAGATTAAAGCTTAAATCTAATATGCTTAGTTTATCCTACCAAATAAAAAACTCCCCGATAGCGGTCGTTTTAATCTGCAGCACTGGACGAAACTGAAAGACGTGTCAACTTATTTGGCTTGGGTCTTGCGATCGGCTCGTGTACAGGGCACATGATGGGATATCGGCTAATTTCGACCCTTCCGTCAGTCAATTTTATCCAGCCATTCATCTTAGCGCTGATGGTAAATCTGAAAAAAATTGCATTTGTTCCTAAATTTTTTAATTCTATCTCAAATTTCAATTTGACAACTTTAGGAAATGATCCAGGAATGCGTAAACCGTAAAGTAGATGTGAATTAATACGAAAATATCAACTAGACTTACGAATTCTTACGAACTTACGAATTCTTTGTAGGTGGATCCAGAACTTTCCCCATCAACCGTATATTCGCCACGGCAAAATTTATTAGCTGCAAGCATAGGCGCAGGTGTCGCCGCAGCTACTTTACTTGGCATGATCCATGGCCTGTCGTTCTGTATTATCTTATCAATTGTTACACAAGCTGTATTTCTCGCTACTCATTTCCAGGTATATTTACCCAAATATTGCCCATACCTTCTCAGAAAATCAATTAAACTGTAGCGTGCAAATGGTATCTTATACGAGAATGGAAAACATAGTAGTTCAAACACAGATTCACTTGACCAATTAAGATTTCTGCATAAGGCAGCACCAGGACAACACATTCAATCATGCGGACAATTCGAGGGATATGGAAAAAGTAGTGTTCTATTAACTATGCCCAAGCATACTTTAATAAACCTACAGGTCGTGCTGCATACAATGAAAAACAAATCATATGGAGTCGGAGAAGCTCAATTGTGCTATGTGCTCGGATCGATAATCAGCCAAATCCCGCTAGCAATTGTGTTCGGTACTAGTACTGCTAAATAATTAGAGTTTAATTCATTCAAACATATAACAATTTTTCCATGCAGAATTTTTATTATACAACTGTGACAAGGGAAAATTAAAACTTAGAACAATTTCTTTGTGATCACATTGAAATGACATTTGCTATAACTCACTACTGCTCATGCAGTGCAAAGTATATGGACAAGTGTAATGATATAACCATTAAACGAAAACTTTGAAGGATTCCATAAACGACTAATCATTTTCGAAATATGCATCCTCTAAATCTCGATCGTACATCCGTTCATACTCCTTTGTCATAACGTTGTCAATAAGAGAATAGTCGTAAAATTCCGCATCGTCACCTATAACTTCATTGTGAATGGTTATTCACATGAATGGTTTAGTTACCTTTCGTTTTAGCTACAATTAAAATCTCAAGCTTTGATAGTTACGCATTCTCAAAATTTCAACGCATTTTAAAATCTACTAAATAATAAAATGATTAAATTTAAAGTGAGCCTTTCAAGCAATTATAACTCCAGTATAGCTGGACTACCCTTAAATCAAATTACTCAAAAAAAAACCTCTTAAGAACCGTTGTTCCATGTGGTCAATGAAGTCTGCTCTCAGCTGTTCCTGATCGTGATCTTCATCTGATTCCAAAGTTATATCTTCTTCCATCGTACGGCTGGAAGTTGGTTTAGGATCACCATCAGCAACTTCTTTATAGCCGTCATCGGACTTCATTTCGTCGTTATCATCTTCCATCTCTTCACAAAACCGGCTTCTTGCATGTTGCACTAAGTCACCGAGCTTCGATATATTCTTCCTATCATACTATAAAAATTGCAATTACGCATGTCATTTGGAAAGAGATATCATGTTACAGTTTCCAGTGATCATACAATTAACTCCAACATTAATTAACTTCTGTTGTAATTAATCGAAGGAATAGAAAACTTTTTTGTATTCTTTTTTCAATCTCCCCTTTCCCTTTCATTAACAAACTTGCACCATATTTTCTTTCATTAATTACTGCTAATCATTTTCTTTATTTACTAAGCCTATCATTCATTTCTTACAATTCGTCTTGGATATGTTTTTTTATCAACTTGTCATGTGAGAAGACTAATACACTAAATATCAAATTTATCAAAAACTAGGTTAAAAAATTAATACACACAACGAAAAGAGAAATAAAGCTACGGTTCATTACCTTTAAAAAATCATTCCAATCATTCAGATGAGTATTTCGTCGATTTGAAATGATTTGGGAATCTTCAAATTGCATAAAAACACCAGAAAGAGACTCATTTTCAATAGTTGGTCGAAGGTAAATTTGCTCTTCTTCTGGTAAAAATCTGCCAATCATTTTGTCAAAAAGAAGTGGTTCGCGTTCTCGCATTTTTTTATCCGAAAAATAATCTGTTTCTCTCTTTAACCGCAGTAATTCTGCATAACGTTGATTTCGAAGTCTTACGTTCTATAAGGATGTAAGATACAGAAAAGAAGTGTCGCATTGCCTTCTGATAATATATTGTGTTAGATTTGTGGCAACATTACCACTTCAAGAAAAACTACAGAAAATAACGAATTCAAGACTTGAAATGAGACGAGAAATTAATAAAAATTTCAGTGGAATCTTGAATCCACTCAAACCATAAGGGTGAAATGAAAGTACCTTCCGCTTTTTGGCATCCATATCTTTACATCTTTCTATGACTGATTTTATATAACACTGAATTTCGTAATCATTCTGATCAAAACAGTCGCAATCTTCCACCGTTAAATATCTGTGATAACGTCCCATGAATACGTGTGAGTTTTTCATAAACAAATTTTCCAGCAATTCCCTGCAGATCCTTTCGTTATTTGTATCTAACAAATTAAAATAAGCAAAAATTGCTGTTGCAGTTTTAAGATCAAATTACGAACTCTATGCGCATTTCTGTCTCAATTCTTCTCCCACTCAACTTCACTCGTGTAAATATTCAATATATTTTAAAGTGAAATATTTGTCTCTCTTCATGCATTACATCTGCAAGTCAAGATCAAGTACCAAATTTTGAAAGTTTTTTGAAACTTCAAAAAAAGTGTTCTTTGGTCCATAACCTTTTTTCTTGTATTGTCAAATCGGGCGTATCACGTTGTTCTGACCGATAAAAGACACCGTCGTGTGATATGATTCTGTCAATCATTTTATTGGAACTTGGCGTTATCTTCACTTAAAATTCTAGTAATGAGATAAGTTTGCTACAAATTGTTCGAATTTTTATGGATTTAAACTTTGAAATATTAAAGTACTATAGAAAGTGCCAGGCAAGTCAAACTCCAACTGATCCTTCTTCATTCCAGAATGAAAATTAAAGTGGAGAAACTTACAGTCCGTCAACTTTTTTGTAATACCCATTGATTAAGCATAAACCACGTAGCTTTACATGTCAATGAAACCTGGCGAATCACAAGACAAGAATCAGACAAAACGCATGAGAAGTAAGAGAAGCGAGAGAAATTTCATTTCAGCGGTTTGATTTTGTGAGTAGAGCAGCGATATTGATAATGTTATGCCACGGATTTGACGAAACGGTTAGGGTAGTGTTGACGCCGGTTTGTCGAATGTTGGCAAGATTGGGGTGTATATAGGACCCTTATGTTGGGTTTATAGGATGAACGCTGGGATTCTATGTGATGGGCTTATTTTATGTAATTTTCTTCTGGGCTTACATTATTCTTCTTGATTATCGGGTCGTTCCATCACATATCGGCAGATTCGCTAGACTTTACTGCATATGTGTTCCGTGAAAGTCTCAAATTGTCCTGGTGATTAGTTGTTAAGAGCTCGGGAGATACGTTCTGCGTTAGCTAACAGTGACTTGAGCTTCTTTTTTTACCTGTTCGGAGCCAAAGATTCATACTTCTCTCCATTTCACCTAATGATATTTCGGTTCAATCAAAAAAAACTGTTTTAATTTAAATTAGTGATTAGATTGGCTCAACCTAATCACTACTTTAAATTAAAGCAGTTTTCCTACTGAAGGGAAAATTGGGAACATATTGATCGATTCTCACCCGTTACATAATTATAATAATGAAATAAATACATCAGTTATTCCTGAATCCTAGTTACGGTATTTATGTTTGCATATTGACATAGGAATAGGATCTTAGAGTTAATAAGGAGTGTCTCTTATCCTTTTGTCTGCTTGCGTTATTACTGTATTTGAAATAATGAAATCACATATATAAAATAAAACAGTTTGCTATTAAATCGAATAACATTCAAAAATTAAGGGATCGTGGAAGATGCCGACAAAGGCCAAAGGAGAAACGGTAAGTACTTACTTATATGGAGGTTTGATAAGTTGATGATCTTTTCTTCATCTGGAAAGTTTTTACTGATTTCGATGGAAGCCTTGAGATAGTTGATTGCTGAAGAAGCTCCTTGCCTTGTTTTTCTCTATTGAAAACAATTTTCCATTACAGCTGAAGGAATTCATCGTCGTCGGGCGTAAGTTACCATCTGAGAAAGAATGTAATCCTCCGATTTATAAAATGCAAATCTTTGCATCAAACCATGTGATTGCGAAGTCCCGATTTTGGTATTTTACCAGTATGCTGCGACGAGTCAAGAAGGCGAACGGAGAAATTCTTGAATGCAAAGAAGTGAGTTTGATAACATAAATTAAAGGTGGATTTCTGAGGAAGCTGTCTGCCTTATTTTTCTAGATTTTTTTCTCTGTTGAGAACAATTTTTCCATTACAACTGAGGGAATTCGTCGTCGTCGACGAAAGTCACCATCTTATGTAAACCGATCAACATTTGATTAAAATTCTTAAGGCATATTTTGAAAAAGGATGGGTTACTTTGACAATTATCTAGCAAGCAGCAAAATTTATGCCGTTACTTTCTCTATCGAGTATACTTTGTAGGTTTTTGAAAAGAGGCCTGGCTACATCAAAAATTATGGCATTTGGCTTCGGTACGACTCGCGCACTAATCATCACAATATGTATCGTGAGTATAGAGATAATACCATTGCTGGAGCCGTAACACAGTGTTACCGTGATATGGGTGCTCGTCATCGGGCACAAGCCGACCGAATTCAGGTTTTTATATCGTTTAATTTGAGAAAGCAATTCGTTTAATTCTTTTACACAGCATCATTAATAACTTTCAACAATGAGTGACAAATTGGAATGGTAAAATAAAGAACTTTGAGTTCTCACTCGAATCGGTATGTTTTCGTGTTCCAGAAACTCTTGAAATAAACAAATGCTTGTATTTATCTGCAGATTATCAAAGTACAAGTTATCAAAGCATCTGACTGTAAGCGAGCGGCCATTAAGCAATTTCACAATTCCAAAATTAGCTTCCCATTGCCACATCGCATTGCGAAGAGAAGAAATGCTGCTGTCTTCACTACTCGTCGTCCAAGAACACATTTTTCATAAACATGTTGTTTCGTTATTGTTTTAAGAATAAAAGAGTTTTTAATTTGGCACGATTAAAAGCAAAATGTATGAAATAAACTTTGTTTAGAATATATCTGTTTTGTATCTTTTCGCATTTCAATAATTTACCCGTTTCTGAGAATGGCTTGGTGCTACAAATTAGGTAATGCTAAAGTATTGCGAAAGTACATCTCGCTAGGCTGAGAGAGGGATAGTTTGGTCGATAAAGGCAGGGTATTTTAGTGATATTGGGGGACTTGGTCGGTATTTTCTGAGCACTTCATGATCGCAGGAAAATTTTTGTGGTTTTCTTGAGTTAGGTTTGGAATTCCAAATTTAAAGTTATGCAGAAAGCGCCTCTCTACACTGGTGTTGGGTAACTCGATATATTTTTGAAGTTGCAGGTTTAAGTTGTGGCAGGATGGATTGCTTTGTTGGTGCATCAACGGGTGCACTAAAAGGTGGGTAAAAACGTTCTGAATTATGAGTAGCAGTGGGGAGTCGCTGGAAATGTATATATCAGAAATATCGTTGGGATTGTTTGTATTGTAATTTAGGTAGTATTTGTCTGCGTAGTCGATTTAGGCTTAGTGAGACATGTTGATTGCAAATCTAGGGGAATGACAAATGGCCCATCTCATATTAAACCGTGATATTTTTTTAAAGCTTTTTTGAGGCAACAATTGAAACTGAAGTAATAGAAATGGTCGTATATATGATGTATGGTATTGAGACAATTTTAGGGATTTCTTTCAAGGACAGCGCTTTCAGTAATATAAATGAGATTGCTTCACTGAAACCCAAGCAAGATGAAATAACCTGTATGAGCTGGGCAAATGAGGATCAAGTGAGAGATTATTTTTTGTAATATCTAATTCCAATTTTTTGATATTTTTAGTTAAGTAAATTCTGGGGAAAACTTTATGATGTTGAAATTAATTTGTTCTTAGACGGAATTGTTAACAGTCCAAATGGATAAGCAACTGAGACTGTTTGATACAACTACGAACGAATATACCACACTCTTCACTTTGGGAAATGGCAGCGGTGCAGTTAAAGGGATCAAAAAGACTGCAGTGTATGTTGTTTACAGCTATATTGATATTTACTTTCGAAGGGAGTCAAGGGAGCAGTATGTTAGTCGTATATCGTGGAAAACTGTTCTTGAAAAGTTGTGATTTTTTTCGAAAATTATTTGAAGTAATGCTCTTCGGAATGAGGCTTACTTTACGACTATCCTTTTTGGAAGTTCACATGAAAAAAATGCTTAGATTCAAAGTCGCTATCCGTTCCAAATTAGTTTAGTCAGGTTTTCCTTCTATTGAACGTTTTAGATTGGCTTATGAAAATTAGTCTGTAATTTTAGTTTCGAAATTTCAATTTCTTAAGTCTACAATTAGAGGATTTTGGAGAATACTAGAATTTAAAATTTCAGGGGTACATATATATCAGCAGTTGAGTCTGGCGAACTTTCTGTCTCTTCACCATCAGGAGAAATAGTGAAGGAGTTGGACGCAGGAAATAACCTGCTCGTGATGGTACCTAACTGTGAACAAGAAGGACATTATGCAACTGGTGGTAAAGAGAATCCCTTAAAAATATGGGATATTGAAAAAGGCGAAAAAATTTTTATTGCTAAAAATGTACGACCAGATGAATTGCAGCTTAGAGTACCAATATGGGTTAATGATATACGGTTTATACCGAAGTCGCAAAACATTGTAACAGTCACTGGTAAGCATCAGGTAATTAATTTTTTTATCGAATTTTTGGAAAAATTTTTGAGTTTCAATTATATCTATTACTGAAATTTAAATAACTTTTTAGTTTGACATAACTCTCACTGCTAGCTGATATGGAAGGATAGTATTAACGTAAAATGAGATATTTGTTTAATAAATCCCCAGAAAGGTAAAAAGCCAAAGGATTCAAACCAGCTTGGTAGTCGAGGAAGATTCACGACGACAGCCATCAAACTATAGTGCATTTATAGTTTGGTGACTGCTGTCGTCAACGTTTTTCATTGGATTTGCATACCGCGTGGTCATTATGGTTGGAAAATGGGTTTTCATAGTTTGACTGCAATTTACTTCCTCCAATTAAGTTAGATCACCCTTGGAAGCATGTTCGTCATATCTTAGCTTTCTAGAGTAATTCCTCAATATTTAAATGATTGTCTAATATTGCAACATCAAAAAATTATTGTTGCACATTGAGGGATAAAAATTCCAGAATTGCCCGAGATGATTGGTAGTAGTTTCGTCGTTGTGAGCCGCTAATTTGAATCCTGAATTGCAGATAAGACTTTATGATCCTCGTACACAGCGAAGACCGGTAAAGGAGATGAAATGGGCAGAAGAACCGTTGACGGCAATGTCCTTGTGTCGAAACGAAATGCAAATAGTTGCTGGTAATACTCGTGGTGATATAGGATTGTTTGATTTACGAAACAAAAGTAAGTTTAACTATCTCCCTTTCATTTACAATTTTCTAGTAATCCATGAAGACGTAGACTATAGGAAAGCAGAAATGAGAGAAACAGAAATATCCATAATGGGATATAGGGCAAAAGAAATCTCTGGATAACTTTTTTCTCTTTACGAGGACTTTCGCGAAACTGAAAAGCTCTGCAAATTTCTCTCTCTAGAATATCTTAGAAATTCTTTTTATAATTAATTAATCAAGTTGTTTTGTCTTTTTCAGTGCATCTAGTATGTAAGTATAAGGGTTGTGCTGGTTGTATCAGTGGAATTGATGCACATCAATCAGCAGAATATATCGCCTCGTGTTCCCTTGATCGTTTTGTTAGATTGCATGAATTGAACTCGAAGAAGCTTATCAAAAAGGTTATTAATCGCAAATTTAGCTTTTAATTTCTCGAAAACTTATTCTCCATATCTTAACTCTCTAGGTAATTTCTCAATATTTAAATAATTATTATTTAAATAAATAATTATTACTATTATTATTATTATTTTTAAATAAATATTAATAATTATTATTTAAATAATAATTTAAATAAATAATTATTAATATTTAAATAAATAATTATTACGACATCAAAAAATTACTGATACAATTTGTTACACTTTGAAATTCAAAAATTGTGTTAGTTTGACATTTATTTTTCTTATCTTTTTATTTGGAGGAAAGGCTTAAATTCAATTAAATTTACGCATGGACTAATGATCAAATAACATTTTGGCAAACCAGCGCCAAAACAAGTCGTTTGCTGAATCGTTTATTTATTTGTAATTTCAGTAACTTTTATTTATTTTCTCTATCATTACTTCAAAAGTAATCGGTCTGTTTTCAGATTTACTGCAAAGCTCGTTTGAATCGAATTTTGCTACGTGATAAACTTTCCATCCTTAATAACGAAGATGATGGCAAGCAAGCAATGGAAAGTGATGATTGGCAGAAAATTAAGGTGAAAAAATAGGGTTTTTTTAATTAAACTATATTTGTTTTAATTAAAATATATTAACAGCAGCAATGTATGTCGAAGCTTTTGACCGCCAAATTATATATCTCTAGTTCCTAATTCTGTTTTCTTTTTTGACTGTTGGACTTCATCTTTTTGGACTTTTAAGCTTATTTTTATCTGCTCATGACCGTTTGTCATTTATTTTATCTAACCCAATAGTTTGTTTTTAGCTGTACTTGATCTTCTAAATTTTGATCTTGTTTTGTTTCTTTTCTTGTAGTCTATTTTTATTGCCTTACCGGCCAAAACTTATTTGCGCTATTTGAGTAGCAAGTGGTTGTATGCAGCTATCTGCTTAGCATCATTTTTAGTGATTCAGTACTTTTTTTAGCAATCAAATCAATTCTTTAGGAAGATGCTAACAATGAAAGTAGTGAGGATGAAGCTTTGTGGAATGACATGAAACAGAATAAGGAAAGACAGATGAAGAGGAAATTGAAGGTATGTCTTTGTGATTGCTTCGGATCAATTTGCAAATTTTTCAGATGGATCGAATTTACGGGAGTAAGATGATTATTTAAGTCAAGAATTTTATTACGTTAGGAGAAAAATCTTCAACATTTGATATTGATTTGTGGGAAGGTGCGGATTTTTTCTTTGGTCATCTTTGTAATCCGTCTCTGATTTCAATTTCATGTTGCAGGAAGATGATATGGAGGAAGTGATCAAGAAATCTAAGTCCATAGAAAGAAGGAAACGAAAACATGATGTTGCGAAACCGGAAATTTCAAAACGAAGGAAGTTGATAAAAGGGGCGAAGAGAAAAAGCGGAAGCGCTGACGGGACTGCAATTACGCTGCCGTTTAAAAAATTAGTCCAAATCGCTTAATTTCATCTTTTGAAAATAGTTGAAAATAACTTTTATCTTTTTTGAAAAAGTAGAAGATAGGTGCTTACCATTGTCATTCTTCGCTCACTTTCCCCAAGATTTAAAACTAGTTTGTGTACAGCAGAGTCAGAGGGCGCCTATCCATATTGATGGATGGTATGAAGTTTCTGCTCGGTCTTGTTGGTACACTACCGAATTTACCAAAACTGCCGGATCTGTCTCTTTGTGATAGATGGAAACTACATTAAATATAAAGCAAGGACAATTCAACACAGGCCTTCGACAGATGTTTATAAATTTAAAGGTTTCTTTGTCTCGATTTGATCTCCTTTCTGGGTAGACGGTTTGTGTTGTGTTTTATACTAATTTATGTTTATTTGTTATGAAATATTAAAAAAAAAACAATATACATGGATAAAAATAAAAAAATCTCAAGAACAAATCTCAAGTTGCCATAGAACATTCCTGAGCTGCGGTCGCATCAGTTCCGATTCTGGAAATGAAGATTATTATTAAACCATCTACCGAAGTTTTGCCGCCGCCAAGCCAATTAAATTCAAGATAAGATGAAATTCTCTGATTCCTATCTGATGAGATATCTTATAAAATAATTTCTTAATTTACCAAATGGTATCCTATCTGGCATATTGTTTTCCGGGAACTTGATAATACCATTCTCGTTACGATACTGAAAAAATATTCATTTGCCATAAAAATACGACCCAATACTGTTATGGTATTTCACAAATTCATTAAAACGTGGAATGGAATTTCAAAAATTCCTAGAAAAAATTGATGAAATTCAACGTACTGTTTCTTTTAAGGGTCCTGGTATCATATGCAGTGAAAGGTGCGTTGGCCAAGCTATTTCAATTGTTTTCTGAGCAAGTTTTATCAAGGTAAGGAACTGGATTTGCAAGTCTCGTGCTTCTTCAACAGCGTCGACAGCTACTAAAGTGGGCAGTAGAAGAATTAATTCATCTGAAATAGAGACAATAGTAACCGACAAGTTCATCTGCGAAACTTGGTGCTAGATGTGATGTTAACGCAGGAACATGGATTATACATTTGATTTCAAAGAAGCTGTTCAACTTGTCTTCCTATAAACTGAAAATGAATAGCAGGAGTGTCTGGTTTCTTCCTTCCTTGCGATTCATTAAAAAATAAAGATTTCTTAAACACAATAAATTTAAATGAACTAAATAATACCTTGCTGGAAATCGATACGTAAAACAATATCTTTCAAAGCATTCAAGAGCGCCGCATCTTCGTACGCCGAACCTTCCTTTAGCACTTTTTTCTTCCTTCAATAGCATAAGAAAAACTCAGTAAATGATATTGGTATCAAATGTCGTATATCCTACTACTTATCCTACTATCTTACTACTTGTTATGATAAGTAGTAAGATAGTAGGATAAGTACAGTAATGACAATAAGCAGCATTTAAGATCATACAACCCAAGTGATCCTTTATTTACCAACTACGCCTCAGATAACAGTTCTGTGCTCGTGAAGTTTTAACTAGAGAGCTTACTGAAACGTCAACTTTTCATTTTAACCAAATTGAAGAAAGGATAGACCTCCACCAGATGAAAACCTGAATGATTCGAATTGTTTGCTCAATCTTATCACAAAAGGAATATTAATTTTTTATTATTAATATTAATTTTTTTCCACTGAGTAATTTCTCGACGTCTCTTCTATTTGTACAAAATATATAAAAAGCTGCATGAAATATCAACTCAACTAGCCGGAATCACTCACTTTTCAACATGTTTTCGGCGACGAGCTGAAGCAGTAGAAGCTGTTGAAGTCTTCGACATATCACTTAATGTACTAGACATTTCGCTGAAAATCTAGAGAAAATTCTATTATTTTGTAATTTCATCACTTGAATTTTTTAAAAAAATTCAAGCCGAGATATTCTACGCCACTAAAAAATACATTATTTGATGGTAAAAATACTAAATAAGGAATGGACACATAACGGTATAATTATGTCAAAGAAAATGATTGCAGTTATCGCATAAACTGTGCCACCAAGATGTAACGTCTTTAAAGTAAATAAGTGAATAAAAAACCAACTTATAAGTAAATAAAAAACCAACTTCTGACTTTGGCAAATCTTGATCTTCAAATAGCTTAATAGCTGCCTTTAGCGAGTTTTTTTTATTCTCTCGTACTATTTCCAAACGACAGCAATATTGTTCCAATAAGCTCTCCCAATTTTCTATACTTTGTAAAATTTGTTCGCAACGAATGGAAGCTGCTTCAGAAACAATTTCTGTCATCTCTGCAAAAAATAACAAAGCCAATACCAAAATACTGTCTTACACATATTTATTTACATATGCACATATATGTGCACTAGAATATTTCGTATGTTGTCTTAAAAAAAAGTTACCGTCATCGCCGAAAGCAAAATTCATAGCAAAATCCCAAGCGTCCGCCTTACAGTAATATTCTACTATCTGCACCTTGTTAGACTGGAAAAGAATTTTTTTAATCATTTAAAGATTCAGTACCATATTGATACAAATCTCCTTTTAAAGTAGCAATACCGCAAATCACAACATTCTTTGTCAAATGACAACCCACGGCAGTAATAAGATAATATGAAATATCGTCAAGCAAATTGTTTTTTCATACCTTTTTATCAATGAATGATAAGATTCCAGCGATATCCATAAATTTTCCTTTGCTTTCAAAATGTGGGACCATCTTCTGGAGTGAATCGTTTAACATTTCTTTCTCTATATTCATGATTTGCCCACACTCAATAACTCCTTTCCAGTTTTGAATACTCTCATAGCACTGCAGTGCCAGGGCTATATTATTTGCGCGTTTAAACAACAATGCAGCTTCTTCAAAACGCCGTTTATCCATCAAGTGATTGGCGCATAATTCGCAAGCTTTCTAAATTAGTAGTTAATTCTTATTCCTACGATTTTTCTTCAATGAGTTAATTAATTTCATTTTGCGGAACAGTTGACAACTCTCATTAGAAGATGGCCAACACCATAAAAGAGCCAAAATTATGAATCTGACATGGTAGTTTGAATTGTACCAGAATTCACTCGAGTTCAAAATGATAGATGATAGCAAAGCATTCTAGAATGTATCAGCTACGATCTTTTAGCAGACTAACCAACTTTTTAACGCCTAACTTTTCTGTTCTGATGAAACCACGAATTAGTAGTTTTTGTAAACGATTCTGACAAAATAAAATTCTAAGAATACATGCCAGATAGGCTTTCTTCCCGCGATATATTACTAGAGCTTCTGCATATAAATTCTGTCGTTTAATAATTTCAACTGCTTCATTCCAGCGATCATCCAACTCTGACAGATTCCGAACAGCTCGCTTGAACATTCCCAAATGTATGTCGATTTTAGATTTTTGATATGCAGGAGGAGAGTGAACTTGAAAATCCGTTAGCAGTGGTAAATATTCCTTCGGATCCTGAATGAACAAATCCATTTTTAAGTTTTTTTTTATGAACAAAGCTAATATACAGAATGAAAAACCAACATGCAAGGTAAAACTAACTTGCAACTCAGAATAAACATTCTGAGTATCAGTGAATTAGAAAATAATTTACAATAAAGTAATTAAATGAACAATAATCTACAGTCATGGAGTTTACTTAATAATAATAGACAAAATTTAGATATAAAACTTTACCATCTGAGAATTTTCTGCAACAGCAAGTGCTAAATTTAAATCATAGGTCGATAATGCGACATTGAACAAATTTTCATTGGGAGCAAACAAAGACACATAAGCAATCCACTTTTTTTCCAATTTCGTCCCATTAGGTACTGAAAAAAGATTTATGAAGAATATACTAACTTGATCTTGACTGAAAACACCATAAATAAACGAAAGAATTTAAACAATTTGAAATAGTTTCTAAATTGCTAAAATATTGAAAAGATTTTAAATAAAATAACAAAAAGATGAATGAGAGTAACTTCCAACGTCCTACTAAGATAAACAGATGAAAATTGACAAGATGGTATTCTTAGGAAATCAAATTTCCTTGTGATTAAATTAGTTTTGTAATTTTCTAAAAAACATTTTTTTTTACGTTTTAAAGATTGCTCCCGTAATGCTGACAGAGCTTCTGCAACTTGCGGAGGCTGTTCTTTCAAATACGTCGATATAACAGTGGTATACAAATCAACAATAAGGGTATCATCGAGACTCAAAATATATTCTCGAATGGCGGCACAAACATTTTGGACCTTAATAAATAATACAGATGAATATTCAAATATAAGAAAATGAAGAAGCATTTCATTTTCATTAATCTACATTCTATTTTTGATTTCTCTTCTCGGTACTTGACTGAGCTCATAACTGGTGTTCAGTTAAATCTGCAGATGAGAAAATCAAATTTAACCCACTGTTATTTCTTAATTATATAAAAGCAACAGAATACCGCCACTGCCTTATCTCTTAAACTTTTTGAAAGAAACAGAATTTAGCAACTTAACCTTAGTTTTGTCAACTTTTACTGCTCTTTTATCACATCTTGTGTCATTATTATTGATATAGCTTTCCGAATAAATACCGGTTGTGACATTTTCACTATTCAAATTTGCCACAAACAAGTTCAATAATTCAGCAGAGCCTATATCTTTGACAAACTGATCGATGTGCTTCATGAAAAACTAAAATTAGGAAAATAAATAGAGTGAAAATTTCGATATCACACATTCACTGAGCACAATAAAATAAGATTTGTATTTAGCATTTTCAAATCTCATTGTGACACGAACATCCAAGCACACTTGAATCTCATAAGCACACTGTGCAAGCGTGAGCTTATTTTGAATGGTATTCTTCGACAACGGATTCGGTTTTCAACGAAATACTTCAACTTATAATTCATTGTTTTCCAAATAACTAGCCTCAGGATTATGATCGTAAAAGAGATTCATGTCAATACGATGCTTTTTCATGATAACAGCTGCGTCCTTGAAATGCAGGTCATTTAGCAATTCTTTCAATTTGTTCAACAGCAATTCTTTTAGATGTATCGTTTCCAAATTACCTGAAATGACCAAATGAACTGCAAAAAAGAAGTGTTTTTAATAATGTAAATTTAAAAAGAAATTTCGAATTCTGACAGGAATGTGAAAGAATCAACCATATACAAGACAAACAATGAAAAAATTATTTTCTCCTATAAATTATAGGAATAAAAAAAATTCAATTCTAACCCCGAGGCATCTGTAGCCAAACCCGAGTACCGTCTGTTTCATGTCCAATCAACATTGCACCTCTTTCAACAGTTCGACTAGTTTTACAGCTTATTTTTTTGTCGGTTGTTAAAATATCTTTTAGTTCAGTAATTTGCAACTTCGATGAATTTGAATGTGAAAAAAATGCTATAGCCAACAAATAGTTCTGATCCACTGCATACGATCCAACATATTTCAAAATAGATCTGCCATTCACAACTAAATCACTTGTTCTGTCGATACCAAAAATACAATCCTTAAAATGAAACAATTTCCTTCCTTCTGTGCACAAATTAGTTGGCATTTTTCGACCAAATTTAGGCATTTGCAGCAGTTATCCGATAATCACTAGAGGCACAATGCAAAAGCAGCAGCAGTATAAGTTCGCTTTAGATTTGCAACTTGTAAATTACTTGAAAATGAGGAGTCTGAAAAATCAAAAGTTGTGGTCCAAAAACCATGAAAGCAATTAAAGGAAAACAAATACTCAGTAGTTTAAAAATTTTTTAAAACAATATACTTTAGTTGGCAAGCAACGACAATGATGCAATGTCGATCCCATTTCAAAAAGCTTTTCTGTTTCTAGACAATAATTCTCATCTTTGTTTTTTTTTATTGAAAACCATTCACCAATTCCTTGCAGTACAAAACCACTGGTGACGTGACTGTGCCAAATGAATGGTTTCTCCATAGAATATAAACAGAAACTGAAAGGACAAAATATAATCTCAGATGTTGAAGCGAAAATAAGGTACACCGTTGCTATTTACACAGTCAAGTGAGCATACTTCTGGACAATTCATAAGACTTCGCGTGGTCAGCTAGTCTCTCTGTCAGAAAATTTTTAAAATTTTAAGCAACTCAGGGAGTGCCTCACTCACTGCAGTGAATAAAATAGTCAAAAAACTACAAAAAAAGAGCCAACCACTCTCAGTGCAGCACCACATTACCATAACAAAAAGGTTATAACAAAGATGTTAAGCCATTCTATTTTTCAGAGCACACTTCACAAATTTCGATTTAGAATACCAAACGCGTATTAATCATAAAGCAGTTACCTTCCTTTACGATTCATATTTTTTAAATTTAAGCTATATAAACTATAACGTGAAGAGACAACAATGGCAGAAAGTCGATTAGAATCATCCAAACAAAGATTGTAACATATGCAATCTTTTGGCAAATCGGTGGTATCATATTCAGCATATTCTTTAAACTTCCTTTCTCGCAATTCATCTGTAAAGCAGTAATTAATAAAGCTAAGTACTACAACATTCTACCGCCGAACTTTTCTACAAATAGAAATATATGTGCCTTTTGCTATAAATCTTCGCCAGGCTGACACGATATAATAATGTCAATATCAGCTTTTGCTTCAGTTTTTGATAAACTGTGCGTTTTTCTAATACAGTTAAATGTTTCAAATCTGTGCATGGAAGCTAAATCCGATCGTTTTTGTCTGTAGCGTCCCAGTATTCAACGTGTTATAGAATATGGACTTGAAGTTGAAAGTTGTTCACAACTACTTTAAAAATTGGAAACATATCGTACACGCAAGAAGTGAATAGTCCGCAAGCAGAAAAGCTGCACTACCATTATATTGTGCAACTTCACAAACAGTGTTTGGAAAAGTGAGCTCATAATGACACATTGGTGGTGGAATTGGCGCTGCTTTTAGATCGGTTACACGTACATTACCTGAAAACTAATTTATAAATAATTTGCTCAGTCACTTCATCAAATGATAAAAGGCTAGCTCAATTGTGTTTTTTAGTGCATCATTCTCATTTACCTATGCACGAAAGTTAAATCTGAGCATGTTTTGGCACCACACGTTAGCTTCAGTTCGATATAATGAATTGTAACTTCAAATAGTATGAGTAAAAGAAAGCATAGATCAATAAACAACCTTATTATTATATCATTTCTTTCCTTAATCGTCAGAAATGACATTATTTCTAGATAATAGATTTGGAAATAACTTACATCCTGCTATTGACAAAACAATATCATCACAAAAATTATATACGAAATCGAAATCAATAAAAGTGGCACGACCATTCTGCGTAACATAGCAAAATTGATTAGGATTACTTTCGTGCCAAGATGTCAATAAAAATCCATTGTTATCCAATATGCGATATTTGAGCATCCAGTCATAATTACTGACGCACCAAAAACTTACTGAAGTAAAAGTCTTACTCAAAAATGTTCATAAACAAAACTGAAGACCTGAAGACCATAATTTTTTCATAACAGTGCTGTACCTTCTTGGGCAGTACCCAATAAATCTATGGACCGCACACAAAGGATATTCCCATCAGTGTTCCAACCCATCCAATCAATTGCAGTTCCTTGATGTGGTCCATATTCGAATTTTGATCGCTTTTGTCCGTTACGTTCATAAAAAATTATTTCACGTCTGTCACCATCACATCGGCTTGTTGCAATAAGATTTCCCGTGGGCCTGAAGAAGAAGCCTTTGTAATTTACAGAAACTAAAAACGATGTGTAAGAAATAAGTAGAAGTGCCTGTTATCATCAGCATTTACTAAACAAAATAGTTGCGAATAAAAAGAATTATAAACTCTTACATTACTTAACTCATCCTATTACTATTTTTACACGTCGAACATCGCGTTATTATTTCGAACATTCTAATTACTACTGAATTAATACTAATAGATAAAAAGCAAAAAGAATAAAAATAAAATAATAAATAAATCATAAGTTTGGTGCATAATATGAAAAATTTCAAGCACATGAGATGCAAAAAGACAGCAATGTAATATTAAAAACGGGACATAACTTATACCTGTAAGCCAGTGTTTCTTCAACATTACTAATTTGCTGTAAGTGACTAATAAGTTCGCCTTCATGATCGAAAACACATAATCGCCGAAAATTGGTTTCCTGTTCCACATAACTAACGACCACGTAGTTGGCGTCACCGTTCCATGCCAACAATACTCTACACTGATCATATTTACTCACAGTAGTAGGTTGCTCATTATCAACCAAAAAATTTCCCTTAAATAATTTACATAGAAGAAATCAAAATTAATAAACCTATGGAATTTGATGATGAAATATTAAAAGTTAGAAATTTAACAAAAATTTTATGTTTCCTTAATAGAAATCATACTTTTCTCGGTTGCTTCCTCCCTCCGATGCCTTGAAATTGTGTTTCTTTAGAACCCCAGCCAACTGTCATCAGCTCCTCTATAAGTAACCACTACGTGCAACTCGCAATCATTATGTGTAAGCATTTATTAGTAATGATAACGATGCTATTAGCAATAAATGTTTTTACAATATAATACGCATGAAGCACATGCATAAATATATCCAAATTTTCGTTCAAATTCAAATCTGAGCAAAGATTTTAAAAGTGCTAATTTTCAATACATAGGAATTTCATGAAAAAATAAAACGCTGGACTACCTCGGCCAGACCTCGATGAATTTAGCGGCTGCTCATTGAAAATGTCAAAATGACGTGTAACAAAGTACAACATTTCCGATGATGCAAGCAGCAAAACATGAAAGTCGGGAGCCCATCTTGCGGAAGAGATTTCAGTTGGTACTATGTCACATCTCTCAACCTAAAATGATTGCTTCGCCAAATATCAGTTGCAAAGTCTTCATATTAAAACGATCCATTTCACTGTCTTTCAAAAAAAAAGGAAACATGAAATGCCGATATGGTTATTGAAGTTTGTTATAAATCTGGAATTGAAACAGAAAACTCAAGATGCCAATAAATCAGCTTCTTTAAATAAAGATAAGTGAATAAATTACTAGCAAAATAACCAACAGTTCCATTCTCGTAATCCACGATCAATACTACACCTGACGACAGCACAGCGCACAACAGATATTCGTCGCTAAGATAATCAAATGAAATGATTTTAGCACCATCACGTTCTTCGGTCCATTCGACCAGCTTCTAAAAAAAATGCTAACTACAATTCCATTTCGATATGTCCTGATTGATACAAAACTCTTTCATCATTCAGTATTGGCTTTTTTCGACCTACAGCAATTATTCGAAAATAAGTCGCATAAACACTAAATAAATTATCTATTGGTAGTCCGCACAACTTGCTTTGTTCAGCTTGCTGAAAATGTAAATGGCTCGATCTCTTTTTATTCCTCCTTTTACTCATGACGTGAAAAAATAGACAGGCAAGAAAGTTGCAATAAATACAACAAATTTACCACTATTTCGGATGACAGTTCACATACTCCAGAAAGACAAGCGCAGAAAATCCTATCTTCAACACTAACACATACTGCTTCAATTTCTGAAATTATAATAGATGCGTTTTTTAGCGTAGAGTTTGGAGAAAAAGTTATAGAGAATTTACCAAAGCATATATACATGTTTACATTACTTCAATTCAATTACCTTTAAGTTAAATATGTGCGAAAAAATTTAGTTCATTTGTTCCTCAATTTTTTTTAATTACAATTCAAGTTACCAGAGGATGAGAGGGACATTGAGAATGCTTCATTCTGCCGGATTTCATGTCTTGCACTTGATAACAATGTATCACGCACTACAGCCGATCGAATTTTAAGATTCCGCATCTGTAAAAACATAAATATAATGCTAAATCAAACCTGAAAAGCGAAATCTACGAATTAAGCAACTGCAATTTTAAATCAACAAAATAATATCCACTGAATCACCAGCCTAACTATAGATAGCTTGAGACACGGTGTTGCATGGACTGCCTAATCCAAAATGTGCTTAACAGTTAAAAAGCAATTGCCGAAAAATTACATTTTACTTTTTTGTTCACTCTTATTTATACGCTTTCGCTTTAAATATTACCTGTTTTTCTTTTTGTTTCTAATGAACAGGTATTATTCAGTTTTACCTTTATTTTAGCTTCAATTTGAACCAATTCTCGGTATAAGACTATAATTATTTTATGTCTTTACATAGGGATTACAATAAAGTTCACTCTTATTGGAGAAAAGGGATACGTTATCCTGATATTGTAGCGACAAGTAATTTAACGTATCAGATAAATACTACTGATAATATATATATATACATTAATATGCTGGGTGAAGTGTGTAGTTTCCAATGTTGGAGAATGTTCCGTAAGAAGTCGGTGTGTTTTCTCGATATCATATATAACTTGTGTTCTGCGACATTGTCAAACTGGTTATTGAATTTTCTAATTATTAAAGTTAATAATTATTAAATTTTCAAAATTCTAACAGAATTTTATCAGTTTCATTATATACTGCAATTAATTGCGGTGAATGTTGCTTTTTTCGTTATTTTTTGTTAAGAGTTGAACAGATAAGTTGATTGATGCTTTGCAGCAAGTTATAGGTGGGACGTGATGGTGGACCTTTCGTATGAATCTCTTCTAGATGTCTGTGTCTCAGCTGCAATGACTTCGGTTAGGAATATGAATTATGATCAGATAGGGGAATTGCTAAATGATGATGGTGATAAAAAAATTGATGATATCATTGATAACATATCACAGGTTTGTTTTTCATTATTTGAAAATTTATCGCGTATTTTTATTTATTGACTTGCTGAAATTTTTAGTTCAACTGATGTTGGTACTGCGTTATAATCCATCTTCACCAGTTTTTTAGGTCCGAACTTTACCTACTGAACGTGAAATGGGTCTTGTACAGAATAAATCACTTGCTGAATGGAATTTGTCACAAGAACCTAAGATTGAAGAAGCTAAAAAGCAATTACGAACTACTTATGAAGAAGCCGTCAAGATTAAGGAGGAAGTGATGGAGCTTAAAGAAAAACTTAGTAAGTCTGAGCAGTTTTCTGTCTTTTGTTTGAAAAATAGTTAACTTTCATGTGTTTTGGTATTGCTTATCTTATCAGAGATGTAACTGTCATTTATTAGAAATGGCTGAAGTGGTTAACTTCTTTCCACAATAATAATATTTAAATAATTGGAATGTCTTTTTTTCTTTTTTTGTCTCTTGATGGAAAAATTGAGAAAAACTCCTAGAAAATAAATTTTTCAAAGAAGGAAATCCTAGAAATAAAGAATGATTTTTTTTTCTAATAAATGATTTTTTGAATGATTTTCATTTTCAGATTCTTTGTCGGAAGAAAGATCGTTGGATACATCGAGTGCACTTCTACAAGCTGCTGCTCAGTCTGCTGATGACGAGAGCGAAGTAGGTTTGCATAAAATTTGAGTAATTGGGCTATCAAACGGCAAAATAATCATTTGCACAAAAGCATGGGAATGAATTGTTGCCTGGAACCGTCAATACTTGTTAGCATATTCAGTAGTCGAAATGCATTGAAGCACCTATGACTTAAATGTCTGTTTTTCATTTTTTGATTCTCAATAAGACAATTCAATATTGTTATATAGTTTAGTTTTTTTGAGCGTATGAGGGCACTCTATGTGCAATATTTCGTGGTGTGCAACACTGCATGTGAGGAAGCCTTTAATTTCAAAAATTTCAGTTTACAGATTACAGCTTTTACATTTGAACTTATATTCGCAAAATGTAATTTTGTAACAATTAAGCCAAAACACAGAGATCTAGGGCTCACTTTATTGATAGGATACAAACGATTTCGATTTATTAAACGTTGTGAAAGCAACTATGATCGATCGGAAATATTTTTTCTGAACCATTGGTAAACAGAAACTGCATTCTCTCATTAAGATTGATATATAATCTAAATCGTCATGCGAAATACTGCCTATTTTAATACTACTTTTTTTCTTTGTTTCAGGCGATCGCTGATCGATATTTAAGCGGTGAAATGGAAGTTGATCAGTTTCTGAAAGAATTCATTGAGAAGAAGACTCTTGCTCATATGAGGTTCATTTCTTATACAATTTATTCTCTGCAGTTATCTGAAGTAATTTCATATCCCCAAAGTGGAAGTCTTAACTTCATCTAGAAGAATTTTGACATTATTGTATTCCTTAAGAGAAATTTTAGACTTATTAGTTAAACAAAATGATTAGACTAATTTCTCCTAATTTATCGGCAATATTGCGAAAAAACAACTTTGTTATCTTGCTTATCCTACAGAAAAATCAAATCCGACAAGCTGTTAGCAATTATGCAGCAGCAGCAATATCCACAGCAGCCGAGTTCAAATTTCAAAACAACGACACCATACCCCACAAAAGGTAGTGGACTGTACGCACAGCTTGTTAATCTACCATCATCCCGTCAGTCATTCTGGTACTGATAATTTAAACAATGATATATTATGTTGAGCCCATCAAGTGCTTAATACTGTTGTAACCGGAATGGATTTCTTGAATATTTACCTGATATTGAAATAGATGTTTCCTATTTGAAAGTGAATTAAGAACCGAAATTTCCTTGCTTACTTCGATATTTGAACTGGATAAGATACCAAAAACAAATTCTCTCTCACATCCTCATTTGCATTATTTGACATCATATATTTATTTGTATATGTGTTTTCTCTTGGAAAAATAAATCATATCTTCATATAGTTTACAGTTTAGTATTCCCAATTTCGATCATGCGAAAGGAAATAAATCGTATTTCTAAGTATCTCCATGTAACGAGCGGCGGGTCCGACAGAAGCACAATGAGGAAAGAACCCAAGAGCCACACCCTGAAAGAGGATACCGAACATAGCACCGTAAACTTTGCGCTCCCGGATAACCCCGGGGACGCGGTCCAAAAAAATCAACCCGCGGGGTAGGCGAACCTACTTCGCGAGGGATCCCAAGAACAGTTGTTCGAGGGCTAAACCCAAAGTCTGCATTTAGAGTCGTGATTATACTAAGTCGTGCTGCAAATGATATTGAGTGGTTTGAGCTCCAAATGTATACGCTCTCACGTTTTCTCTGTCATACGTTGCCTCGCTCTTCTGAGATATTCTCTGTCTCTCTTCAAAGAGAGTGCTAACACAGCAATTGGATGTTCTTTTGAAATTCCATGAAGAATGGTTTTTGTACAAGAGCTTTCTGAGAGTTTTTGGGGTGGCATTGTTTTCTGGGAGAAAGCTAATCGAACAACGAGATGTGACAGGGCAAGGGAAAATGGATTAGCTAAGAAGTGAAATTACGTGTAGCTAGGAACTTTGTTAGTTGGCTCGACTAGATAAAATAAGTTCAGAGTTAAAGGTTAGGATATATAACAGCCATGTTTGGGCTGAATGAAATCGGAAAGATTACAGAATGAGGAGTGGATGTTGGGTTGATGCGATGCATCCAATGCTGTGTTTCAAATTAATTGCGTTTTCGATATTCGATATGGTGATATTTCGGTGAAATAAAAATTCCTTTATAGCATCAAAATTCCAACTCTTCCTAATGTAATTTCTGAATTACTGCTGAGCAGTTTTCATTGCATATAGATTCACCCTGCTATCGGATGAGGGACCGCAAATATAATATATGATTCCCCGAATGAGGCTCACAGTACCAATCACTAACCGCTTATGTGATTATTCTGAGGCGGAGTGATTCTTTCGCAAATATTTTGACTAATATCGCGAATAATAACGTATTCTTCTAGACTTTTGTAGATTTAATCATGAAACTGCTCAAATCTCAATGGGTTGTTGGAACTGCGGCGATACAACATATTCGAGAGGTATCTCTTAGAGCAAAGGTCAAGAAAATCGATCCATGGCAATTATACGAACCACTGATTAAGAATACCAAAGTTTATCCGGAATATCCATTACTAACTCTTCAATTGGATTCGATGGATTTTGTACCACTTGAAAGGTTTCAAAGTTACGCGCACAAAAAGGCACTCCAATTCGAATTCAAAGTAATCGACAGGTATGGTTTCGTGTTGGTTCCAATTACAGAACAGTAAATTCCATCAGAATCTCAGCGATAAAGACAGAGATTGTCTGGAGATTTAATATATACCGTTCCTTATTTGTGGCACAACTAAGCATCAACTCTCAATGCGAATTTCCATTTTACTCTTTTACTTAATTATTCTGGTCTTTTTTTTTCGCTTAATTTATCATGTCGGATCGATACATTTAATCCTTTATATTCTATGTTTTTCCTTTAATTCTAACATTGGCTTTTGTCTAAAATTTAAATTTAATTTAGTTCAGCATGACTTTATTTAATTTAATTCAGCACGACTTTCAATATTTTCAGGTACGCAATTCCTCCTACGAAAGTTTTACTGATGGTAGAAAAATCTGACAAAAGGAAGCAAGAAAAAAAAATAGTACTATCAACATATCATCGGTTTCTGAGATTGAGCGAGGTGCCTTGTGTTCGTCTGCCATTGTATCTTTCTCTTATGCAGGTCTATTTTTTCAGTAATTCCTAATGTTGTTAAACCCCTGTAGTTGTTTGTCTAGCACATTTTGAATGAGTTTACTGTCATATCTTTCGTAGGACTTCATGAGTTACAAATAACATATTCTTGTAAAAGATTATTATGTATGGTATGGTAGAGTAAAGCAAAAAGCATATTTTTTCAAAAGTTAAGATATAAATTACTTCACTGTGGAACTTAATTTGCTAAATGTGCGTAGCTCTCAAGACCGACTATAATATTTATCGATTTTCGGAGTGGAATTATTAGTAGAATCATAAATTGCTATCAGTCTAGGAAGCAAGCATATAAATAGCTAATAAGTTTCTGGAATCATCGTTAGTTCAAAAAAGAGAGTCTTCTCTCATTTAAAAAACGGACGGAGGCTTCTGTCTCTAAAAATATTCTTTCATTTAAAAGTAGTCTACTTCTATTCCGGAAGCTTTATATTGCAATATAAATATTTGAAAAATGACGACCAGGGTTACTTCTTTATTAAATTTGTCGTCAGAATTGCATCCGCAAGTTTTGCCACCTTTTTCTCCGATTATGAATATATTATTCTTGATAATCTCACTTCCTTCGAAATTTGATTGAATTATTTCAGCATCTTCATCTATATTGTTTTTTATCTGCAGGCCCATGCACCTGTTGGCATTACGATAACAATCAAGAAACAGGAACAAGCGGATGAGGATATCAGATATATACCGGACGAGATTTTGGAAGCTCGGAAAGCAGAGCTGCTTAGTCTGGATGATCCAAAAACGAGGAAACTGCTTGGGTGGGAGTGATTAATCATTAGTGAGTGCGCAAAAGGCCAAAGTTGTTTTTTGGAAAATGTGTAAGAAATAATATACGATATTAAACGCTGCAGGCAGTTGTAATTTCGAACTGATGTGGCATTTTCTGTATAATTTGACATGGATCTAGTCGTTCAATTACTGCATGATATGTGTCCTTCTGACCCTTGCGCTTGGTTCTCTAAGAGGAAACATAGATTATGATTTAAGTTGAGTTATGGGACTCCAGTATCTTACGTGTTTTGTTCCAAAGACTTTGATTTCCATTTGCTAAATTTACTTACTGCATAATTTGATTTCATTCTGCCTAAAATTTGTATGAAATCTCTGTGCGGAATTTATTATTGTTGGTTGTTACAAATTTATTAGATTTTAAAAAAAAAGTTCAAAACTCGTTTTTTAGAAACTTGAAATTCATGCAGCATCATTAGGAAAGTATTTATCGGTAAATCAATTAGTGCATACTGTATCTTAATGGTAAATCATTTTATATTCTTACTCGATTGTTTTCATTCATTTACTTGTTTTGTTCTGATGTTGTTATGAACAACAGCGGACAGAATTTCATCATTTGATCTTCTGAATAAGAGTTATAATCTCTTTGAACTATATGATTTCAGGATTTAACTGTGATAAACGAAATATGCTTGTTTTTGTGTAAAGTGATAGAGCTCCAACAAATTTTTTCTTCAGAAATAATGTTAAATGAATGAAATGTAACCCATCAATAAGAAAAAAAGAAATGTAACCGTTGAAAAATTGAAGAACTGGAGGAAAGATAATTAATTTCAATTTATTCACTTAGAGAAAACCGTTTCAAACATATGAAAATTTTCGCATTCATTAAAATGCGTTACAATTTTTCACAGCAATCAATCGCTTTTCTATTTTAACTTGACATGCATTCTTTCTCTTTATTTATAAAAAAAGATATGAAGGAAAAAGGAACTATATATTTTGATGAAAGAAACACTGTCGAGAATAACATGGATAGCATTATTTTTGATTTGAATACTATCTAACTTGAGACACCTTACAATTGTTTGTGGCTAAGAAGGCAAATAAGTTCTGTAAGGTAATATGGCAAAAAAGTTTTATAAGGTAATATAGCAAAAAAGTTTTGTAAGGTAAGAAACGGCAAGTATTTTTTTTTCCTTGAAAAACTGCACAGTTTCAAGGTAGACAGTTTTCCGTTCTTGGATACTTAAATTCCAAATAAGCGATCTATAATCTAAATTAAAATCATGGTAATATGCTGAAACTTGAATCTGATATATTTTAGCAGTGAGAACGAATCAATGAATTCAGAACTAAAAAAAAAAATGAAGTAGAAGAGATGAAATAATTTTTGCGTGCTAGTTGAAAGTAAACTTAATGATGATATTCATTACGGTAATATTGGATAAAGTGATGATACTTGAGAATACTGTACCAATAATATATTCATAAAATTTTCCAATAATAATTTCAACAGAAAAAAGAATGACAAGAAATGAGGGGTGGTTTTATGATCGTGCAACTGAAGAAAACGAACAAACATTCCATTTGTTTGTATATTCGACTTTTCTTATACACTGAAAAATCTGTTGAAAGGCTGCTCTTTTTTACTGTTGAGCAATTTTTGTAAGATTTTTAAGTGAAAAGAAAAAAATGAATATGAAACAAATGATTTAACAATAAAGTTTAAAGTGGCTATGGTTGATGACAAGTTAAAGGACGCGTCCTAGAAACCGGTTGAATCTTATTAAGGCCATTTCACTGTAAAATGACATGAAGTAGAGTGAAAGAGAGTTAGCAATGAAAAACGGCTAATGAAAGAAGGTTGGGAGAGATTAAACTTTTTTTTAAAATCAATTAACAATTGCATTTACTGCTGTACTGATTGATGGAAAAGAGAAAAATGTAATGTAAAGTGAAAGTGTTAACACAGTATCATAGAGGAGAATAAGTCCTATAAAAGGTAGCTAAGAATACAAAGTTAACTTCTATCTTGGAATGGCTCGTTCAACAATTTCCACTTTTCTTCTAGTCGTATCGATAACGATATCATTGGTTGCAACAAAACCTAGTATAGGATGGAATTCTAATGGAAACGAGGAACTACCTTCATTCCCTCCCGTATTTTTTGTTTCTATTTTTTAGCTAATAATCTGATTAATTAAATGTGATATTTCATATCTAATAATATTCACTCATTAAAAGGTGATTTAATGAAAAAAAAAATAAACTAATTATTTTCCTCCAAAAATATGAGATTTCAAAGCTTCCGTAGGATCGATTATATTGAAGCCTTACTATATTGGGTTGGAAATTTATTTTCTAGGTAATAATTTACCAAAACTTTTTAATTCATAGAAAACATTCAATTTTGGATGATCAAAATCATTGTGAATTGTTCGGTTATCTTGTGAAGAGATATTAGCGGAATATCAGATATGAACAGATGATATTTGAAAGATTCCAAAAGAGCTCATAATGCCAAGCTTAAAATATATAAGGCAATCTGACATTGAAAAAATCGTTTAAATTTAAATTTTCTTGAGAAATAATTTTCCTAACTGCATAAAATGCAGACCGGTTTTATGGATATCTTTTATTCCACTTTTATTATTTCCAATTTCTTCGTTACAATCATTCAACGATGAAAATTATGATAATAATAGCATATTAGTGGTGAGAGATATGCATTTATAATATATAATAATTTTCTAACAAAAATTCCGTAAACTAAAAACTGTAATCAGCAAACAATGATAGTAAATTTCGTTCTTGGATTATAATAACGGAAAATAAAGTTTGAATATCTTTCCAAAATAACAGACAAACTGATGAAAGTAGCGTATGGTAACAACTAGCAATGATAAGATTAGGAATAATAATGGCAATGATAAAAATATTCGTAATGTTTTCATATCAGTAATTATGATGATGAATAATATAAAACAATAATAAAATAATGTAGCGATCAATTTTTTTATCACTATTATCAATTAATATATCATACATAAAAGATTTTCATAAAAAATAAAAAATTTTTAACTATTTTTATATATTAAACTTCGTACATAAGTTAAATTGATGAATGGGCTAATCATGGATATATATATATATATACATTTGTCCTTTTGAGTTAGCTCTTTGAGTTGTGATATTTAATCATTTAGGAACCTCCATCTGAATTGAAGAGCATCTTTCCGCCTGTAACTTACGCTCAACTTGTCGCTGTTCATCGGGATCAATCGCTAACAATACAGGTTAGATAAATCCAAATATTTCATTCCTGAAATGTATATTCTATCCACACCTTTCATTTCTTTCCGCAGTTTCGCATTCATTTCGTAAATCGTATATATACATATATATATAGAAAGAGAGAGAGCCAATCGAAATGAAAAATGCGAAATATGGAAATTAAATCAAAATGAGTAAATATACTATAGAAAAAAATTTTGTTTACTAGGATCATATATCATCCATATGTTTGTTAAATTATCATATGCTATTGATTGCAGCAAAAGATGGTAAAAATTGATGAAATTATAAATGCTCTACCGGAAAATATTTTGCAACAACTTCCTCTTCCACCAGCATTCCGGTTACTTCCCGAATATGTCCAAGAAATGATAAAAATTATACGTGTATCAAAAAATATTGCAATGGAAGATAAATGGCTTCTGATGATACTTGTCATTGAATCACTACCAAATGAACAACGAAAAGTGCTGCAACAAATGATGCCAAATTCTCCAACGGTATTTTTTCAACTTAATAATAAAACAAATGCATTAATTTTTGATCATAATAATTCTCTTCTTTCAAATTTCATTAAATAATAAATTTTAATTGTGTAAAAGTAGAAGGAAAAATCGAACAAAATATTGTTATATTAATGTAACATATTAATGAGAATTAATTATTTTATGGTTGATAATATAATAGGGCAATAATAATTAATAGTAATAATGAATAACATTTATAAAAAGTGATGAAAATAATGACGATAACGATAATGATAGTAATAATAATAATAATAATAATAATAATAATAATAATAATAATAATAATAATAATAATTGACTAATCTCACTAGTCCAAGCTTAATACTAATAATAATCAGTGATGGATACTATCGATAGAATGGATCTCCAAAATCAGAATGGTTTATTTTGAGAAGTTAAAGAAGCTCTCCTAAATCCCTGGAGTATAGGTTTTACGATTATTACTCATCCAAATCCAATATGTATAAACATGTAAGAGAAATGTATTCAGTTACCAATTGGAGTGAAAGTGATCTATCCTAAATGATATTTACTGATTAGATAGCAAACCTATTAAGAAAACAATTATACAATTTCAAAATCACAACAGAAATGTCTCATCTGTATCACTCAATGATAAAAAAAAAATCTTTTTAAGGTAGAGTAACAAGTAAATAATATAAAAGGTAATGACAACTATAATTATAAATGATTCTTTCTTGTGTTATTATGTAATGTAATCTTTCCAGCGAACTATCAAATAATTAACATTTAACTAAAAATAAAACATCTCCCAGGAACCTTTATTGGAATTTAAACATATACTTCCAAAAGATATCTGGAATCAATTCATTAGAATTTATCAGGATGCTAATCTTAATAATGCAGTAAGTTTTCCTTTTTGATATTTTGATTTCTTTTTCAAGTAGAAAAATGCACTTCCATACGATTAAACAACATCATAATACATTTCCATCAAATGATAATTTTCAAGTACTTTCAAATAATCCAATATTTCTTTCTAGCAAAAAATGAAAAGAATTGAAGAACTAATGGATCGTTTGCCCGGTTCAATTCGTCAAAAGCTACCACCAACATCACCATTTGAAAAATTACCTACTGAGATACAGGAAAAATTGCAAGTTGTTCATATACAGCAAGGATTATCAGCACAACAACGACTTCAGAAAATAAAAGCAATTATCGATTCTTTGCCACTTGAAATTAAAAAATTGATATTTCCGCAGTAATGTAGTATTTCATAACAAACCTATCATATATAAAAATTCAAATTTATAAATTACTGAACGTACCATTGATTGCTACCATCAACTGCGTATTTATACTTTTTAAAATAAATGATTTTAGAAATGAAGTTCACAGTGTTATTCCAAAGAGTTTATTACAGGCGAAAAAGAAAACATCAGAAAACTATGATATTTTCCAACAAAAATTTGCGATACAGTAATAAGCTTTGAAGAACAATTTTTAGCTTTGATGTATCGTCCAGGATCTTATTTATTTAAGATTTCAGCTTCAGATTTATTAAATCACCAATCACATGAAATTAAGTGAAGAGTTTACCAAGTATCAAAAATTGTATCATTTCTCCGTTTGAATTTGTCGATGAATTCCATCCTTGTTTGATGATTTCGTTGACAGTAGAAGAAAGAGTTGCAAGGAACAATAGGTAATTCGATTAATTTTATTTTCAAAAAACACTATTATTAAGAATTTTAAAAAAGGCATAGGATATCTCTCTAATTCAACATTTTCAGAAAGCATAGAAAAAACAAAGCAAATAAATACACTAATAATTACGTATAATTTCAATTACCACAAAAAATCTTTCATCTGAAAACTTTTATTATACTATTGAGTGGCAAAAGTAAATTAGTATTTCGAAATTATGCTTTTTAATTTTTCTGTTTGACTGATGTAAAGAAGTAGATTTATCAGAAATGAAAACTAAGGCCAGCATTTAAAATATAGCAGTCTTCATCAAGGAGTTAAGAAAAGGCTATGATAGAGAAAAAGTTTGCTTGTGTTTTATACAGCCGGATTTAATCTACGAGAACTTTTATTGGCCAAAACTTAATTTAAGTGAATTTAAATTATTCTCATATCAATAAAAGAACTGAAGTGTAAAGAGCTTTCAATCAAGAAAGGATTTTTTTTTTCAGAGTGTAAATACCTGTCTCTCTGAAAAGAGAAACCATACACGAAAAAGAAGAGATCAAACCAAAGTCAGTAACCATCGTATGAATACGTAATTTTATATTCGGGATATTTCTTTTGCAATAAATTGACCGCTTGTTCATGTTTTGCCGGACCATACCTCTATAAAAATCACCGTCAATTTTAATAGTTGACGGCTTTCATGATTTTACAAAATGTCAGATTCTACTTCAGAAAGGTTTGCAATCTGTTACAAGATAATCTTTTACTATTACTTGCTATGATCTTGGCAGATTACAAATACTAAGACTTAGAGTCATAAAATGTGAAGTGTTTCTCGACGGTAACATCAATTACATCAGAGACAGCGTCGAATAAGACACTAGCATCCCGAATAAGGCTTAGTAGTAAACATCAAATCCTTTCACCTTGTTTGACATTTCATTTAGTCTGCTAAATTTTGCCATTATTTAAAACAAGAACTTTAATTTTATGTAAAATGTTTTCTGTATTTTATAAGTGCTAGTGTAAATCAACCTGTGAGTAACCGTAAATAAAAAGGCTTTTCTTTTGAGGTTCGTGATTTATGCGTCCACCGCCAACGCATTTCAATGAGAAGGAAGTGCCTATTTTCTTTTCAGCTTCTTTGAAAATATTTTTATGCCATTTACAATGTTTATAGCCTCGAATAATCAATTTCTCGTCACCTGTTGATTTTGAGGTGATCTGGAAATAAAATCAAACATAAATTCAACTTAAAAAAATCCAACAACAACGATAAGCTAGCTAGAGGAAGAAATACGCATGATATCTTGGAAATGACACTGTGAAATCCATGAATGGGTATATATTTGAAGTGTAACGAAGTCAAACCAAATATATCTTGCGATTATTCTATAGTTACCTTGATCATTATGTATTTAAATAAACCTTCTGGATCTATATCCACATCCGGAATATTTTCCAATGGCATTGAATGCAAAGTGTTCGGTACAATCAATATCCAACTGAACGCTCAAATTATTAAAATTTTTCTGAAATTTTAATAAGCTATGAAAACATAAATCTGTTTCAAGGATATCCTCTAAGCTTATTAAAATCATTTGCAAAATTCGTATTGTTCGGATTCCGACAGGAACAAAAAGAAAACGAAAAAACGACACGTTTGTAAGAAAAATTCATGAGCAACTCAATGTGACTAAACAGGTCAGCTTAACAAAAATTCGAAAAGAAAAGAATAGAGCAAATCTATTTATTAACATTTCGTTTTCATTACAAAAATTCATGCAGATTATATTCGCAATTCCGGAATTTACAACTACTGAAAATACATGAACTGCAAACAAATGTCTAATAAATAATAAAAAATTGCCAGACAGAATTAACTTTAAGATGAGTCATTAACAAATTTTACTAAAATGCAAATTAAAGTTGGAATTGCAACTTGCGTTTAAATTCCAAATCAAGCGTAAAAACAAGAGAAATGAGAAAAATAATCATCTGAAGCTAGGAAATAATTTGAAACAATAACAATAGATATATTTAAGCATAGCGAAAACGAATTAATATCCTTCGTTAGAAAAGGTGATTTTGTAATTTGGATATTTCTCTTTCAAGATATCGACGCTTTTCTGGTGATCTGCTGGACCATAACCCTAAATATATGAAAAAATAACTGCGAAATAATGTACAGGATTTAAATGAAATGATAGAATTTTTATAAATTCTGCTTTTTCAGTTTGTCGTCTCTGTCGAATAAGCTTTCTGTAGTATAAATTCAAAGAAATCTATACATTGCAGACGCACCGCAAAGTAACAATATATAAAAAGATGACTTACTACTCAAACTTTTGGTTCTTCGATAAATGACCTGGCTTTATGAAAATAGTTGTATTCCGAAAAAATAAATAAAAGCAATACTGTTGTGAAGGCAATAAATCAACTACACAATTTTACTCTTTGTGGGATGAATGATAACAAGAATCCACAATTAAAATTTAACCCACAAGCAGGATTGCGGTAGAATTATCAAAGTAAGCTGTTTTGTTAGGATAAAGATAAATTACAATAAAATTTAATAACCTGTGAATAGCCATAGACCAATATGGTGTGATTTTTTGACTCATGCTTTATCCTACCTCCACCCAAACACAGCAGTTCATAATCTGATCCAAGTTCCTTTTCTGTTTCATCTAGCACATCACCGTGATAAGCGCAACGAGCATAACCACGTACAATCAGTTTCTCCTTCTTCGAAACTTTTTCTGTCACCTGCAGTGATATAAGCCAGTCCTTATCAAAGTTATCACTCCCGGATTCGAGATTCCAAGTGATACAATGGAGTTTACCAAATTATTAAACCAACCACCTCTCTCTTTTCTACCAACACATCAACTTTAAACTTCAGCTTAAATTCAATCTGAAAACCTGACTGAGAGATAATTGCGTACTTCAAAATATCGGTTTTTATTTTACAAACCTACCTTTATTAATATATACTTGAAAACACCGTCGGGATCGATATTAGCTGCAGGTACGTCGACTAATGGCATGCTCACCACACTTGAAGATAGTTTTCTACGCCAAAAGTAGCCAAGAGTTTTAGTGAAACGAGAAATTCTATCTACAAGAAATTACTTGAAGTCTGGAAAACACAACATCAATAGTACGAACACCCACTTCAACAAATTTTAATTTAACCACCAAATCTACCACTGATAATCTTCACCCCAATATGGATGACATTGTGTTTTAACAATTCACTTAGATCACGGTGCTGTAGCAGTACAGTCAGGATTGAACTGTACATGGAAACCAAGTCTTTTTATCCAGCAAACAGAAATCTCAATAATTAAAGAGGAGAAAACCGAGTAAAATCTATCACAGCACACTGATGCCTGGAACTTTAAAAGAAGAGATTCGGAATTTTCATTATCCAATAAATGATAAAACGTCGTAGAGAATAATAAAGTTCAGAAATATGTAAGGAATATACAAAAAACACAAAAATATCACAGTAAGCAGATGTGTCATCACGAAAAAAGTCACAAAATAACTTCATGAAACAATATTGAATTTACAAAAACTTATTAGTAAAAACAAATAACTACAATCACATTAACGACAAATTCCTGCAAATTCTTGAAAGCTGAATGATCTATAAATCTAGTACTGATCATCTTTTCGCTAACGCATAATTGAACTGATGCTGGAAATTCTTTGCTGCTCTTGCCTTTCGAATAGATTCTAATGTATCATAAACACGTTTAATTGTATTTCGGTTAAACAATTTAGCCTAAAAAGAAAATACATAAGAATTGCAAAATAAATAATCTCACAATAGATGAGGTATTATGAATTTATTCTTTTATCCTCCATATATTTGGAGATAAGAATATAAGATTTAAAGTAGATCTCTTAATTGAAATTTACGACTGATAAATTCTAAGTCTTTGTTGGTTAAAAAAATTAATTCTTAATTCAACAACAATTCCATAATAGCTGAATTATTTCTAGTGATATTACGGCATGTCTTTGTACCTATACGGCTTCCCGAATGACGATCATAGAAATATCCGACCAGTTATTAGACTTTGTTGTTTCATCTGGTTTTAATCTCTAAGTCAATTAACGGGTCATAGTATTTTTTTTGATCACTTACACAACATGTGCCACTTTGTGAATCAATAACTCTCAATCATTCCAACCCTGTACTTCAACAAGGATCGGATTATATAGCAAAAATGTTCTCGTAAGTAACTACCAGTTACTTGATTGCCACCCGTGAAATATTTCACAAAATTCAATTATTACAGGAAGTAAAATTATCAACTTCTTACACTAAGCCTGTTTCTTACGGCAGCAGGTGTGTTTCCATCTGTATTTTCTTGTCGTTTTCTTTTCCCTCGTTTTATTTTTCCCCTCAAATTAGCCCCAGTCGCAGCTTCGACATCTCTGATATATTCTTCTTCCTCTTCTGTATTACATTTTGGATTATGAGATTTCCTAAAAACCGGGAAAAAGTTGGAAACATGCTAAATCCCAATCAAAAAATAAAGCTAATTCTAGCATCTGATTTCTGGAATTTTTGGAGTGTGTAACTTCGTCCAACTAAAACTTTTCTATTTGTTTTACTTATGATTTCACTTCTTTATCACATACTGAATAATTTCTTCCACTGGATATCCCATTTCATCGCGATCAATGATTTTCCCATGCAGTGGACAACGTTTTAGATCCATGCGAGGACATAATGTTCCATCACTAAACGGAACACGGCACTGTCGACTACCCTTTAATTGCTGACCAACAAATGTCATAACTCGGGCGTGATATGCTTCTGCGATATCCAAATTTGTTGAACAGCTGCAGTAAATTTTAAAATATAATTAAATATGAGCAGAAGTGATAAAGTGTAAAACGTCATAAATCTAACCCTTCATCCGAAGGACGCCAGAATCGATGACAATCAGCATTATTTCGTGGTACTTCAGCAGGTTTAATGTCATTTTCACCCCAGTATTTGAGATCAAGTCCATATGACAAGACTGGTACCTTATTTTCATGAATTGTATTCTTTTTGTGATCTGAAAACTCAAAACTGATTTTTTCCATAAAATAATAGAAACGTCGTAATAATTTTACCTGGAGATAAATTTAGTAGTTTCTGCGCTCCATTAATTTTGCTGGGACCAACTAAGTCGTTTTCCACATTTTCCATTGTTTTTCTCAAAATGTATTCTGGCAACTCTTCTGGTGGTTTGTAATCCAATTCCAAACCTGAAAACTGCTCAATTATTAATCAAATCCGTAAAATTTCAAGAGCTTTATCTTGAAAAATGAAAATAAAGCCAAATTACCATCCTTTTCTGGCACATCTTCAAGATCATCGGTCTCTGAATCTTCTTCTGACTTTTGCAAGTTTTGCAAATGCAATTCTTCACATCTGAAATTCTGTTAAATCCAAGATTCTACCCTCACAAAATTCTTTAATAAATTTAAAAACAAAATTCCAACAAAGTTTTCATTCGGAAAAAAAATTCGTGGAAAAGCAATTTCATTAGCATTAATGTTAGAAAAAGAGACAAATACCGACTTCTCTAACTCAACCATAATCCTCTCTTTTAAATCAACGATTTCCTTGCACAGTTTCTGTCCACTGTTTTCACCATATTTGCTAAGCTTGAAAAGCCAACCGCAAATGATTTTTTTATAAAACTGCAACATTCTCATACAGTCTACCAAGGCGTTTATAATTATTTGATTTTCGGCGTTAACAATCACAGCTGGTGTATCCACTGGAACAGTTACAACCACTGATTCGTGCACACTGTATCCATGAGTCATCTAAAATTTTCTGATCTACATAGATAAAACTAAACCACAAAGTGAAGAATATTTAGCTTGGAAACCCAACGAAATGAACAATGTTGGTAATATCCCTACAGAGACAAAGGAAATAATATACAAGTAAGTGACTCCGCCAATAAAATTTAAGTTTTGACAGAAAATAAATGCACCTCTTTACATCCTAAATGGCTCTCACCATCTGTACCCTCATCAATATCAAATCGTGGCACCAAGAGCTCGAGTGCATGTCGTGTCTCATTGACACAACGGAAAATTTCCTTTCGTTGTTCTTTAAATTCTTTTTCAACTTTCTCGATCACTTGTTTAGTCTTCTCATCTTTTTTTCGATTTTCTTCTTCAACACGTCGCCTTTCAACCTGAAAACTATCTATCATAAACAATTTAAATTCGCAAGAAACTAGAAGAATTCAAAAATATAATAGCCATTTTGGCAAATTTGGACGAAAAATAAACAGATGATTAAACGGATAACACAAATTCCATTTTTTTGATAGTAAGAAAATAAAGTTTTTATCGCAATGCAATACTATGTATGCCATAATGTGTTGATCTAAGTACTGAGACCATTATTCGCAAAACGACAGTAAAAATAATTGAAATGTTCACAATAATTATGGTATATATTTAACACGATGAAAATCTTAATTTTTAAAGAAGAGAAGGTAACCTGAAGCACAGCACTGGCGTGTTCAAAATCCAAAGATTTTGAAGAGCGTAGGAAATTGACAGCAAAATCCAATTTTGGATAGGCTTCCCTATATTTTTCATGCCAAAGTTTAACAAGTTTTAATGTTTCTAATTTAAGAATTTTGGCCGCTTCCTTGGAAGGTGGAAGAGGATAATGAAGAGGATCTGTTTCTACTGTATGCAATAAAACTTCCTGAAAAGCTGATGTAAATTATGAAATTTGTTAATAATGAGGCTATCACAGGAAACAATGCATTCTAAATCAATTCGAAAAAAAACGCTTAAATGTCCCCCCAATCTAAAGAACGAAGAAAATAATAATAATATCATGCGCAATAAAAGATACTATTCCTAATAATTTCAACTGCCTCGACACAAACCTGCATATGACTGATTAATTGAACACGGAAAACATGAGAACGTTGGAAAAGTTCGGCGCATAACTGTAAAACAGCCAAACGATATTCACTATTATTCTGCCGAAAATACTTCAAAAAGTCGGCAAATATGGATTCAATGATGTCCGGATTACTCTTCAGAATCTGTTTCAATTCTTTGAGTTTACCTTCATTGAGTACTCGTCTATTGAAATCGAACTGAAAGTTGTAAATTTGGGGTTCGTCGTGAAAGGCACTAAATTCAGCAGCTGTAAGAGCCGACTGTAAATAAAATATCGTTGAATAATTACATTTTGTATTTCAAAAGATGCATAAAGATATGCAAAGAGCATGGGAAAGGTGGTACAATGGTTTCATCAATGGTCATTTTATAACCGCTGTTCAGGACTTCGCTAACTAATGACGGTAATAATTTCCGCCATTCGTCCTGCATATTCATTGAAAAATTAATTACGTTTCAGTTAGTATATGTTCATTAGAATGAAAAAGTTCTAAATATTAATTTCACCTGTTTAACTAAATTAGACAGGATCCTTCTGCAAACTATTAGCTGACAAGATTGTCCGTCTTGCATCTAGCGAAATTCCAAATTTTATCCGTATAAGGCAAATGATTCCTTGATTGACAATAAAGTTTACAAAAATCGAGAAGGTGATGACAGCCCTAAAAAAGAGAAACCGAAAATTGTTATGTCTCGATTGTCGATTGAGAACGAATCGAAGTATCTTTACACGCACGGTGCGAAAAAATTTTCAAGGAAAATGACGTCAATATATTTTCGAAATACTCTTCAAGAAACATCTTTTGTTTCTTGATTCTGTATTAGTCTATGGAATTTAAATGAATCGTTTTATATCTAAGTTTCATTTTATGTTCACTGCAATAAAACTGAAGTTTCTTGGCATCACAGCAATTTCTTTTTGGTCTATGAGGAATTTTTCCGCAGAGGAACCAAACACTTCAGGCAAATTTTGAGTAAAGACAGTGTTAGGAAAACTTCCATTGGAAGTCAAAACGGGTTTCTCAAAGAATAACGTCAAAAATTAACCGAATACATTGTATAATTCAATAATTTAAACTGACACAACAAGCCGGATACATTCCGGATCTAATCACCCAATCCTGGTTACTATTATCGAGATGCTAACAGATGGTTGGAGGAAATAAGAATCAATGGAACCTAGGTTCTTCAACCGCAAGCATATTCTAGTCTCACAATAATGCGAATAGTTGGCTTCATCATAGCAGTTAAAAGCCGCTCCCTTCTTTGACAAAGACATATGGCTGTACTTGTCTTTTAAAGTATTCAATTAGGATCATTCAAATCACATTTTTTTTACAGAAATTTTCTTGATCGCACTTATAAAAAACCTCCATCCTCAATCTTTTAATTCCTAGATTTACATATTATTTGCAAACGTTACCTTGCAGAAAATATTTTTTTCACGAATAATCCCAAAGAGTTTCATAACGAGCTGAAAGTCGACTCAACACATTAGAGGATAGTAAAGGTAAAGAATTATAGCAAAATATTTGTGAAAATCTTATAATTTACCATTACTTATCGGTAATTGGAATAAAATCGATCCATATACTAAGATCCCATTTGTCAGGTCAATCTGATGACAAATGATAAGTGAAAACAACTGATAACACATCCATCCCACGAACTTTCCTCTCTGTCACTTCGTAACAAGAAATCAAATTTCAGCTATTCTCATGAAAATTAAGACAGGAAAAGAATGCTTTTTTGCATACTGACGGGCCGCGATCTCAGCATTAATTTGTGTTTTTGAATATGGGATAGTTGGTTAGTCGATTACGTGTTCGCATGTTGTGCGTTCACAATTTTTAAGGCTGTGAAGTGTTGTGGCATTTCAGACCTTTTTCAGGTGTGCACAGATAAGATGTCCTCAGGTGTATTGGTCAATCCGGAATGCCAAACTGTATTTCAGCAACTTTCGGAAGGAAAGCATCATAAATTGCGCTACATTATTTACAAAATCGAGGATAAAGAGGTTGTGGTGGAGGCGGCTGTCTCACCTGATGAGGTCGGTTTTGCCACATTTGAAATTTAGATAATTCTGAACCAAGGATATGTAAAGATTTTGAAAATAGTTAAAATCCAGAATTAAGACAGGAAAAGAAAAAACAAAAACTAAGGAATTCAGTCAGTGTTGTTTTCAGCGCTTTATTGATTATTTGCAGTAGCGTGAGACCGAGCTTTCTCTCTGATGGTTCTCGACTTAAGCGCAATATGTAAATACTGTGGTTATATAAATTAATGATCTATGAGTTCATAACAAGATTTGTTTAAGCTATAAAATACGATTTTAATAGCTTGCCTTTTTTGTAGCTTGGTGTAACAGATGATGATCACGACGAAAATTCAAAAACCGCATACGAAGCGTTCGTACAAGATTTAAGGGAACGGACTAACGGTTTCAAGGATTGTCGTTATGCTGTTTTCGATTTTAAATTTTCATGCAATCGACCCGGCGCAGGCACTTCTAAAATGGACAAAATTGTCTTCATACAGGTTGCCTGCAATTTTAGCTGTAGATGTTTTTCACATGTATGTCAAGAACAGTTGAAAAGCGACACTTTTAGATATAAAACTATAAATTAAAACTCTTTTGATACGATTTCTTTAATATAATCTCGGAGCATGGAGGGAATAAATAAATCTTTACTGAAATGTATTTAATTTGTAGCTATGTCCTGATGGTGCACCAATCAAAAAGAAAATGGTTTATGCTTCGTCTGCGTCCGCAATCAAGTCTTCGTTAGGAACTGCTAAAATTCTGCAGTTTCAAGTATAATTTTCTCATATTAAGGATCTTCATATAGCTTCTTTGAGCATTAAACAATGGAAGTAAGAAAATGAAGGTCAGGCAGTCTTGGTAATTAAATTATTTTTCACTAATTACAGAATATTGCGCATCTTGGAATGGTTCTTAGCGAAGGACCATTGGTTCTGTATAGTTATGAAGAATTATTTTAAGGTCTCAGATGATTCCGAAATCGCTCATAAGGAGCTTTTGTCGAAGCTGAGTGAAAAATATCGTGACAATTAATGGTTTGCTGATCGCTACAGTTGTCGATTGAAGCAATGTACGTGATCGAAATGGATATTAGCCTCGTTGTTTTATGTTGATATTTATTTGGTTTATCATTAATGAAGATGAAATTTGGACTTATGGTGGCTGCTTGGAGTCTGATGGCCATCAAATTCTTTCGTTTAGAATCCGGAGAAGAATTAACTGTATTGTTAGATAACATGCTTAAATTTATTATATTTAGTGTTTTGTAATTATGGTGGTTTGCACGAAGAGCTTCCATATTTCTTAGTTTTTATAATGTTATTTGTATTTCTTTCTCGTGTTGAGAATTCTGAAGCTTCCTGTGTTGGTAGCTCATCTACTTTGAAAAATGGTCAATTTATTCGTTAGTTGGCATTAAGAAAAATAGAAGTCTTGAGATTCCTTAGAAAGTAAAGAGAGTGTTTAGGAAGTCAAATGAAACTTTTTGCTAAAAACTTAGTTAAGCCTGATGGTCATGTTTTTTTTGACCAGTTATAAATGGATATCGAAAATAAGCGTGGGCTATAGTCTCTCACACTTAATTTGAAGGATTTCTTATGAAGTCAAATTTTTTTTCGAAGTTCACAAACTTGATTTGTCTGTCTTTTTTTTTTGGATATCTTTGTAATCCTTCATTCCGCTTTATAATTCTTCATTCATAATTTTTCATTCAAATTCTTCATTCCTTGCCAACAAAATTCATTTAGTATATGTCACTTTGTTTCAGTCGCACTTATGATTCTTCAGCTCTTCCTTCTCATGTGTGTGCACACAGATACATTCTATTCATGCCCATATGCTCTGTATATCACTATGTGTGAATTTGTTTGCATAAGAAAAGAAACAATTTGCTCTAAAAGCTTTTTTCTTCGGTTTGAAATTGAATTAAAATTTTTTTCGTTTATTAATGCTTAAGTTGAATTTGAATATAGTTTGTTTCCATTAGTATTAATAAAGTGTCGAATCAAGTTGTATAGAAATCCGAGCGGTCATAAACATCTCCAATATTACTTCATTTTATTAAAGCAAATGTGCTGTGAAACTTAGCAGACCATGATGACTGTTTTGCCTGTTGGTGAGGTTGCTCTCCACGGAGCTTGAACAGATACTTTCAATCCATAGATTAGTTGGAGATGAAACAATGTGGTTCTTTTTCCTGGGTTCTAATTTGCCATGTGTAGTATGAAGCCGTTAGTCCATAGCACAAGGAAACTTGTATCTGGATGTTATGAGATAAAAGATGATCTCAATGATATATTCAGTATTTCAAAAGTCACCGATATTTTGAATTTGACAGAAAGAAGACTATGCATTTTTTCATGAGTAGTTGGTGTACCCCAACTAATATAGCATTGGTATTTGATAATGACTTAGACTTTTTGTGATTGATCCTCTTTAATTCTTATATAATGCTCTGTTCAGACCAATAAATGAAGTCTGAACTCTGCTAATTGCTAAGAACGCAAGGCACGAGTCGAGGGTAGAATGACAGAGTGTTAATATAGTGTGTATATACAGAATGTTAATATTAATATTGTTTGTTTTATCACTATGATTTGCAGGAGAGTAGTATTTCATTCTTGTTGTTGAATATTGATTTTGTTTTAATTAACATGAAAATTCAATGTCTCTTTCCTTAGTCATCAGTTATTCTTAAAATTAATTTTAAGGAGGTTTTCAGGGATTAATGTTCTGTTCGTATTGCAGGTTTTCATTAGAAAAAATCTCCTATAGTCGTCCAATGATGATGAACGCACCAATAATTTTATTGAAGGAGGGAACAGAGGCTAAGTTTGGCAAACAGCAGATAATTAGTAATGTCAATGCGTGCAATGTGATCGCCGATAGTGTTCGTACCACTCTGGGACCTCGTGGCATGGATAAACTAATTATCGATTCTAAAGGTATCCTTTTTGCAAATAACGTACCGGATTTTGTCATGATTTTGCTCGAATATAATCATATGCACGGACGTTTTGAATGGAAAGAAGTTTCTATGTTAAATTGTAATTTTTTGTCGAAAACCTGATATTTAGTGTGCATTTGTTCAGCAGCTGAAGATTTCTTGAGCTAAATATCGGGATTTTTTGTTTCAGTATTTACTATTTCAAATTTGTTTAAGTTTTTGTTGCTACGTAAACTTCTATTACCTTCGCTTCTTCCAGTCTCGTTTTTATTAAGTTAGTTCATATACCAAAGAATGTTCATATAATCCCATGATGTCACGTCAGGGATTATTAAGTTCGTAATTGGTGTCCTTGCATAAAATGGATGATGTATTAATAGCAGTACTATGTCACTTACACTTTTTCTTATTTTCTAAGAAATGGGTTGTAGGTAAAACGACGATCTCAAATGATGGAGCAACTATTCTGAAATTACTGGATGTTGTTTTCCCTGCAGCTCAAGTTATGGTTGATATAGCGAAAAGTCAAGATGCTGAGGTTGGCGATGGCACTACTTCAGGTAAATGATTGTTGTTAATGAAGCCTAATTACCAATACCTTTACTGTATGGCAACATCAGTCAAATGCTTGTATCCTTTCAATTATTTCATGGTTTTTAGTTGTAATACTGGCAGCGGAGCTTTTGAAGTGTTCAAAATCTTTCATTGAAGATGGTGTTAGTCCACAGCTAATAATTCGTTCCTATTCAAAGGCTTGCGAAGAGGTTTGTCTGTTTTTGATGTTGCGTCGCAATATGGGTTTTCAAATGCTAGTTATGATTTTGAAGGCAGAATTCTAGCAACTTTTTAGTTGTGACAAACTTTTTGACTTTTTTCTTTTATGGAATCATGCTGCTAGCTGATAGCAGTCAAGCATAACCGTTGAGCTATTTCAGGGAATTGTTATAATATTTAATAATGATATTATAAAATTATATTGTAATAATCCATTGTCTCCTGAAATAATTCAATTGATTATAAAATTATAAGGATGGGTGCTTTTTTAAGATGGAAGATAGTTTTTTTACATGCTTTGTAATTTAAGGCAACTAGCCGACTTAAAGAACTGGCTGTGAAAATCAGTGGTGATATTAATATGCGTGAAATGCTGAAGCGATGTGCCACAACTTGTCTCAGCAGTAAATTGGTGCGTTTTGTACTATTCACATATTTACGATATTTTTGCCTTTTTATTCACATAATAATTCAAGTTTTCAACCGTTTTTGATTATGCCCTTCTAGCTCGACGTAGACAAATGGACAAATTAATTGACTACTGGGACTAGTGCAGTTTTGTTTTATCAAAGGTGTATGAGTGTCAAAGTTTTATCCGAGATGTATGTAGTGCTCAGATACGATCACATACAAGAGCAAATGACATATTTTAACTACATTGTTTAATTTATCTAGTGATGTGAAAACTCCAGTCTTCTTAATTTAATTAAGCTGTTTGCTTTACCCTACTCGATTGTCTTAATGTTTTCGATTGATTGGAAGCCTGGAATAAATTTCTGCATTCTTCCCTTCCCGATTACCACTTCTGCCACTTCTGCCACTTCTGCACCGTAATGGAAAACAAGAAACCGACTTCTGAACTATTTATATTTACTTTATTAAAATTCTAGATAAGCCAAGAACGAGAATTCTTCGCTGAAATGGCTGTCGATGCCGTCTCATATTTGGATGAAAATCTGCCATCAAATATGATAGGGATTAAAAAAGTTAGCGGTGGATCTCTTTCGGTATGTGCTTTCCTAAAAAATAATTCTGTTTCTTTTATGAATTCTTGCAGTTATTTGGTATGATAACATCAATTTTTCAGGATTCCCAACTTGTTAAGGGCATCGCATTTAAGAAAGCGTTCAGTTATGCAGGCTTTGAAATGCAACCAAAACATTACAAAAATCCTTTCGTTGCTTTACTTAATATTGAATTGGAACTCAAAGCTGAAAAAGACAACGCAGAAATGAAAATTCAAACTGTAGATGAATATCAAAAGGTATTTCTTTTTGTAAAGATTTATCTGTAACTAAGCAGCTGTTACTGATGCTAGTTAAATTCCATTATATAACCTTTGATTGCCGATTTCTAATGTAATACCGATGTTATTTTATATCTTATGTTTTTTTGGATTGTTGATGCTGAGTGGACAATTTTATATGACAAGCTGAAGAAAATTCATGAGTCTGGAGCAAAAGTAGTGCTTTCGAAATTACCAATTGGGGATGTGGCAACACAGTGGTTTGCTGACAGGTAAATTTTGCTGCTCAACGATATACTTATGCTCATTTTAAGTGCCGAAAATTCTTACTTCAGAATTTGCAAAATTTTTATTCCTGGTAAACTCACTAATTATTTATAAATAGTGTTGTTTCAGTATAATATGTGTCTTAAGAGTCAAGAAGTGGTGGCTTAAATTAAGTGGGCTTATATTTAATTTTTCTGTTCACTCTAGCCTTTACCTATACATACATTTCCAATCCTGCATTATTTTAGTTTTTGTTTTCCTAAGTCTTTCAAAACCTTGTAGGGATATGTTCTGTGCGGGACGTGTTGAACAGGCTGATATGGATAGACTAGTTGCCGCATGTGGTGGTACTGTTCTTACAACAGTAAGTCAGATTAGCAAGGAACTTCTTGGAAGCTGTGCTGAATTTTACGAACAGCAAGTAGGAAACGAACGGTATTGTTTTCATTTTTGTCTTTGCTATGGTATATTTATCTAATTTAGAAATCGGATCTTTTACAGTTAGTTTTGAGTGCTGCTGATTTTAAGTAGAATCATGTTTCAATGGATTGTGAAATACTACCATACTTTGCCATATCTCAACTGAAAATTGTTCTCTATCTTTTCTCTATTGTTTTATCACTTTTTTCAAGTTTTCCTCATTTCAGATATAACTTTTTCTTTGGTTGTACAAAAGCTAAGTCTTGCACCGTGATTTTGCGCGGTAGTGCAGAACAATTCATCGCAGAAATGGAACGTTCTTTGCACGATGCAATCATGATTGTGCGACGCGCTAGAAAAAATGACACAATTGTCGCAGGTTTATTTTTGCATTATTTCATTTAGATCATATGATTTGCCTTTTTTTATTTGTTTACAGTAGAGAATGATGAATATACTTTTTCGCCTATGAAATTTGCTTAATTGTAATCAAGTGAAGTACGCTAATAAAGTTACTGTATGAAAAATTATACTGCTTATTCAACTTCAGGTGGTGGCGCTATTGAAATGGAACTTTCGCGACATATTAGAGATATTTCTAAAACTATCGCGGGTAAAGAGCAATTTTTTTGGCAAGCATTCGCCAGGACTCTAGAGGTCTTTTTTCTTTACTTTTCCACATAAGTTTTGTGGTAAGATAACGGAGAAATCAAATTTAAAAATTGAAAAAGCCAAGTTTTTGTTTATTGCATTTGAAACACTTGTTCGTCATTCTTTTATTTCCATTCAGTTTTACCAATTGTATTTTCATCAGAACTCATTTAATGGTGAATTATAAAATCAGAAATGCTTGGATTTTCATTTCTATATCATATAACCTATATAGAAATTTTTTTGTATCTTTAGTAGTACTTAATTGATTAGCTAACACTAGCCATAAATGTAACCTATGTAAATTTAGAAAAATAACAGCTTATCTTTATATATTTAAGATAATTCCAAAGCAGCTGTGCTACAATGCAGGAATAGATGCGACGGACATACTGAATCGATTGCGGCATCGACATGCTAAAGGAGATAAGTGGGCAGGAGTTGATATTTATGAGGAAGATGTCAGTGACAATATGGAAGCATGTATTTGGGAACCAGCTATTGTGAAACTAGTTTGTTTTTCCCAAGTTTCTATGAGGAAATTTAGCTTGCTGATCTACTTTTTTGTTAAAACAGCAGTTGAGCGTAACAATGGAAGCTATATCTTAAAAGCTTAGGTTAAGTTAGAAAACAGCTGGTTTCATATCAAAAATAAAATATGAAAAAAAATTTTTTCGGTTCAAATCACCAGCATCTGTTACGGATTGGATATGTCGAAAATTTGAATCACAATTACTATCCTATACAATGCCTAGAATTTTGTTGTTTATTTTCTTATTTTTATTTACAAAAAGCTCTCTATCGCTAACACCATCACTTTCAGAATGTGCTGACAGCGGCGACTGAAGCAGCATGCCTTGTTTTAAGTATTGATCAAACGATCAAGAATCCTCGTTCAGCAAGTGGTGGCCAATTACCTGATATGTAAAAATATCCTCTGTCAAGATACTACTTGAAATATCAGTGAGATTACTTTGGTCAAAAAAGGAACAAAAAGGAAAAAATTTCATGCCTACAAGCCAATCAATTTCCCCCATTTCTTATCATTAATTGTAGTTTAATTTTTTGTTTGGGCAAACAATGACAATGGAAAGTTGGTTTTTTGAAATTCATGCTTAAAATTAAAATATTCCACACTTTAATTGTCACTGTTTTAATTTTGTTGAATTGCTTCCTTCGAATTTTTTTACAAATAAAATAATGGTTAAGCTTCTCGATGCAAAGACATAAGATTGTGAAGCATATCAAGAATGACTGCCGTGAATCAGCAGTCGTAAGTCGGCACCTAATTTGTTAAGAAATCCAAAAATGGGTTTTGATTTTACTCTAATTGTGTTGAAAGGTTCACATAAATTTGCAGCTCCATGGGAAATGTGGGCAATAAGCTAGGATGCTTTATTAGTAAATATCGAGATGCTATGAGCATATGCTTCGTTTAACTAGTAAAGAGAGAATTTTTTGATATATTTTGTCTAAACAAATGAAGTTTGCAAATTCCATGTAGAAATCAATCATCTTGCTGTCCACAGAATTCTGACTTGTCTTTTTTGACCAACGGTTTCAATTGATTTCAAATATAACTCGATGAAATTGTGGACGGCAGTAGTTTCGAACATGGCAACGTGTGAGAGGTTTTTTCGAAGTTGAAACCGAATATGATGATATTAATGGAAGAGCTTTTCACTTGTTCTATTTTCGTTCATGTAACAAGAGTCAGAATTAAATTAATCTCTCGAACTTCAAGATTTTTTGAAAATTACCTAGAAGATTTACAGGGTTTGCACATACTTTATTGGATAAAATGGATATTATGTAAAATATTCACGATATAGTTCAATGATAGATATCAGTTAAATAATTACTCCCAAAGCTTTCATCCATTCGTCTTATTCTTTTTTATCATCCAAATACTCATCATAGTGTATTTTCTAAAAACAAAACTTTCTAAAACACATATCACTAAAACACTACAATACGTTTTTCATTTTAATAAATTGGAAATTTTCTTACAAGTGATCTTCCGGGAAATTTCATTACTCAGAAAATTCATATCGTAACAAGCGTTTTAACTTTGAATGACAATTACTGGACCATATCATTATCTATTTCCTTTCGGAGATTTCAAGATTCCTGTGAAGTTTCACTTCTCGTGGTCTTCGGATATCGTATTTCAGACATTCATTGATCTTGAAGATCAAGAAAGACTCTTTACTTAGCATGAAAGAAAAGATTGCATGAATCTTTTGAATCATCCCAAAACGATGGTTGTTCATATCTACTAAATCATCAATATCAATTGATCACTGAATCTTCAATATCAATATTCACTGAATCTTCAATATCAACTAATCACTGTAACAAATAAATCAATTAAGATGTTAGTGCTTTATAAAAAATAATTTTAATTTTGAAATCGTTCAAACTAAAAATAATTTCATCAAATTAACACATGGAAATAAGCTAAACGTGGAAAGTTGAAAAATGATATAAGGAAGAAGATATTTTGATAGCTTTAGGATTCAACAGAAAATTTTTTTGGAAAGCAAATGAAACATTATTATTTCTTACTAAAACTTTTACAAAGTACAATATGAAATTTAGCATCTTTTAATAATTTGGCCAATTCTTAGTTTAATCTCTGCTTTATTTTATACCTTTAATATAAACTGTAAAAAGATGCCGAATATTATTAATAATAGATAAGTTCAAAAAAGTAAAATTAACCATACAAAATTCTTACTTATCATATGTTGCAACTACTTTAATTCTGCATCACTGCGAATGCTTGAATTTAAATTAAGTTTCTTAAGTAATACCATAATATGAAAGATTGTATGAAATTTTTGGCTGGCATTAAGAGAAAGCGGTGATAATGAGACAATATAGCATCATTGCGGTCATTTATTTCATTGATAATTTGAAATGTAATCTTTCTTCTTATCCATATAAAATCATTTATAATTTGTTATGATTTCATTTCATTTTAAATAACTACTACTATCGGTGTGTGCGTTTTCTAAACTCTGTTTCATCTTGAAATTTCAACAAATTATTGATTAAAACTTATGTATTGTGAATTTTTAGAACTGAATAAATATACACACCTTTAAATTACTTCGATCAATAAATTCTTTCAGTATTGATTTTTTTTATTATCAATTTTATCATATAGTTAATGCTTAATAGCATTTCATTATGATAGAATGATATTTTGAAACTTTAGATATTTTATTTTTGCTAAAAGAAGTTATATTAATCAATAATTTCTACTAAAAGAAATTTTTTCTTTCTTAATCAATAGGTAAATAATTAAAGTAAAATGAGTAAATAATTAAAGTAAAATGAGTAAATAATTAAAATAAAGTGATAATGATTATTAAAGGTTGCAAAGAGGATATAATACAAGCAAAAGTTGTATTATATCTTCTTTGCAACCTTTAATAATCAATTATCAACTAATTTAGGCGCTAATATTTAATTTGACATGCATGCGCCAAAATATATACTTTTTTTTAAATTTATCTAATACGGGGCAATATTTGATCTCTTATCATGATGAAGTACTGATGAAATGAAGTTTACTCTTACATATGAATAGATAGATCTCTTTAAGCTTTCTCATATTATTCTTTCTTCTTTAATTTTTATTCTTACAACAGATTGAAATATTTTAATTTATAATGATTTCAAAATTCAGCAAATTAATTAAACAATACAATATGACAAAACGAAGTAAACGAAAGGCGGCAGAAAGTAAAGTTTTCTTTTTTCCTCAATAAAGATATGTTAAAATGATAAAGAAAGATTTTATTTAGGTTATGATGAATTTATATTTCAATTATTTAAATCATACAGTATCGTTGAAAAGATATTTTGATAAAATTTTATTATTGATTTAAAAGTGAATAAAATTTCATTATTGATTTATATTGATTTAAAAGAGTGTCAAAATAGAAAGATCACGTAGAATATACGAATAACAAATGTTGCTACTATTTAAGAGATGATTGATTTGATAAATAAAATATGCATTTAAAGTGATAAATTTGATAATGTGATATTGGCTTTTTTGTCCCTTTCAAATTTACTTTTTAGCTGCACGAGAGGCGATACGGACAATTCTACATACGAGTAACAAGAAGCGCAGGTGAATCATCTTATAATATAAGTTTCTTTTTTTAATTTTTCATTTATGAATTTGACAGATTAGAATCATATAGTCAAAATATTGATGTAAGCATTTCGTATAATCGTAATTCTTTGTGGTCAATTAGAAAAAAACTTTAAAGTAATAAAGTAAGCTTGATAGTTTGCAAAAATTTTTTTGCAGGTCATCAGTTCACAAGCGTATAACGGTTCACATCAATGATGCTAATTCTATAGTACCGGAACAAGATGGTGTTGTGATGGTAGCTGGACCTAAGGTTAATAGTTCAAATTTCATATTTTCATCATGTTCTCTTTTCCGTATTTTTCGAAGTACCATTCAATTTTAGGAAATTCTTGGCATTAAATTTTGCTGTGAATATGAATTTACTTTGAAGCTGTCTAATATTTTAAAATCTAAATTAATAATTAATACCCACTTCGTTTAATATAATCCATGCACTTCGTAGCAGAAATTTTATATAAATATTTTAAACTAGCAGATAAAAATTTCTGTCATAGAATTTCTTAAAATTCTTTAATTTTTATTTTTAGTTGAAATTGCTTTATCCTTTCATCTCATTATGGCTTTCCTAGTTTTTCGAAATTTAAAGTTTGATAAGTATTGTAAAAGATTTCAGTTACGACGATCCAGTCAGCTATCGATTCAACCAGCCCCAAAACAATCAGAGAGCAATGACAGAATCCAAAATACTTTTTCAGCACCAGCCAATGATCCTTTTTACGATCAATTGAAACAACTTCCTGATGTTGGTATTTTATTTTTCATTACAAAGGCCTAATAGTTTTGCAAATCTGATCAATTGAATCATCTAAAGTGGAATTAGATCTAAAAAAATTTTTTAACACTTCTTATCCTCCGCCGCTTGGCCCATGAAATTTGAATTGCTTTCAGAAATCTCCGACACAACCGTAGATATTTTTTTGCTATTGAATTGGTATATTATCATTTATTAATTTGAATGATTCCAAATAATCAATTTTTCATATTTAAATATTTTCGTTAATGTTTGATATTAATTAATAGCATACTTAATTAATTCTTATAATCATACTGTATTATTCTTGTATTAGTTTCCTATTTTACACCTTCGGTTCAACCAATTATTGTTTTGGTCTGTATCAACGTACCTTTCTATGCAAAATGGTCACTCATTTTATGGAAAAATTGGTCACTCAATCAATTAACATACATTCAGATGTATCAATAACAATGATTTGTATTAGTTTAATTACCAAAAAGTATTTTCAGAAATTGCTTGTTCAATTGCCCTGTGGAATGATTCGTGATGCTGCTGTACATCTTAAAAATGTTAACTACAATGCTTTGGCTGGATTTATCATTTTCCGGACTGATCTTCATCCTGTAATTTTTCTAATTCATCTTCATCTACCATAAGGCACTTTTTTAGTAGACAAAAAATGGAAAGGAAAGATCAATTCAAGTTGAGGAAGTAGGGAAGGAATAAATTTTATGATTTATTGACTACAAAAAAAGAAAACATAGATTATTAGCTTGGCAAGAAAAGCTGATAATGTGCCGAAAACTATCAAGACAGAAGTCCGGTTTCGCATCCGATGTTTTGCAATTACGTATCGATGATAGTTGCAAACCCTTTTTGATAAATCAAGCAAATATCATAACCAAAAAATGCTATATTTTAATTCGCAATGTATTAATTTAGTGAAAGCTTCTGATAGCTTCTTTCCTAACTCAATCTTTAATTTTGACTTTCTTATGCTCCTACTTATTCATTCATTGCTCTTCAAAAAATTCTCATTTCAGTTCAACCAAAGTTGCAAACCAAAAAGCGACCATTGACTACAATCGCAGTAAATTCAACTTTCCCACTATACTTTTCATTGATTCATTGTAAATTGTAGTAACATTATCGTAACATATAAATATCACCATCATTTATATGCCACAAAATATTTTCATTGACCGGTAGCTTTCCTCAATAATATCGCGCAGACAGTTTTAGTGGAATGTTTCGAAAAGTGAAATTATACAAGAAAAAGAAGTTGTGGTTGGAAGGAATGATAGTCATAGTTAATACTACCTCGCTAGTATCTTTTTAAAATGATTCTGAAGCTAAATCTTAACTTCATATTTTAATGAATTACAATGAACATTTAGAAGTTCCACTTTTTAAATTTTCAATGATAGATTGAGAATCTAAGTGAAGTTATCATTTCTCACGGTATTATCAGAAGTTAACCTTGGTAAGATTCAATCCAATTCAGTGAATTTAAACTCACTTTTGCAATGGTTATTCGTTGGTGATGTAAATGTAAATTATTTTGTACATACAAAATATCTTTACTAACATGTCGGATATATAAAATATGCAGTAAATCACTCACAATATTCATCTTTGTTGCATACAAATATTTTCATATAATTTACGTTTTGTTCTATTATTTTTTTTGAACAAATTACATTTTATCATAGGCAGCACCGATGAGACAAAAAGAATTAATTGCATGGATGAGATGAAATTCGTGAAATTAAAGAAAGAAAAATTTTTTAATTTCAAAAAATATCATAGTAAAAAGTTGCAAAGAAAAAAATGACAAAATGAATAAAAGCGAATTCTAATTATCTGTACATAGAAATATAGAAATAAAATGTACATCGAAAATTCCATACGTAAGATGGATAATAAAATAAAATGATAGAATGGAGAAGTATTGCAGTATATCGCTAAATTATTGCAACTGTTCAGTTGATATTATAATAAAAATTAATAAAAATAATAATAATTATTATCATTATTATAATTAATCATTATTATTATTAATTATTATTATTATTAATTTTTATTATTTTTGTTTTTATTGTTAATCTTAGAACCAATGTATGAATGAGAGTAACAATGAGAATCGAAGAAGAGAGGAAAATTTTAATTTTCAAAAAAAATAACTGCGAAAATAATTAATTAGGCAAACAAATTTCAATTAATTAATTTGAAAGAAATAATAATATATGAAATCTACGAGCAATGGTTAGAAACCAGAAATGACGTGATACGATTCAAGAGTAGAAAGGCCGAGGTAAATAAACCAAAGTGCAACGAACAAACCGGCTGTTAGCACCTGAAAAGCAAAAAATCATTGAGAATTTTTTTGGAGAAATTTTATAATGGCAAATTTTATATTATCCACCGAAGCAATGTAAATAACCATAGCATATAGTTTATTTTAAATTATTTATATTCGTGTGCTCATAAAAATTTGAATGGGTAATTTAAAATTCCAAATAAGGCATACAATTTTGAATTGATGAGAGTTATTTCAACTTTTTTCTGCAATGAATTTCCTAGAGCTTATTCAGATCATTTGAGATACATAAATATTCCATCCTCAACTAACAAGTTATTCGATTGTGGTGAACCGAGTGGTGGTGATTGATCCAATTTTTAATTTTTTTAAAGCCCAAAATGATTTATTAAATTTGATCAGTTAAATTAGAATTATTGATATTTTAACCTTATATTTCATGGGTCCACCTAATTCACCACCAATAGGAGGACGTCGCCTTAATATAATCACTGCAATACAAATCAATGCTTCAATGCAAAATATTGTCACAGAAAATGCAAGCGTTCCTGGATCAACATAGAAATAATCACCATGCCATCGATGATAAATTGCTGCGATCGTCCATGCTATCCCTAGATGAAAATGGTCATTTAACTAAAGTTGAACTTCAAAAAAAAAAGTTTTTTCTAGAACATTCATAAAATGTGTGGTAAAATAATTCTTGAGCAAAAATTTATTAGTTTCTATTGCAATTTAAAAGTTAATAAAATTGACAAACCTATTCCGAGAAATACATTAACGCTATTTGATCCGGTAACGTTACCAATCGATGAGTCAGCATATTTATCTTGTGTTGCTGCTACTTTAGATGCAAATGTATCTAAAAAGTTTTTTAATCAAAAATATAATTTCATCTATGATCTGAGCTACTATTTCTATTTTTAAAAATTTAAATTTAATCAATTAGGAAATAAAATATACATTTTTTATCATTTTCACTTTAGCATTTTGTAAAATTCAATTTTTTCTCGAAAATTATCAAATTTAAAAATATGCTAATTACATGATCTTTATCAATTCATCCTATTCACTTTTTCATTATTTCAGTAAAGCATTTAGTACGGAAACTCTGTAAAATAAAATTAACGAAACTTTGTTAAATAAAATTAATAAGAATAAAATTACCTGGAACAGAGGTACCAAGCGCAACAAACGTAATAGCCGTAACAGCGTCATTCAGACCTAACCAACATCCAAATTGTGATGCTAAATCACCAAGAATGGCTGTTAGCGCACCGATCAAAAGGATTGATACAATGAAACATGCCCAACCATCCCAATAATCTAAACAACATTTCATTTTTCATTTAAAAAATTACAACAATTTAATAATAAAATGCAAAAAAGAAAATACAATGTATAATTTACCTGTTGGTGGTATAGTTGCAAATAATACTTTCCAAGGTAAAGATAAAAAATGCATAAAATAATCAAAGAATAATGTTGGTAACTTTTCCTCCGTTTTATCCTCCTCTTCTTGATCGGCACCCTCTTTAAAACCTATAAAAGACAGAATCAAATATACCTTTTGTTGTTTTAATAAAATTTTCATTTATGTAACTGTGTGTACAGCCCTTTGAAGAAAAATTTGTTAAATGGATGATTAAATTAAGTTAAACTATTTGAATTGTTAAATAACTATAATAAAACAAAATTTGTGTTACATAGAAAATAATTTAAATAGGAAAAATGAAAATCGATGAGTCATACGAGCATGAACAGTTAGGGCATCAGTAAATTGTTCACGCCAACTTGTTGTACCGAGCATAAGTGATGTATTGGCGTTTCGTAACAAACGATCGATTACACTCTGAAAATTATTTACTTTGGTGTTATGAAGTTAGAGATATAATGAAATATTTATTTCACGTGATTATATGAGTGATAATAAGACACTTAGATTTAGACTTAGAATATTTTAAAACTTTTATCCAACTTATAACTTCACTATTTTAAATCTTATCATTAATATCAGATATTAAACAAAATTTATTGAAAATATTTTTGTAAAGATACGAACCCGAAATTCTTTGCTTTCTTTGATTGTAATTTGACATTGTTTGAATTTTCCCAAATGCGGTTTTCCTAATTCTTCAATTTCAAGTTCCTTTTTTCTTATCTGTTCTATTCCATCGATATCTACAAAATGAACATTTTATAATGTGAAATTCGTATAACTTACAAAAAATTATATTTGAAAATTTACATTGAAATTGATGCTTAATTTAATATACGAAAATATTTAAGATTATTTGAGGAAATATGAATTTTTCAAACTCTTGAAAAATATCATCTCATACTTAGAAACAAAATTAGTAATAATTAATAAGGCTCAAAATGCATGACCTCAGAGATAATCAAAGAGAAAAAAAACATCAACGTTAAATTATCAAATATTTAAAATATTTTTTGTAAAGTGAAGAATGAACAATGAAAAATTTGCATTAACAAAAACGTTTAATTAACAACTTGTTATATTCAGACAAAAATTATTCCTATCTTTCATCAAGGGGCCATAGGTCATTAATTAGGGGGTCATAGGTCATTAATTAGTTATTAAAACATATTTAAGTCTACAACTTAAATTATTATAAGAGAAAGTTTCAGCAAATTCCGGAAAAAAGAAAAAACTCTGCGTTATACGTTAAAATTGTGCTGTAATATTCATTTAATAAAAAACTTTTCCTTCTAATGCTTGATAAATAAGAAGTAATATCGCTTGGACTAACTTTCCCATTCTTAGTTTAAACTTAAATTTAACGGTAAATTTAAATTTAACTATACAATAATCTTTTTAAAGTAACATTCCTGCTTATGACAAATTACACTAATTGAAGCAATAGAGCGAAACTAATTTCACTATTTATAATTACATACGCTTAACACATTACTAACTACTTTTTGCTCAAGTAAACAAGTATTATGAGTAATTATGACATAGTAAATAAGTGATTATAAGTAATTATTATATAAATAAGCAAATGGCAAATCAAAATTAAATAAATGAATATGAGAATATTCAGGTAGATAATTATCTAAGAATATGATGGTTATATTGGTCAAATAAGAACCTTCATCTCGATTGCTAGCTATCCAGGAACTCATTCGTCGTTTGAAAATATGGGAAAGAGGATGAAGATTTGGTGAAGAGGAAGTACGAGTGGAATGCGTAGAAGATGGTAATGGTATTTCTGCTGATGTGATTATCAAATTTTTATCTGAAAGAAATAAATAATCAATAATACAGATAATTTAAAAAGCTATTTTATTCAAATACTTTTTGATAATTATGATAATTTTCAAGTTTGATTTTTTTAAATTAAACAAAACGCTGAAAATCACTAAATGTACTTCAAAAAAAAGTACATTTAAATAGTTTGATATTTTATAAGAATGGTTATGATTATTATTTATGATCATTTAATTCATTTCTTATTCATATTAAATTATATTATATTATTTATTACATTATATTATTATTTCTAAATATGAATCACTACGAATATTCTTAACAAATCTTACAATTTCCCTCAATTTTTCGTCTAAATTTTAAAGAGTTTTATTTTTTTTTTAAAAAAAAATCGCACTCGATTTTTAAATTTTCCTAAATAAAATTAAAATTGGAAAAAAGAAATGGAATGGGTCAAATTTAAAAAAGTTACAATTTTAATCAAACATAATATTAGTGAATAAAATTTACTTCATTGTAAAATTTTTGTTTTCCTACTATACCTTCACTTTTAAATGATTCGCTACTTTTGTTCAAACTTTTCAACGATTCTTCTTTCCTTCTTCCCATTCGCTTCAACGAACGTTCTTGAGCTTTTTGATAATCTGAATTGAATAATTTTGTGTAGGAATTTTCTTATTGTATAATTAATCTTTTTTGTGCTATTCATGACTATTACCTAATTTATTGAGAATTTTTCATCAACAGTGAAAAGCAAAATGACTATTGTCGATTAAAATTTATCTGTTAGCAATTATATACTTACCTAACAGAAAAGGTAATAAAGTTAGAAGGTAATAATACTAAAGGTAATACTGGTGATTATCAACTCCACGAAAATGGCATCAATCAATCAGCTTAATAATATATTCTCATATGTAAAAAAAATATTAGTATCATTTCAGGATATAAATAATTACAGTTCAAGTATATTCATTAATTATTTATAACGTTCTGATATAGTTATGAAGTGCATATGATAATTTTAGGAAAGATATGAAATTACCTGATATCTTTCTAGCCCAAATAGGCTGATCAAGTACAATAGAAAAATAATCCATACGCTCATACTGCTCGGTATCCGTTATACGAATCTCAATGAATGCTCTAAAAACAAAAACAAAGAAAAAACAAAAAGTTTCCTCTAATTGAATAGAATTAAAGTAATTTAAAAAATGATAATGAAAATAATAAATCATTAATTTTATGCAGTGTAAATTTGCAAGTATTTAATGAAAAAAGAATATGAATTATGAATAATATAAATATGAATAAGAAAATATGAATATGAATATAATAATATGAATATGAATATGAATAATATGAATAAGAATGTGAATATAATTATGAATAATAATAATATGAATATGAATATGAATAATAATATGAATAAGAATATGAATATAATTATGAATATAATTATATGAATATGAGTATGAATATGAGTAATATGAATAAGAGCATGAATATAATTATGAATATAATAATATGAATAAGAAAATAAAAAAATTTTTTCAGTGTAAAAAGAAAAATTAACTTACTCAGTTTGATTGTCTTCAAAGATAACTTTACCTTCTTCAAACTCATAATGCTTTCCACGTAATGCTGTACCATCAATTGCTCTGAAAAATTCCTACATAATGAATCGATCAGTAAAATTGCAAATTCATTGATTTCTTTCTCCCAAACATTGATATAAGGAAGAATGAAATATTGTAGATGGATGAAAAGATTTATTTAAAAAATAAATTTGATAAAATACTGTTTCATTAAACAAATTATTTGAGATGGAAAAAGAACGAGAAGTGGAAATTAAAAAGAAATAAAATGTTAATGAAATGAAATACAATGAAATAATTAATTTGTCAAACAATAAAATTTTTAATTTCTTTTCAAAGAAAAAGGTAAATGAATGGTATTTGAAGTTTTCATAACGAAGCTGTGAAAATGTTGAGATCGATTTAGGGATATTTGCGCTTATCATTCCTTATCAACCTCTATGTTATTATTCCCTCTTTAGTATTTTTGTGATAAACTGGCAATTGATTAATGCTCAGTTATTAACAAAATTGTCATTTTCTAATTGAAAGTCAATAGTGGCAGACTATTTTACTATTAGGAATATTTTACTATTTATTTTACTATTTTTTACTTGATGTTGATTTAAGAACGAGAAAATCGTTATTAATATCTTTTAACTCCTAGTGTTTGATAGAAGATTTGTCAGATTTTCTTTTATTTCTTTGCTAATTTTCTTAAGGTATATAAAATTTAAAAAAATTTAGAGAACTGTCCATTTTTCATGATTTCAAAATTAACAAAAGATTCTTTCATTTTATGTGGATTTTTTAAAAGTTACATAGGTGTATGTTTTATGGATTGAAATCTATTTTAGTTAGGGTTGAAAAAATTTTCTTTGGAATAGTGATTGATAAGAATTTTTGATATCAGTTTAATATCAAATTAAATTAACTCTTTCTACGAAGCATACTCTATTGAATTACAATGGCAAGTTTTTTACAGCTAAGTTACTGAAAATTTCCTTTTTAGAAATGAGAAATTGGGAGTAAATAAATTTAACCTATATGGTAAAATAACTTTGCCACGGCATCCAGAGCTTCGATTTATTTTGAGTGATAAGCAACCGCAATTTTCAAAAATTTGAATACGATCACATTCAAATGAAAATACACCAGCATGATCGTCATCTATAAATTATTATTTTTGCTTATCGTTTTCAGAATCTCTTCTTCTCTTATGGAAAAACATAAAATAATCAAAACCTTGAATTATACACTTCTTGAACTGTTTCAAAACTATATTGCAATGGTTTTTTAGAAAAGATTAAGTTTGAATTAGATAATAATTATTCATTCGAAAAATCATTTCGATTGCAAATTGGATAAATGAAAAATTATGTTAACGAAAGAATAGACAAATTAAGACTCTTTTCTTTTTAGGGAAAGTATTAATTAATAATCGAATTATTTTTAAAGTGGATTGAAACAAACCAAGAATCATAACTGTAGCAGTGGAAGGAAGTTCAAGGACAGCAAGTGGTGCACCATCGAGTTTTGATGGATCCAATATCATGCCATTTTTAGTACATACTCTTAAATTATTCAAGTGCAAATAAAAGTATTCATCCTCTTCAAAAACATCATCATCCACAATTTCTATCGTTACTTTCTGCAAAATTTACCGCATTTTCATTGCTTGAAAATTTTGATTTAAATTTAACTGTTTTTTAATTTTCATAAATTTTACTATCAATAAATAAGGTTTTTTAATTTATAATTTTTACAAACAAACAACTAATGCTTAAATTAATCAAATTTTAACAGAAATTTCATTTGAAATAAATAATTATGATCATAAAATTATTAACTTTTGTTTTATCCTCTGGTTGAAAAATTAATGTTCCTTTGAGTGAAATATAATCATTTCCAGCATTAGCAGTACCATCCTCTGTATAATAATCAACCATTATTGTAAGTCCTTCTTGACCACCATCTCGACCTATCACAACATCGAATGTTCCAACATTTTCAAGTACCGTATAATGAGCTGGATCAAAAAATATTTTGCAGGTATTTTCTCGTGATTGCTTCCTTTTCTCATCAGCAATCTTAAAATTAAATATTTATTACCTGTTAACATTGTTTACAAAATTATTCAATTTACTCATTTAGAGCGCAAATGTCCATTTAGATAATTTGAATAAATTCAATAATAATTTAAGAATTACCATCATATATGGTATTCATTAATTAAAATTAATCATAAGCATACAATTAATTCATTCCATTATATTTCAAATCTATAATTTTATATTTCCTAGGAAACAAGAACAAAATATGTACGACATTGATGATTGTCGGTTATTCCTTTTTTACATCCATTTTGTTATTTTCATTTTTCGTGAATTAAGTTCATTCCTTTCAAATTCAAAGTTGAGTATTTTCTAGTAGATTTCAAAATTATAGTTTATCCTACTTCAAAAAAGATCTCCATCTATGGTTATAGCTTATCAGCATTATCACTTCGTTTGTTTGTTTTTCTTTACTTTAACATCAGATAATCTCTTATTTAACTGTTTAGACAAGTTTTTCAAAGAAAATATTTCGGAAAATTTGCTTAATTTAAATAAGCATGCTTTCAGTTCAAAGGTTACTTCTTTCAAAAAAAAAATAACGAAACATACGGCATATTTACGATATTCTTTGTCAAGTTGTTTTTTTATCACTTGTCCACCACCAATTAATCGCCTTGTTGCTTGCACTCTAAATTCCTTATTAAGTTCATTATTATGATAAATAATTATTGTAGTAAAAGAATTTCATTATAATGGTAAATAATTAATGTAGTAAAAGAATTTCATTATAATGGTAATTAATTATTGCTAGTAAAATAAGAATTGGAAAGATCTGAAATGTCGACATTTTTAATTTAATATTTAGTTAAATTTAATATTTAACAAGTATTATATTATTGCCATTTTATATTAATAATTCACTTCATCACATTGCTTAGCATTTTTGAACTTAATGCTATTGGAGCAATACAATAGTCCACTCGTTCGTTAATCAAACCTTAATTATTTCATTATTTATTAATATATGATATTATTTGCTTACCTATAGAAAGCTCTTGATTTTGGACCACGATTGATCATTTCATATTCTGCTTGCTTTTGTAATTCAATTGGATCAATTTGTGGATTTTTCTTCCTAATTTCACGCATTATTTCGATAAATGCTTTTCTGTTATCTTCGAATGCTTTTATAGCCGGATCAGTTATACTATCCTGAAAGTTTAGAGAAAATTGCAAGAAATCTGAGAAAGTTCAAAGGTTTTCTTCAAATCTACTACAAAATAAAGTTACTACATGGGAAGAAGAAAATAAATGAGAGATGTGAAAAGAAATTTAACACTAAATTTAACCAATAAAAGAGATTTAACACCAAATGCATCTTTTCAACACCACCAATTTATTGATGATGAAATGATAAGTTCTGTGAAATTAGTGGGAAAGTTAAAAATTAGTAAATAATTTTAATTTGACCTATAATTAAAAATTAAAAAGTAGAAATAAGTTAGAAACTATCAAACACATATTTCTTCAACACTACCAACTTTAAGATGACCATTTTCAGCCAGAAATCCCATTTCTTCTCCTGTTGTTGCAATAATTCCATGTGATGCCTTTCGATAACGATGTGGTAACAAACGCCTCTACATTTAAAAAATATAAAATAAAATTTCAAGTCGGTTTAATTTTTGTTGCAATTACAAAATTGTTATAATTTCAAAATTAATAAGCAATGATATTATCATTAATTAATTTTGGAAAATATCAACTAACCTGAATAATTTTAATATCAGCTATATATGCAGTTATTACTGTAATCGGAAAGAAGAGAAATGTTAAAAAACCTTCCCATATTTCGATAATACCCGGGGAAAATACTGCCAAAATCAAATACAACCAAATATATGCAAACAATGACCTAAACAAATTATCATCAAAAATTTTCGAAGTTATCAATTTGCAATAATAAACCCATAAGTAATTAAAAAAAAGAATTTTATCAGTTTAATTTTAGAATCATTGAAAAATTAACAAAATTTACCATGCTGAGGTGACACAAAATACATCTAAATGCTTTTGACGTCGTATTTCACCATTTGGTATAGCGATAATGCATATAGCAATGATCATAAATAAATTAAATGCTGCTGAACCAACTATTGTATTTGGTCCCAAATCACCTGCCTTAAAACCTTTTCCTATCACCTAAAATGATATTATTGTAATATCAATTGAGGGGAAAATTAAATTAAGATTTTTTAAATTTTACATGAAAGTAAAGGAATTATTTATTTGTAATTAACGTCAATGAATTATGAAATTTTAATTATTCTTGTTATTATCAATAATATAATCCAATAAATTTAGCCCCAAAGTTTTGAACTTTCTTGACATCTTAAGCTTAAATAAAAAAGAGCAATTTAGAAATTTATAATTAATTTATTGTCTTTTCAAATTTCATAATTGCATGAGAAAAATAATCATTTAGGAAGTGCAGATAAATGAATTAATTTGTTCTTCAACGTAAATAAATTAATGAATTATTGTTCTTCAACGTAAATGAATTTCTCCTTCAACGTAAATAAGATCCAATTTTTCCGGATTAATTTACCTCAATAATGGACAATAGGATTTCAGGAGCCGATGAACCTGAAATGAAGAACTTATTGATGGAAGAAGGTAAGCGTAATTTCTTCATCAATATCATCTCATTGATCTTTTTACTGCATTTATTATAAATCTTTATGTGTAATTAAATTGTAATAATTAATGAAAGTTTTATTAGACTGATAAGCAGGATGAAAAGGCTCCAAATATTTAAAATACGAAATTCCAAACTTAATTAACCACTTTTTACTAATTGATTTCGCATTTTTTTTAAAGGTTGAAAAATATAGATCAAATGATATAATTTAAGAAATTTTGGTTTTAATTTTTATTAAATTGATGATAACTTGAAAATTTAATTGTTTCAGTTTAATTACATTTTATCAATGAATTAATATTGCTTAGTTTCATTTTTGTAACTTCAAATTATAACGAATTTTTAATTGTTAGTTGATGAAATTATATTAACACCATTGTATGTGATTCAAAGTTTTGCAACTTTTTAAAGTTGTAAAAACAGGAAGGATGAGAATTCCCTGGTGTGAACTAATCAAGCTACTTTTATATTTTCAACAACTTTGCAAACAGACGACGACGAATATATGAATACATCACTTCTCTAACTTTACAAATATTCTAAGCAAACAATAATTCTATCTTACTTATTTCTCAATTTTTAACTTTTTTGAAAAAAGAAATTCTTCAACTTGATTTACTTAAAATCTTTATGTTTACTTTCTGTCTTCTTCTTTAACTTTGATAATGAACTCTAAAATGATATTGTAGAATTTAATCAATAATAATTCTCTATCTTACTAATAAATAATAATTCTCTAACTCTATCTTATTTATTCCGAAATTTTCAACATCAAGTAATTTTTGCTATAAATTTCTCGAATAATCTTTAATTACATTCAAATTATTTTTGTTGTTAATTTTTTAAGATAATTATTAAAACAAAAAAAGAAATAGATGAAATGATAATATTTTGAAAGATTTGATAGAAAGAAAATTCAATTAAATTACTAACCAAGTGCCATTAGCGTTAAATTGCTAACTGTATCATTCCATATTCTCACTTTTACTTTTAACGGTTCTAGGCCTGACCTTTTTATACGTACCGTTCTTTCTTTGCTAAATAAAATCTTTTCTAATTGTTCGTAACTTTTAAAAGTAAGAAATGAAAAATGTTGGTAACTTTTAAAACGAAAAAAAATTTCAAATTTGATAATTGTTGAATTTCAAAAAGCAACAGGTATACTTCTAATTATTTGTAAATAAATAATGAAAGGTAAATTTAAAAAAAAAATGAATGATAGATGGAAAAATTTTCCCCTCAATTATTTATCCAACAAAATATATTATTCTAGTTGAATAATTTTTCTTGATATTTTCAAAAAAAAGAAGATAGAAATTAAACTTTCAGTTCAAATTACATCACAGCTTCATAATAATTTGATATGAGATTAAAATTTTAAAGCTATCAATCACCTCGTTATAACTTCAATAGATGACATAAAACGATCAGCAACAATTGATACACCTAGAAATACGTAGACAATGATGAAAAAGAATATTATACCACGAAATATACGATTTCCAATGGTTAGATGCTGAAATGGACGCCTGCAAATATCAATTCTTTACTGCTTAAAATTTAATTCTTAAAAAAATTTAATGTTTTTGATCAGAATTATAAATTGGAGATTTAAATTGGAAGTATTCATTAGAGTGAGATGAATAGCAAAATTATCGATAAGACAAAAAAAGCGAAATCCATTCCAATCGAGTTTTAATATTAAGAATATCAAAAATTCAACGGAAAAAAATTTTTACACTTTAAATCATATATTTATGATATCTTCGGCTTTTCTCTTTTCTTTTCAAGTCCATAAGCTCAAATTTATAATATCATAAATTCCATTTATAAACCAATTTTTATTTTGCCAGAAAAAAAGAATGATAAATTCTTCATTTTTTTCCATTCCACAATGAGGAAAATTTTCAATATGTGAAATAGCATTTCAATATTTTAATATGAAATATATATATAATTCAGATTATTATAGTTATAGTTTGAAAAAAGAAAATCATTAACTAAACTTATCAATAAGCTATCATTTAATGATAGTTGACATATGCTTATTGATAAGTTTGTCATTAAATTTTAATTACATACCAATTTAATCAATAAAATATATCTAATTGAATTTTTCCAATCATCTTATAAACAAACAAATTAATTCGTTGCTATATCATTTCACAATTAATGCTTATCTAAGATAATTAATTGCATTAAGAGAGGAAAAAAAAATCGAAACTTACCAAATAGGTATAATCAAACCATCAACACAATTTGTGATAGCATTTATTTTCGTATGATTGCTATTTGCTTGTGCAACATCAACCAACGATGAAAATACGACAATAATGCATAGAATTTGTGTAGAATAATTAATCATCTTTACTACTATACATGAATTGCAACAATTTTTCTCTGCTTGAACTGTTTTCGCCATTTATTAATTATTTCAATTAATAATTAACAGTTTCAAAATACTTCAACTGAAAAAATCGATGATAAAGGATGGAAGAAAATGAAAAGAGATTTATCATATCAATCATATTGATATGATAAATTGTTGTCATACTACAACAAAATGTCAAATGAACAAATCGAAAAATATTGAAATGTTAGAAGTAATCAACCGATTCACGAGTTATGTTGTTTTTATTGGTTGTTAGATAATTATTATAATATATATATATATATATATATGTGAGGAATAGTAAAGAATTAAATTTTTATCCATTTTTAACTGAGCTTAAAGATTAAAGATCAAATATTATGTAATAAAAATTATTTCAATTTTATTTTACAAATAATTTAGCAACTGTATGTGTATGTGTGCATATGTGTGTGTATATGTGTTATATGTGTGTGTATGTGTGTGTGTGTATGTGTGTATGTGTGTGTGTGTGTGTATGTATGTGAAAATAATAAATAATAGAGGAATGAAATTTTCATATAAATCAAAAAAGAGAAAAAGAATTCAAATATTAAATTTGATATGGCGCTAAATGAAAAAGATGTAAGATTAATGGTTATTGACAGTCATTGATTAACAATTATTGGCAAATTTTCATCTCTTTTTTTTTTGAAAGAATAAAATTTAGCATAAAATTAGTATAATTAAAATTTTTGTTAAAATATTTTGTTTTTGTTTAATTCAATAAATGAAAAAGAAAATTCAATAAATTTATTTATTACCAAAATATGAAACATTTTATTTCTATTTAATTATAAAAACGTATAATAGACAAAATGTGCACACACAACACACACACACACACACACAAACACAAACACACACACACACACACAAACACAAACACAAACACACACACACACACACAAACACAAACACACACACACACACATATGCACACATACAAATAGGCAAATAATTATATTCATAAGCCTAATGGCCTGTTTACTACTTTTATCTGTTTATCTATTGGGTTGCTATAAATTATGTATGAATTGAAAAATTGTCAAATATTGTGGATGCAAATTATGTCCCATTCTCAATTATATATTGCAAGTGATTTAATAATAAAAAGAATGAGTCCAATGAGAGAATAAAACTTATCGGCGCAAAATGTATATATCGGATTCTCAGTCATTTATTAAAAGTTATTTATAATAGATAGGATGAATCCTATAAAGGGATAAAACTTATCGGCGCAAATGTATATATCGAATTCTCAATTATGTATTACAAGTGATTCAATAGTAGAGAGGTATGAGGAGAAAGAAGATTCATTGGTGACAAAAGCATTTGAATTAATGTTAATCTTTATTGCACTATGGATTTGAGAATCATACAAATCTTATCAGTAAACATAAGCTTAAGCTATAAGTTAATTAACTGATAACAAAAAAAACGAATTAAATAATTAACTTTATTGTTATCCTATTTATTATTCTATTTCCATTAATAATTTGAAATTAATTACTTTTAATTGACAAATAACTTTTTAAATATCTGCAAATTTTGCAAAATTTCCACTATTCAATAAATAATTTTATGTTTTACTTACTTTCAAAAATAAAATTCATATTTAACTTTTACTAATGGAAATTAATTTCTTATCAGTAATTTTATCAACTGTCAACAACAAAATAAAAACCAATCTAACTCCATGGAAATTAATTTCTTACTAGTAATTTTATCAAATTCTGACTGTCAACAACGGCCTAAAAACCGATCGAACTCCATGGAAATTAATTTCTTATTAGTAATTTTATCAATTTCTGACTGTCAACAATGACCTAAAAACCGATCGAACTCCATGTAAAATAAATTTTTGTGAAAAAAAAATATTAAATTTCAACTTATAAAATACCGTGCAGGATATAAAATTTTATTTCGGATATAATTTCATTCGTTGCAAAAAAACGACACATTTTTTTTTTGAAATAGCAAAAAAGAATGAAGCTACTAGCGAATCGATCGGACCAGTTTAAACCACCTAAAATTCTCATTTCATTTCGCTTATTCTTTTTTTCCTCATTCCTTTTAACACACCCATTTCAATTTCAATTTTTCTCATTCACCTTTTCTTCATCTCTTTGTCGCATTATTATTTTAAACAAACATGTTGCCAGATGAAAAACAATGAAAATGATATTGCATGCAATATTTATGAGATTGAAAATGATGAAACAAAAAAATTTTAATTAAACTTGATAATCTAATATTTCATAAGTAAACTTTTATAAGTGAAATTTTCGAATTTCATGTAAACCATAAATTATTGATAAAAATTAAATTTTTTATATTCTATCACGTTTCTTGTTTAATTTATATAATTCTTCGTTTATCAAACTTCCTCTCGAATTTAGCTAAATCATTGTAAGAAAACAATCGTAACTTCTTTTCGTTCATGTAAAAAGTCAATTTTAAAATTTTTAATTTTTATTTCATCTAATTTATATGTGCAAAAAATTATTACGTACATTTACACGTAGATTTACACTAGATTTACGCGTACACTTATACGTACATTTGCAGAAGATTTACACTTACATTTACACGTATGTTTACACGTACATTTACAGAAAATTTGAACGTACATTTACAAGATTTACACGCACATTAACGCGTAGATTTATAGGTACATCTCATTTACATGTACATTTACACGAAGATTTACACGTCCATTTACATGTGTATTTATAAACGTACATTTACAGATGATTTGCACGTATATTTACGAGATTTACACGCACATTTACACATACATTTATAAATACATTTACACGTACATTTACACGAAGATTTACAGTACATTTACATGTATATTTATAAATACATTTGCACGTACATTTATATGTACATTTACACGTACACTTACAAATATCTTCTTTTTTTTTTTAGAGCTACTCGATTTCTTATTTTTACGAAATTCTTCGAATGAAAAGACAAAAACAACTCAATACCAATATTAGAATGATTTATCGACCGATCAAAAGAAAATTTATGTATGTATCGGTAAAAAAGAAATTAAATCAAAATATAGCTAAAGCTAAAATATGATAACAATAAGCTAACAAATTGAAGACAAAAACTGTTATTGTTGAAAGTCTTAAAATGTAAAACAATCATAATAAGACTGGTTGGTACTAAAACTATAATACAGTATTTCTTTTTCGTTTAAACTATTCTCTTTCTCTCTTACAAATTTTGTTGACAATAAAAAACAATAAATATAAATATTAACATTTTAAACTATCGTTGATCGTTAAAATATTAAAAAATTTATTTCTAAACAATTTGTTTTTTTTTTTTACTTATTTATATTTAATGAAAAAATAAATATTGCTATTAGCGGCAGCTATAAATTATTCAAATATTTAATCATTTAAATAACTTTCCTATCTTCGAAGAAAATTCGTTTTAAGATAAAAGAGTAAATAATATATTTTTTTCTTCGTCTTCATCTTCTTCGTCGTTTTCTTATGATCGCAAAAAATTGAAACGGAAGGTATTGTTGAAAATAAAAATTAATCTTCGATTTCGATATAAAAATCACAAAAATGTCAACTTCATATGATCTGTGGATTAATTTTAAATCTGTTAAATAAAATTTCATCATTAATTTCTCATTTAATAAGGGAATAAAACAGGTTGCGATATTGCAAGCGTTTCATTTCGTTGTTGAAATTAAACTGAATAACTTTTTCTATTACATAACGATGGAAAAAGCATTCAACTATTAAATCGATTGTATACAATTAAGAAATTCTCTAATCCATATGTGTATGTAAAAAGAATCGTTGCTAAGAAACAAAATTGTTCGCTTTGACATTTTTTTTGGTTACCACTTGTTGAGACTATCATATCTATGATAAGAATTTCATTTACTAAATTGTGAAGTTAAAAATTTTGGTTTTAAATTCTATCAAACCGGTTAATTTCTAAAGAAACTTATGATTGGTTTTGAATAAATAAAAAAGTCAATATTTGAAGTTAATGTTTGAACTCCTACGCATACATGTTGAATTTAATATTTCTCATAGATAAACAATTTGACAGTCTATTCTCATCATCTAATCAAATTTATTTAATATTTCTATTCCGGAATTTTATTGTTCTTTAGGGTAAATGATTATTGCGGTTGATAAGACTAATAATGGTTTTAAATTAGATGAAAAAATTTGAAATAGTAGGATAAAAATGAAAAATAGAATACCGACAAGGGTGACAACAGAAAGGCTTCCTTTAAAATTAAGGAACTGCTATTTCAATGATTAATTTATAAATCAAACCATAAAAGGATTGTTTAATTTTTGCGTCTGTGATCGATGTGAAATCAATTAGAAGTTAATGTACTTATTTTTTTGTGATCATTTCATGTTGTTGACTGCGATAGAAATGAGTAATTGATCAGATTATAAATACCAATTTATTATTGTTCATTTTAAAGCCAATGTCAGAATTCCGGTTTGTCAATATTTGTTATATCGAGCAGAAAATTCGGGAAAACTATTAATAGGACTTTTGAGAACTGTTGCTGCCACCACTTTCAACTTGCCTAATGAGGTGAATAAAATAAAGAAAAAAGAGAAAATTATGGTATTAGTTATTGAATTATTATAATGGATTATCGAATTACTTGAATTATAATGATTAATTCATTAGTCAAGGTATTCTAATTAAGTGATGATATTAAAATCTTTTACATCATTCAATTTCTCTGAATGATTGATTCATTATTCAAGGTATTCTAATTAAGTGATAATATTAAAATCTCTTATATCAATTTCTCTGACTGTAATTAACTTATTATAATATTAATTACTTGAATTTAATGAATCCGTAGATAATTTTGATATTTAAATTTATTGAAAAATAAGAAAGGAGGATATCGCCAATGATTGCAACATCTAAATATATTAATGATACTTTATTTCTTCAACTTACAAATCACTTTGTACTCATTGAAATTTTCAGCACTGTTGTGAAAAAGATCTTTGATACTATAAACTCAGCATAGTGGCAGAATTGCATTTCAGTAAAATTAAACAGCATCGCGCAGATAGCAATATAAAAGTTGAAAATATATACGTAATTTATCATCTGAAGTTTTCTGGTTAAACTTTGTTATTCACAAATCTAAGTTTATAATATTTGAAGAGTTTTTGAGAAAGATGAAAATATAAAAATGATTCGGAATCTACGTGAAGTGGATTCACGTGAACTCAGATAGTATTAAGCCATGCCAAAATTGCTGTTATTTAATTATCTCGTCTAAATTGCAAATAAAAATTGTAGAAAGATTATATTACATTGTGAAAATTTAAGCAGATTAACTTCTCTCTTTCAGATTAAACAGCAAATCGAATAATTATTCGCTTTTTGGATAAAATATAATAACTGTAGGAAATCACAACACAAGTTATGTGATAAAATAATCACACTTACAGATAAGAAAGATTGAAATATTATATCCAATATTATTGATACGGCGATCAATTTATATTTTTACTGAAGTTGCATACAAAAAGCATTCGTTGCAAATAATTTATAATGAAATGAAATAGCGTCATTAATATCCGTTGGGAATAATATTTTAAGGTTAACTTAAATATACACAAACATATTCTTATGTTAACAAACATCAAATCAATAATTTTAAATTTCAATTCTTCTTTAAGGGTGACATTTTTCTAAACAAAAGATCAATTTCATTTAATAATTGAAATTTAAAGCTTTTAAAACAAATGGATGAAATATTGGAAACACATTTATGCATTTTCAATAGATGAAAATTATAGCTCAAATTTTTATAGCTTATAAGAAATCATTTAATATTTGAAGAATTGCTCAAATTATTTTTTACCATTTAGTTTTTACCTAAAAAATATGAAATGATTTGAATTGTTTTTCCAAATGATTAATTCTTAACAATTTTCAGATATTATTTATGCAAATAAATAATTGGTAATTCTCAAAAAGAAATGATTGGTTGTGGGATTTCTCTTTTTTTTTTAACTAACAAATAAATAATTGCAATATTGTTTCTTCCAATATCCTTTAATTAATTTCTACTTCCGTTTTTTTTTAATTAATTAATAAAAGCTTCTTAAGCTTAGCAATAATTATTCGATTCATTATTTCTATTTTGCTTTATAAATATGCTTAAAGTTTGATGCTTTAAAGATGCTAACTTTTGTTAGAAGCTATGTCACATATACTTCATTCTTGCATTATGGCAACAATTGAAAATAACAAAGATTATTGCTCTTCACTATCAAATGTTAAGCAAACATAAATTAAATGCCTGAGTTATCATCTCATCATCTACCTCGATTTAATATACCAATCCTCTGAGACTGAAGTTTAAAAATATCGACCAATTTCGCTCCCATACATATATCATCATTATTCTTAATTAACTAACAAAAATAATGCAATAGTTTAAAACGATACCAATTAAAAGGACTTTATTGATTTCCCTAATTATACATGAATGAAAGAGAAATTAAATTATAAGAATTATAGGAATGATAAAAATCTTTAATTGATAATATTTCTTTTTACATTAAATATTTTATAACTGTAAGTCTTGCAATATTGAATGATTGATGGAATTAATAAACTTTCTTTAGTACTGCTTGTAATTTGGAGAAAATTGAAATGCAAGACATTTTGAACTCTCTCCTATTCACGACAATATGTCGGTTCATTCTGTTCTAGAAAAGAAGGCTGAAATATCGCCTTCACTGATACATACATATCGGGGGGATCGATTATCGTCCCGCAATTATATTACATCAACAAGAGGAATACATACAATATTTTTAGGAAGAAAACATATATTTTGAAGAAAAATGATGAAAGATTTCAGAATCGGCATTCTATATAATTATTTGGAAATATATTCAACTACCTATACTGGGTGAAAATAATAAAGTGACTGCTGTACCGCTTGAATTAAAGAAAGGCGAAAATGCATGTGGTGAAAAGATCAATGTAGCAAAATAACCCGGCGAGAAAAAACCGGGTGACAAGACAAATGGGCTCGCGATCAGAGCGGTAAGTGCTGATGGTGAAAAGATGAAAGGGCTTAGAACAAATGGGCTCATAATAGCTGGCGAAAGTACAAATGGTGATAAAATAAACGGTGATAATACGCTAGGCGATAAGACGGCTGGTGCTAAAGCAACAGGACTTAGAATTCCAGGACTAATAAGCAATGGTGATAGGACAATGGGAGAAAGTGCAACTGGTGACAAGACCGCCGGACTGAAGAACGTTGGAGATAGGAGCGTGGCGACGAAAGCATTTGGACTCAGTATAGAAGCACCGAAAATTGATGGAGAAAAAAGTACTAGCGAAAATGCTGCAGGTGATAGAACGACTGATCCAATCCCTTGAGTAAAAGCAGTCGTAGTAAAAGATGAAGGAGAAAGTAAGGCTTGTCGTTTCTGGGGGCGTATTTTCAGTGTAGAATGCATCTTAGCCATATTACGGATATCATTAAGGAGATGACGGTGCATATCATCCTCACTTAATGACATGAAAAAATCCAACGCTTTGCTGTTGTTTAGCGGTGATTGCGGGCCATAGACCATAACCAATTGTTTTGGGGTCATCATCGAGAATCCGGTTGTATTGAAATCCATTAACTGGATCATATGGTATTATTAAAATTGATCGAAATAAGAATATTGGTCATTTTCATTCATATGTAACTCAACGTTAATAATATTTATTCATATGTAAACTTAATCTATTTCCGGTAATGTTTTCGAGATTAAAATTTCAATGCAACTCATTTGAAAGTTCTTCAAATTCTTTTTTAGGACAGTGTAAAGGGTCATTTATAAGTAATATTATAAGAAGAAGAAAACCTGTTTTGGCGTAAGAGAACGTGTTAAGTTTTCAAAAACTTCCATCTTCCTGGCCATTTCTGGATCAATTTCTGTTACGTTTTCCTTCGTAAAATACATTGGTTGACCATCAATTCCACGTGGCATTGATTTATAACCGGGTGGTAACCAATCTAATCCTTGCTCCTCCTGAATTCTTTGTAGGAAATTATTAATAAAAGATTTTTAGAAAATAAGAAACATATTCGAACCATTAATTTATGTATTGCATCAGTTGCACCGGACGCTTCCACAATGAAATTAAGCCATTCATCGTAATCTCTGTTACCAGCGGCTTTCAATAATTTCGGAATACTTGTTAGTGCTTCTAATCCTTTGCCTTTGTCATGCATACTGAACAGCGAGGGAGATAAAATGCTAATCTGGAAGAAAGATTTCTTCACTTCGTTAGAATTAGCAAAGTGAAAGAGTAGATCGTTGGAAGATACAAATTGCAAAATGGTTAAGTGCAAAAAATGGATTCCTTATTTATTGCACCGGACTACATAAATTAGTGTGTTTACCTGATCTTCAGCATTATCAGGTACCATTGATAACAAACGTGGCGAACCAAATCTGAGTGTTTTATTCTTCAGTTCGGTACCATTAGCACCACTAAGAACCAACGCAAGTTTAACTGTTCGTTGAAAGAGTTGAATGATTTCTAAAGTCTCTTTTGTTTTTAAATTGTTTTTATCCAAAGCTTGTAAGATACGATCTGATATGCGTAATTCCTTTGCCAAATGTTTTTCATCCTTAAAGAATAACTTTTTCTCGAATGCAATTGGAATTTCACTTTGTCACATTCATTGTCATCATTCTGCTATAATTATTGTATAATTTTTCCATCGGAATGGGAATGAAGCAATCTTAACGGTGCATTTACTGGAACGAAATTCTTTAGAAGTACTCACCGGTATTAGCTTTGGCTTCACTTTTCCAACATTCTGATTTAATGAAAATCGTTTCTGCAATTGTTCAGCGAAGTCATTTTTTTCTTTTTCTCGTTGTTTCAAACTTTCGATATCGTACATCATCTTTTTCCATCTAAATTATTGCGCTCTATTTTGAAAATTTGATTCGAGAAATAAATGCAGCAACCTGAATCACTACAGTTTCATTTTGTAGATTGCATTCAGAGCTGTCCGATTTCTGTGTCACAGTTTTGTTCTTTGCAATGACAATTTTTAAGGAAATTATTTTAATGGTCGAAACTAACGATAAATTCGTATCCTTATTTTTGATAACTCTTGTCATCTTCGATAAGTATTTGCCAAGAATGCCGAAAGGTGTCAAATGTTCATATTCGGTATGCAACTTATAACTGTGTCGGTTGATTACACTTCGTCGTGTACGAAATCCCATCTGTTTCCCTTTTTTGTTTCGCTTCATATCCGATTGGATTAGAACATTGACTGTATTCTTTTGCTTTCTATCCAATAATTTTTGCAGCTTTTGTAGATGAGAAACTGTACGAAGAAATGACGTAAAGTTCTAATGAAGTATCAAATTAATTAATTATCATTCTAATGCGTCAAATGACATTTCGTCCAGGGATAAAATATGCATTTTTAATGGAAATGCATGCGATGCATGCATCTTTTTGTAGGGTTGATCTGTAAAATTTCCAAGTATTCAAACAATTATAACTCTTGCTAGAGGTGTGGAGAATTCGTAAGGCACAATAAACGATACTTACTTCTTGTAGGATCTGTCTGCTTCGGTTTTCCATCGATGGCTCGAATCAAACAGTACGCCTGCTCATAAATATCTTCAGCAGTTTTTGAGCACTTTTGTAGTCGATTTCGTCTATACTCGTTCAATTCGTTTAGACTGAAGTAAACTTCGTTCTACGAAAGAATCCCTTAATTTTGAAAGCAGTTTTAAATCGACAATAAAATCACTAACTGATGACCATTAAATATTCCTTTAAAATGCTGTCATATTTCATTATGCAAGATACGTCATTATCAGAAACTATACCACGTCGTTTTAAGTCTAAAACTTTTATTAGAAAAGAAACTGATTTAGAAAGGGATAAGAAAACTGCCAATATATGCAACAAAAAACAATGCGTAATATATCAATCAGAAAGCATATTTGATTCATGTAAATTTGCAAAATTTATTTAATTCTAATCATATGTAAACTGAACTTTTAAAATATTTCTTATGTCTGTGCTTGTTGTTCAAGTGAAATGTCCCGTTGGATCTATCCGTAAATAAAAAATTTGAAGTTTTTTTTAAACAAAATGTGGGACGATTTGTCGACGCACATCTTACTAGATTCACCTTTACTTGTAAGACCACACATCGTATGAAAAGACTGACTGTTGGGTGGCAATACAAGCCATAATACTGCTGATTCCCTGATTAATCCATCGTTCCACCAGTTCAACTCCGGCCTCTTTTGATATTGGTATGTTTAACTTTTTACCGTCATAATATTGCGCACCAGGCATTGTTTCTCGCGTGTATTGGATAGAACTTGAAACCGATCCAACAATAATGTCTGAACAGGAAGTGGATAAAGTGAACATGGAAGTAGATATTATAATAGCAACGTGAGTTCATCTGTCAATGAAACACGAATCTCATGTGTTACACAAGTGTTATATTTGTTCAAGCAAACTTCAACTTACACGCTATCCATACCGCAATCGGTATCACAGTCTGTTCCCTGTGATATCTCATTGGATAATACGTAGAGAACTGCACTTCTAAAGGACGATATCCTGCAAAATTAATCAAATTAACTATTTAACATACACTCAAAAGAATCTAATTTCGATCACTTGAATGGAAGTTTAGGTATGTGATGTTACTTATCGCTCTACGTGCTCTCTGACTGAATCGAATAATTAGGTGGATAAATATTGAAAGTGTTTGGGAAAGAGAGTAAAGATGAAGTTTTCAGATGTGAATAACTTCATACATAAATAAGAGATAGTGAGCAGAAGCAACCAAGGTAATCTCCGAATATGCGTGTTGAAAACAATCCCTTGAAGAAAGCCATTTCGTTTCTCCTAATTCTTTCATTATGTAATCAGACATTTAGAGCTATGCCCTGATTGTGGGAATCTTCAGGAAGTGGTCCTGTTTTGATCGCAAACAAAAGATTATAGTGAAAAGAAGACCATCTTTCTTTGAGGCAGATGTATTAACCGTACTGTTCAACCATAACTATTTAAATTCAAAATCTCTTATTAGAATATTAAGAGGTTCATATGTATTATTAGGCTAGTTAGTTAATTGAAAAATAAGGAGAAAAGTGATGTAAACAATCTGAACAAAAAAGTTGAATTTTATGTAGTCATTTAAATCGAAAATCCGTCTAACATATTATGACGATTTCTAATTGCTAATCAAAAGATCATCACTGATATCTTACCACATTAGTGGGTTTGGTTGATAACTAAGATCTAAGATTTTGAATTCATTCCAACATTTATATGTTTTAATCAGCTCATCTCGAAAGAATGAACTATGACACCTTTCCTGCGAAACAAATAATAGAAAATTGATACAAATGATACAACGTTTAATTTGATAGAATGTTGCAGTTTGAAATATGGAGGCTTCTTTATGGCAACTATGTTCAAGTTAATTTAAAATTTTATTACTTTAAAATTATTTCGCTTTTCACGGTAGATATAGTAAGCTATTATAATGAGGGAAGTAATGAGAAGATAAAAATTCATTTTTTATTTTACTGATAAAAATGATCAATACCAAAACTTTTTAGAGTCATTTATATCATTAGCATCTGAGAGTGTAATTTAGTAAGGAGATATGGCTTTCTGAAATTGATAATGATTTTGATAATTATCACTTTGCTCGTATTAATTAGACCATCAATTCGATATCATTTGCAATATTTAGGTCAAAACGATTTTAGCGATTAATATCACAGCAATGTAATACGAAGATGAAGTAGCGGCAAAGGGAATGAATCCTTTCCTTATTCCTATGTTAAAATTTATTGTAAAATAGCATTTGTGATTATAGTAGTGTTCGGTGTGATATGTTATTCAGATAGAGAAAGGATTCAATGTATTCGTGGCTATTTCGTATACCATAGAAAGGACAGAAGGATGAAAACTTCTTGAGAGAAGGAAGTAGCGTAATTGAATTATAAAGAAGAGTAAAGAATCTCTATATTACACCAAAAGGGATGATACGGTAGTGACCCAATGATTTCATAAATCATAAGACGTAAGAAATTTAATAACATTCTTGTTCACAATAAATTAAGAAACTGTAAATTGTGTAATCCTATTATTTCGGCAGATCGCAAATTCTAAAGCAATATTTCCTGTCATTCGTATCGCTGATTCATTATTATTTACATGATAAATGTAATGAAGACTAGATTTATTTTCAATAAAGGACGCATCTTAGCCATATTACGGATATCATTCAGGAGATGAAGAGGCATATCATCTTCATTTAATGACATGAAAAAATCCAACATTATTTAAAGGTGATTGTAGGCCCATAATCCTCATAATCAGTTGCTTTGGAGTCATCGTCGAGAATCCGGTTGTGTTGAAATCCATTAACTATATCATTTCGTATTTTTGAAATTACTCGAAACAAGAATGCCAATAATTTTCATTTATATGTAACTTAAGTGCCATTGAGATAAATGGATGGATGGATGAATGGATAAATAAAATGGATATTTAAAAAAGATAAAAAAGAGAAGACATTAAGGAGGAAGGTTTCAATGAGGAAATATTTAGGTATACATAGCTTTAAATCTAAGTAACAAGTAAATTTGCAATGAGACAGACAACGTGCTGAAGCAACCAAAGTAATTCTAACGTGCACGTCACTCGCAATTAAAAACAATTCCTCGAAGAGAGTCATTTCATTCATCCTAATTCTTTTATTTGATCTCAAAGTGTGTTATGCATCTGACCTGTTTCCAGCGTTTCATATTCGTGAAAAAGGGAAGCTGAAAGATTTTGCAGTGCTAAATGATTGATAAGGTTAATTGACTGTTTTTAATTCAGTACATCAAGAAGTTTCCTCTTCAGCTTTTAATAGCCTGTTGACCTGTTGACCTGTTGAAACATGACCTGTTGAAACAGCAAGTTAAAACACTAAATTTGTCAGATGATCGGTTATCATTTCAGCAACTAAATAACATCATAAAGCACAATATTTTATCGAGGAAAACACAAATTTTTAAACAAAACAATAATAAACTTTTTTAAACAAACAATAATAAGAATTAACTTTTTTTTTAAAAATTAATTTCAAAAAATTGCCCGAAGGAAATGAGAAAAGGTTTAAAATTATACGAAACATAACATATGTGATAAATGGTCAGCTTCCTACACTTGGTGAAAATAACACCGTGACACTTTGACCAGTTGAATTAAATGACGGTGAGAAAGCGTATGGTGAAAGGATCACCGCAGTGATATAAGATGGTGAAAAAAAAGACGGCGAGAGTGCAAATGGGCTAGCAATTAGACCGCCAAGTGCCGATGGTGAAAAGATGGAAGGATTGAGAGCAAACGGGCTCATAATAGCTGGTGAAAGTACAGATGGTGATAGAACACCCGGTGATAATGCATTCGGCGATAAGAGAGATGGTGACAGTGCGGCGGGACTTAGAATTGCAGGATTAAGAGCAAATGGTGAAAGGATAAGAATAGAAAATGCTATTGGTGACAAGATCGCAGGACTTAATATACTTGGAGATAGTAGTGTGGCGGCAAACGCACTTGGACTCAGTATAGAAGCACCGAAGATTGATGGAGAAAGAGCTGTTACCGAAAATACTCCCGGTGATAGAACGGATGGTCTAGTCCTTGGCTTCAAAACATTCGAAGTGAAAGCTGAAGGAGCAAGTACAGCTTGTCGTTTTCCGCGTATTTTCAGTAAAGAGCGCATCTTAGCCATATTACGGATATCATTAAAGAGATGACGGTGCATATCATCCTCACTTAATGACATGAAAAAATCCAACGCTTTGCTGTTGTTTAGCGGTGATTGTGGGCCATAGACCATAACCAATTGTTTCGGGGTCATCATCGAGAATCCGGTTGTATTGAAATCCATTAACTGGATCATTTCGTATTATTAAAATTGCTCGAAATGGGAATGTTATTAAATTTCATTCGTTGTAATTCAATCCGTTTCCGATATCAAAAAAAAACACCAAAATTTCAGTGCAACTCATTTGAAAGTTTTTTTAAATTCCATTTCAGGAAAGCGTTAAAGGATCGTTTATAATTAATATCAGAAGAAAAATAGTACAACCTGTTTTGGCGTAAGAGAATGTGTTAAGTTTTCAAAAACATCCATCTTCCTGGCCATTTCTGGATCAATTTCTGTTACGTTCTCCTTCGTAAAATACATTGGTTGACCATCAATTCCACGTGGCATTGATTTATAACCGGGTGGTAACCAATCTAATTCTTGCTCTTCCTGAATTTTTTGCGGGAAATTTTTAATAAAAGATTTTTAGAAAATAAGAAACATATTCGAACCTTTAATTTATGTATTGCATCAGTTGTACCGGATGCTTCCACAATGAAATTAAGCCATTCATCGTAATCTCTGTTACCCATTATTTTGAGTAATTTCGGAATACTTGTTAGTGCTTCCAAACCTTTGCCTTTATCATGCATACTGAACAGCGAGGGAGATAAGATGCTAATCTGGAAGAAAGATTTCTTCACTTGGTTAAACTAAGCAAATGAAAGAGTAAGTCGTTCAAAGAAAGAAATTGCAAACGGACAAGTGCAGAAAATGAATTTTAAGAATATACAGTCTTTATTTATTGCACTGGACTTCATGAACTAGTGTGTTTACCTGATCTTTAGTATTATCAGGTACCATTGATAACAAACGCGGCGAACCAAATCTGAGTGTTTTATTCTTCAGTTCGGTATCATTAGCACCACTAAGAACCATCGCAAGTTTAACAGCTCGTTGAAAGAGTTTAATGATTTCTAAAGTCTCTTTTGTTTTCACATTGC